TAAGGGAGCTATAAGGCTCCCTAGGGTATAAAGGTATAAGGACATAAGATTATATAATTAGATTAGGAGGGATCGAACTAATCTAAGTGGACTCATTAGACGGGCTTAGTCTAATCCAGCCTAAGTGAGGATTAGATAGGATTAGTATAATCTAAGAGTATAGTAGAGGATAGATGGATATATAAGGAAGGGGATTTCCTAGATAGACAGCTAGATCTCTACTGATCAATCTAAGCAATAGTTCTACTATTGGGAGTAATCTCCTAAACGTGACTCAAGCTACGATACTGCTCATCTGCACCTGTGGTGCATTCAACCTGACTCACTTCCTAAGAAACAGATTTACTGTGGATTAGAGAAGAGCCACCGTTACACTTAGGCAGTAGAGGCGACAATGTGCCACCGTTTCTCGTTAAGTTTTGCTTAAAACTAGCTTCACCCTACAACCTCCATGCTTGAAAGTTATGGCGCGCTGTAACAGCCAAAAGCAGACGGTGTTAGCAGGTGTTTTTAGGCCATCGCGCTAGTTAACAGGCGTCTTGAACTGGTGGCAAAGGAGGCTTCTGAGAAGTCGGTGGTGCTGAGACAGCGTCATTCTAAATAATGCACCAACTCACGGAAACGAGAGAGAAGTACCAGCCATACAAATCATCGTTATATTTAAGAGCGAATTTAGGTTCTCGAATTTAATAGACCTTTCTTCTCAACACAGAAAAAAACCTTGCGACGGTCAATTATCTATCAGTTTAGGATATGTCATAGAGTGCAGTAGACGATTTATCGAATAGGTAGTAAGATGCATATACAGATGCATATTGTACCGCAAACCACTCTGTAGTTCTGCTAGGTACATCACGAGAAGAGAGAATGCGGCAGATTCGATCATGTTGCTGCCTTCATCTCTCCTCTGAGAGGTCGGTCCAGAGCTGCGAAATTGGCCCTCTGCCTGGTTGCTGCGCCTCTTTCTCTTGCTTCCTCGACATTCTCGGGGTCGGCCTCTTGTAGCTCAGCCAGGAGGCTGAGCTTGTTTCACTCTCACTACTTGCAGATGGCAACATTGGTAAGGCGAACAGGTGCTGACGCTTGATGGTGCGGCCTCGGTTGGCCTGGCCAGCTGTGTTGTCCAGCCCCGGGCGCATTTATATTTCCAGCTCAACACAGTAGTAACGTTAGATGCAGGGGGCGCCGCAAGGCAGAAAACGTTGGTCGAATCACCCTGCTTTTACGAGCGTGTGGCAAATGACAAGATTACCCCTGGCAGCCCTTCTCGCAAGATTCGTCGCTAATCATGAAGCTACCCCCTGTTGCGGCCGTATGAGGAGCGGCCCGAGAGACAACCCTGCCATCCCACCCATCGATTAATGATTGGCAGGTCCCCCACAAGAATATGATGCCAGATGCATCTTAGTGGGGAGAAGGATCAGCTGGCTAGCGGCTGGCCAACAGTACTTCTACTTTTGCGCCACCCGGTCTCCCATTGACTCAGAGCTATTGACCTCAGTATCATCAACATGGTCGCGGCCAGCTTCATCAGCAAGAGTGTGGTCTAAACAAATCAGTGGATTCGGAGTAGCCGATGCCATTGGGTGGCTGGGATGGCAGTGATATAATGACTTGCAAAGTCGACTCGCAGCGGCAGCGGCAAGGCATAAGGAGGAGTTGCTGTTTGCAGATTCTATCGTGTATAAATACCCAGCTGTTTCTCTGGGACTACTGGTATAGGATCCTTATCTGCTCAACATCATCAGCCTTGATTTGTCAATCATCTCATCAATCCACACCATCGCCATTGGTTTCAACTTCATTTCTTCCCAAAACGTTTCCCAATTACGCACTCTACAATGACTCAAGTTGCCGTTGCAAATGCTACTACCAATGCCCACGTCTCGTCCTCAAAGGATAGTCCGCCCGCTTTCCCACTCCCTTACTGCGACACAGAATCTTCAAACATGGATTTTAGTGCAGTTGACTGCGATATTGCTTTGTTTGAGGGTCCTGAACGACCTTCAGGTTGGCTCTCAACCAGTTTCGCGGCCCTTTCCAAGGTGGTGGCCAAAGCTAAAGGCGCAGCCTCATACCCCGTGGTCGCTTTCATCAAGAAATAGTGAGTCACTTACTCCCCTTCTTTACGCACTCGGGCGAAGAATACATGGTTGACCTTTCTCAGCTTGAAGGGAACTAAACTAGTGTTTGTCATCGGTCAGGCAGGCACCGGGAAGAGCACACTCCTCAATGAGCTCACTGGGCAGGATCTCCCAGTCGGAAAAACCCATAAGTCAGGTACAATGTCCAGTACTCATGCACTGTCAAATTTCGCGTTTTCTTTCTCCCTCTCCCCCCCTCCTTCGTTCATCCCTGTACCTCTGTTCCATTCCATATCTGGAAACTGACCTAGGTGTATCAAGGAACCAAAGCACATCATGTTCGTCCCGCAATCATCGAGGGGCAGCAGTACATTTTTGTTGATACTGCCGGTTTTGGCGCGGCAGACATTGATGACATGGACAACTTCCATGACATAGTCGCATGTTTAGATGCCCTGGCACCATTCGTCACGATTGCTGGGGTTTTGTTTGTCTACGGTGGCAATCAAGCTCGAATGACGATTTCAGATCTGGCCACTGTCCAATGGATGAAGTGCTTTTGTGGCCCAGCATTCTTCCAATCAATCACCTTTGTCACCACAAAATGGGATAGCCTCTCTGATGACGCTTTTGAGGAATCTTGGGAGGAGAGTCTGCCAGCGCTACTGAAGGAGCAGTGCATTCAAGATCTGCTGAACCCTGAATCAACTGGCTCTCATCGTTACCACGGAGCCCATGTCTATCATCACGGCATTAGAGGTGGCAAAGGCTTCAAGCTAGCTGCTGATACACAGAGACTGTCTCGCAAAAGGATGGCTGAAGAAAGAGCCCAAACTGCTCAGTCAATGATCCGTGATCGGTACCAAAGCCCCCCCACGGTTAAGATGCAAATTTTGGAGGAAAACGCGCGTGGAATACCTTGGGATGAGACCGAGTCTGCCAAGGCTTTGCAGGGGAATCCCTCATTGCTTGATTTCCATGTTCAAGATGGCTTCGCGAGGCTTTCCGGTAGAAAAGCGCCTGCCATTAGCAATACTCCAGAAGGAGAGCCAGTTGCTGGAATGGGAGGGGCTGAGACGCAAAAACAGGACACAGGCCACCCTGAAGCAAACCAGGGGGGTTCTCCATCCAAACCCCCAAACCCTTCAACGACTGGATCCAAACATTCTGAGAAAGACCAGTTCAAGCCACAAACCACTTGGCGGGAGGCAGTTATCGCTTGGGTTGATGTCGCGAAAGACGCTGCTTTTTTCTTCTTCGAGGCGAAGATGAAAAAGGCCCCGCCTGGACCGACTGCATGGTCTGATGTTTGGGGGTCTCTTCGCAACTGGTGGTCGGATAACGTTCCGAAATAACAAGCGCAATATACCCTGGAGCTTCGGTAATTCAGGTGTGCTGTCTGATTTCTGTCATTTATTGTGTGTTTGTTTCGTCTTTTTTGTTTTGTTCTCTCGCCAGTCTGCCAAGAAACTGTGAAGCTAGTATGAGCGAGAAGATGGACAATGGTCATTTGAGTGCTATTGAAATAACTTGCATATCATCAGATTGAAATACGATATACAATGTGATCGATCACTGGAGCCATATTCTCAATTTCAAACAATTGTCGATTTTATACCAAGTTGTAGTGGTGCTGGTCAACTCACCTACCCTATACTGAGAGGAGGGGGGACATGCGCGGAAACGGCTCAAAGGAGCACAAAGAAATTCCTTACTAAGTTTTGTAAAAGTCCAGTATTCTATAACTATACATTCGAAGCCAGCTATACATCCATTAAGCAGTAACAGCCCCCTTTTTCGCCACGTTGAAATCATAGTCGTCAATGACCTTGACCTTTTCCGCTGACGCCGAGTTCTAACCAACCACCACAGACCATCAGCACTCCCTGGATCCAAAACTTGTTTTACTCATCAGTTCTCAAAACTCACAGGATCAAACTCGTATCCCAGCCACTCCCCGACCAGCCTCCGCGCCAGCTCCAGGCCGATGACGCGCTGGCCCAGACACAGCACCTGCGCGTTGTTGCTCTTCACCGCGCGCTCTACGGAGAAGCCGTCGTGCGCGGTGACGGCGCGAACGCCGGGCACCTTGTTGGCCGCGATGGCCACGCCGAGGCCGGTGCCGCAGATGAGCAGCGCGCGGTCGGCGGTGCCGTTGGCCACGGCCTCGGCGGCGGCCAGCGCAAAGGTCGAGTAGGCGGTGGTGTCGGAGGCGGAGGAGGGGCCGACGCGGATGACGGAGGCGACGCGCGGGTCGGAGGCGAGGTCGGCGGCCAGCGCGGTCTGGTAGGCGAAGCCGGCGTCGTCACCGCCGAGAGCGATGCGGAGGTTGGAGGGCATGGTGGAAGATGAAGGGTGATGGCGTGGGGAGGAGTGTATAAGGTGAGGGAGGAGGTGTCGTGGACTGGTCAACAGCCCTATGGGAGTCGAAGACCGGCATTTATTAGATGACGACAGAAATTATACATCTTCTGAAAATCAATGGCTGCATCTCTCAACATCAGACCACTGGCCTAGGCCGCATCTCGGCGTTGACGCTATTCCAAGCTGTTGTGCCTCGAGACGCGGTCCCCGTGATGGTCGGTCGACAGCCGAGGACAGTAGCCGGCGGCCTACAAGCGACGGAGGGAGCAGGATTGTCTCGACTAGCCATTGAATGAACATCATTCCTTCATTCAATAGCTTATTAATGTATTAAAATACTTTCGTCGAGAAGAGAGCACCGCAAGTGTCTTTGCAGCCGCCCATTGCCTCCACCCGACCCCGACACCAATTGCCTCCTTGCAAACTTCTTGACAGCTTCATCTTGCGTACATCGTCTCTCCCATCATCCACCATGGCAGCCTGGGATCCCACCAAGAACAAGACCTACCAGATCCTCAAGCACGCCGAGGATCACGGCTACGGCGTGCTCGCCCCCATCGCCTACAACATCGAGCACGTCCTCGCCTTCGTTCAGGCCGCCGAAGCCAAGCGCAGCCCGCTCATCATCCAGGTCTTCCCCTGGGCCATCACCTTCTCCTCCGGCCTGCTCGTCATCGCCGCCGCGCACGCCGCCCGCAACGCCTCCGTGCCCGTCGCCGTGCACCTCGACCACGCGCAGGACGAGGCGATGATCCGGCACGCGGCCGACGCGCTGCCGTTTGACAGCATCATGGTGGACATGAGCCATTACGAGATGGAGGAGAACTTGGCAAAGACGGCGGAGTTGGTCAAGTATTGTCACGAGAGAGGGGTGGCGACGGAGGCTGAGCCGGGGAGGATCGAGGGCGGCGAGGATGGGATTGCGGACACGGAGGACTTGGAGGGCAAGTTGACAACGGAGGAGCAGGTGGAGGATTTTGTGGCGACGGGGATTGATTTCCTGGCGCCGGCGTTTGGAAACGTCCACGGCGAGTACGGACCACGCGGCCCGGAGCTGCAGTTTGACAGGTGAGCACTGGCGAGAGGGATGGTACGAGTGTGGTAGTTTGGCACTGACACGTCTTGGATTAGGTTACAGAGAATTCGGGAAAAGGTCAATGGCCGGGTGCGCGTCGTCCTGCATGGGACGAATGACTTCCCGGAACCCATCATGAGACGGTGCATCGCGGGCGGCGTGTCCAAGGTTAACGTCAACAAGCTTGTGCTGGACGATTATCTGATTCACCTGCAGACGACTGCCCCAAAGCTTAACTTAACGACGTCCATGGAGCAGGGCGTCAAGGCGGTGCGGAAGCTGATGGAGCGGCAGATGGACGTGTGCAAGTCGACGGGGATGGCAGATAGGGCATAGAATGCTTGACAGAAACTTGGAGGAAAATAGAAAAAAATATAAAGTTAAATCCAGACTATTACAGGCTGCTCCGCTACCAGTACAATAGAGATACAGAAACGCTTGACCAAAACCACCTCATACAGACCCCCGGTATCACCGCCCATCATCACCACGCCCACCGTAATCATCCGCGTCCGCCCTCTCCCAGTCCCTCCTCAAATCCTCCCTCCACCTCGCCATCGGCGGCCATCCCACGCGCGCCTCACAATCCTCCATCAACCTCACGATCCTCTCCCTCCGGGCCGCCTCCGTCACGCACAGCCCCGCGCCGTACAGGCACTGAGCCGACAGCACCTGGCAGCCCTCCTCCGTCAGCCGCATCGCGATCCCGCAAATGGTGTTGACCGCCTCTGATAGCGTCCGCTGCATCTTCAAGTACCCGCGGAACCCACCCGCCTCGCCTCCGTGCAGGGTCAGCAGGATCTGCGCGAAGCTGAAAGCCTGCAGTGCGGTGCCGAACTGCGGCGGGTGGATCCACAGCGGCGTGAACACCTCCGCCTCGGCGCCGGCGCCGGGTTCATCCCTCGGCGTGGGCAGAACCTTGTACTCGTCGCCGATGCACGCCCGCCACTGCTCCATCATGCCGGCCAACCTCTCCCGCTGCTTCGCCAGCTTCCCCCCCCCCGCTCCTCCCGCCTGCTGCAGCGCGGCGGCGCGGTAGTTGATGGCCTGCGAGAGGATGTAGATCGCCCGGTCCGCCAGCTCATCTTGATCCAGCTCGCCAATCGCCCGACGCGGCGCCCAGAAGCTCAGGCAGGCGCGGGACTCGCGGAAGGCGGCCCAGACGTCCTGCCGCAGCCAGGCCCACCAGACGGCCTGGCGCAGGCCGCCGCAGCCGCCGTCGACGTCCTGGCTGCGCTGGATCCAGAAGATGCCCTTGAGGTGGCGCTGCCAGTTGCCGCTGCCGTCGGCCTCGTCGAGCATCTCGTACGCCGAGATGGTCAGCGCCGTCGCCAGCAGCTCCTCCGAGTGCGAGTAGCTCGGGTACCGGAGCGCCTCGCGCACGTACTGCAGCGTCTCGTAGTAGTACCGGATCCATTCCCCTTCCTCGTGCTCGGCGCCGTCGCTGCCGTGCCGGTGCTTCGAGGACAGCGCCAGGATCGCCTTCATCAGCCCCGCGTTCCGGATCGCGAGCCGGATCGCGTAGCTGGAGAAGAGCCGCCGCGGGTCGAAGACGTCCAGCCACGAGGCGCAGCGGTCGGCAAAGTGCCGGAAGAGCGTGGCCTCGTGCGCGGAGAGCTCCACGTCGCCGCCGGACTGCCACGCGGTGCGCTCGAGCTCCGGGTCCAGGTCGTCCGGCAGCTGCGCCTGGCCGTTGAGCAGCGCGGGGGAGACGTGCACCAGGATAGGCGTCGCCTGATGCGGGAGCCGCGGCGCTGGCGCTTGTCCGTCGGCGGCGAGCAGCAGCCCGTTGGCCAGCGCCGGGTAGCCGTTGTCGGCCTGCACGGCGTCGCTGGCCAGCAGGTCCAGCCATCGGATGGAGGCAAAGTTGGCAGACCACGACTCGGAGGAGATGGACTGCGGCGAGCAGATGAAGCCACCGTCGCCCTGCGCCGAGGCCAGCTGCTCCTCGCCGGCAGCTGGCAGCGCTTGGCCGACGTGGCTGCCGTAGTCGTTCGATACATCAGGTTGCCGTGCAGGAGCAGGGCTCAACGACGAAGTCTCTGGTTGCCGTTCCTGGGCAGATTCCGGTTGCCGATGGTTGCCGCCGACGACTGTCGGCTGTCCTCGTACCGGCGTGGACTGCGCCGACGTCACCGAGGCCGAGACGGTTGCGGAGCCGTTCTCGGGAAAAGCGCACTGGCGATCCGAGATGGAGCAGGGACCGCACACTGGGCGCTTCTCGTCGCATTTCTTATGCCTCTTCCGACACGTTAAACTGCGCGTGGCGTGTCTGTTTAGCATGGGGACGCGAGCCGCCAGGGACACGTACATACCATCCGGTGGTGGTCCGGAGCCCCGTGCCGCGCGACTTTCGGGCGCGCTTCCGCGGTCGCTCCCCCGGGTCGCCGTTCGCGGTGACGTCTGGCATCTGTGCGCGCGTGACTTCGACGGTTAAACTCGGTTGCGTCTCGAGGATAACGATGGACAGGGTATGAGGCTATATATTGAGTGTTTGGTTACCGTCTCGGGGAACCAATTGCGGAGGAAGAAGTGGGTTTTTAGGCGGACGAGCGGGGCGGAAGCGCGGCTTCATCCGAAACATGTCGCAGCAGAGCTGGAGATGCTGAATCCGCAATGTTGGGGAAGTTGACGAGGTCGAACTGGTTAATCGACAGCATCTAGAAGGGGATCAGACCAGCGGCGTGACTGACTTGGCGGCCGGGCTTGCAACTTTGTAGCGAATGCCTAGTCAAAGGCCGTCGGCTACACTTGTAAGTCAGCTGAACCCAATATCTTGACCAACTGGTTAGCTTTCCAACTCTACAGTTAACCCGCAAGTACCCGCAACTCGATCAGCAGCCATTACAAGCCAAAGTAACTAGTCAAGCTAACCATCGAGTTAAGATGGCCAACATCTGTCCCGGGGTCTCGGTAGACTATACCTTAAGACTGTACTCTTACCCCACATTCTGCGAGCTCTTCACCAAGCCCTAGGTGAAGCCCGCATCTGGGAATCGTGGCTTCATTCGGTGGCGTGACCGCGTCTCGCGGCACACATGCCAACCCCGGGCCGCTGCCGAGCCGCACAGTCTCCGGCTCCGGGATCGCACCGGCAACGACTGTCTTGGATGCGCCGAGAACGCTGCGTCGCTGTCAAAATCCCGTACAAACTGATGAAGCCCTTAATACAATAATGTAGCTACGAAGCCGCCCCCTAACTCTCCTCCCTCCCCCTCTGTCTCCCACTAACAAACCTCCTCCTCCTTCGCAATGTCAACGCGACACTACTTTCCCTCCACCGCCGCCAACACGCTGGTGCCGCGCGCCCTCCGCGCCCTCACCTCCGCGCACCCTCACCTGCTCCTCGACGAGCCGCAGCGCGTCGTCTCCCACCGGCACCACGACCTCGCCCGCGTCAGCGTCGTCGGCGGCGGCGGCTCCGGCCACGAGCCCGCCTGGAGCGGCTTCGTCGGCGACGGCCTGCTCTCCGCCGCCGCGTGCGGCGACATCTTCGCCTCCCCGAGCGCCGCCCAGGTGCTCGCCGCCATGGAGGCCGCGCCGTCCGAGCAGGGCACAATCTTGCTCATCACCAATTACACGGGCGACCGGCTGCACTTTGGGCTGGCGGCGGAAAAGGCAAAGGTAAAAGGAGCAGCGTCGGGACGGGATAGACGTGTGGCGATCGTGGCGGCGACGGACGACGTTTCTATCGGGAGGAGCAAGTGCGCTCGGGTCGGCCGGAGAGGTCTGCCCGGCCACATTTTCAGTAAGCCGGATGCCTGGCTGGTGCGTCCAAGATGTTTCGTGCTGACGTGGTGACACAGCCATGAAGATTTTGTGCGCCGCGGCGGCGGAAGGCTGGCTCTTTGACGACTGCGTGCGCCTCGCCGAGGCCGTCAACGCCGAGACCGTATCCATCGGCTCGGCGCTCGACCACTGCCACGTCCCCGGCCGCCAGCACCAGTCCGTCGCGGACGACACCTGCATCATCGGCGCCGGGATCCACAACGAGCCCGGCCGGCGCGTGCTGACGCCGTTCCCGTCCATCGACGCCATCGTCCAGGAATGCCTCGGTCTGCTGTGCGACCAGGACGACCCCGAGCGGAGCTTCGTCAAGTTCGACACCGGGGATGAGGTGGTGATGCTGATCAACAACTACGGGGGCCTGTCGGTGCTGGAACTCGGCGCGCTGACGGACGAGGTGCAGACGCAGCTGGCAAAGCGGTACGGCGTGAGGCCCTGCCGCACCATGGTCGGCACGTTCGAGACGTCGCTCAACGCCCCGGGCTTCTCCATTTCTCTGGCGAATCTATCCGCAGCTGCGAGGCGGCACGGCACAACCGCTTCCACACTACTAAAGCTTCTTGACCGGCCCACGACGGCCGTCTCATGGCCCAACATCATACGTCATGGCAACATCGCAGAGCAGAACAACAGCACAGCAAGCACAAATGGTGCAGGTGCAGAGAAGGAACCCGTCGCGGACGGATCCGGGCCGGAGACCTTCCCCGTCGACGCGACGCTACTAGAACGCGGCGTGCGGTCGGCGTGCGAGGCCGCTATCGCCGCGGAACCGTATCTCACCCGGTGGGACATGGTCATGGGCGACGGCGACTGCGGCGAGGCCGTCAAGGACCTATCTCTATCCGTCCTCGCCGTCCTCGACACCACCCCCACCACCACCTCCCTTCTCAGCTTCCTGCGCGCCCTCATGGACACGGTCGACAAAATGGGTGGCACCCTCGGCGCCATCTTCGGCATCTTCCTATCCGCGCTGTACTCCGCCCTCGCCGGCGGTGCCCGGCTACCCGCCGCCGTAGCCTCGGCCGTCGCCAGCCTGCAGAGCCACACGCCGGCGCGCGAGGGCGACCGCACCGTCATGGACGTCTTCATCCCGTTCGCGGCGGCGTACGCGAGCGGGGACGGGGACTTTGCGGCGGCGGTGCGCGTGGCGGGCGACAAGGCGCTGGGCACGCGAAGGATCAGACCCAGCCTGGGAAGGGCGAGCTACGTCGGCGAGGAGGCGGCCGCGCGGGAGCTTCCGGACCCGGGCGCCTGGGCGCTCTACGAGATGCTCTGGGGCCTTGCGCAGGGGCTCGGCGTGGAGGTGCCGCGGCTGAGCAGGGACGATGCAGAGGGGTAGACTGGAAGACGGGGATAAGTGTTTATCATTGCAGGAGTTGGTATAATTTAGCTCGGAATGTCAAGCCTCTTCTATCCCACACAAGGTGACTGTGCTTCTAAATTTCCTCGTTCGAATATTCGACCGTACGTGGGAAGGACATCTGTAGCTGGGTATACACGAACAAATATATATGTCGTGATGTTATTTACTGTGCCTTCGGGGGCGTCAAGTTCTGCGTCTTTTCAATCTTGGGCACGGCGCCGAATCGTTGGTTCCCCTGATCCCAGATCTAATTCCTCGAGTCAGCAAATCTCCAACAGCAAGCAACAAGCAAGATAGCCTTAACCACGTTCTGCGTGCACTTACCGCATACACCGACTTGAGAAACGCGTCTCCCAAAATGTCAAACGGGTTGTCGCCGCGCGACTGCACGCCGCCGTACCAGTTCTGCCCGTCTGCCGGCGCAAAAGCCAAGTCCTCCGGCTGGATGACGAAGAGCTTGTCGCCAACCGCAACCTTGAACTCGGGCAGATCCTCCGCCTTTGTCGTCAGTGGGAACACGTAGCCCTGCTGCTGGGAGTCATAGTGCGCGCCGGGAATCGCCGTGTAGAGCGCCTCGCACACGGCGTCGGACACGAGCGCCAGCGTGGTGCCCGTGTCCGCGATCGCCGTGTTTCCTTCCAGCGCCATCGTCTTCCCGGCGACGGACGCGCTCGCCGACGGGAACATCCAGAAGCCCTGCGAGGAGTCGACGTCCGTCCACGCGACGTCCTGCCCGGACGCCTTGACAAGCGCGTCATCGACGTAGCCGAACGTGTAAAACGACTCCGGCCCGTTGGCGTCACGCTCGCTGTAAAAGGCAGAGGTGAACAGCTGCGACGTCTTGGGCACGTCGCCCTGCGAGATCATGTTGGCGACGGGCGTCTGTGCGGGCGCCGGCTGCCCGTCCTTCTTGACCGTGTTGATGGCCGGGAATGCCAGCCCGAGGAGTCCGTCGCCGGTGCCCTTGGCGAACTGGTCCGCGAGCTTGGATGCGAGCTCGACCGTTTGGCCCTGGATGGTCAGACCGCCAATGGTGACGTTGTCGCTGCCGCAGTCGCCGGACGCGGAGCTGCCGTCTCCGTAGGAAATCTGCCACGTCTGCCCGGGCAGCTTCTCGAAGCTGGACGATTTTGATGGGTCAAAGACGGTGTGGCCTTTCTGCGTTGCCGCGTCCAGCTCGGTGGAAAATATCTTGCAGCCCGTCAGTCCTTCATTCCCATGGGAGGGGGGCTGAGTAAACTCACCCACAGATCAGACGAGCCCGTGTCAAAGTCGAGAAGTAGCTTCTGCGGCGGCGTGCCGACTGACACCTCGCATAGATATTCGGAGTCGTTTTGCTGGTCCTCGGCCGTGACCTCTCCCGTCTGCTTGCCCTCGGCATCCAGCGCCTTGGCTAGATGCGAGACGAAGGTCGCGCGGCCCCCAATGGCAACGTGCGACTGTGCGAGGCCGCGCTGGTGTAGGGTAGTCACCCGGCGGTACGGCCCGGGCTTGGTCGGCGCGAAGCCGAAGCGGTTCAGTAGGTAAACGTATGACTTTGTGCCATGACGCTTGTAATTTTGGTTTGGCCTGGCGCGAATCTTGGCCAGTCCGCGTGAGGCCTGGAACTTGGCCTGTGCTTGGAACAATGCTTCCATGATGTATGAATGGCTATCGACTTGTTGAGCTGTGTGGTGGTGATGGCAAGACTTGGTGTATCACGCCCTCGCGGTCTTTATATACATCGTTTCGAAGCTCTGTAACTGTTGCAATATACGCTAGCAATCTCGCTTATTATAGCATGGCATGACGCAAGCCAGTGGCAGATCGTCCGTCGGGTGTTAAGTTTCATCATAGTTGCACATGTCTGGCTATCTGCAGATCTCAATGCCGTACATTTGCACCATAACCTCTCCACGTTGGTGACACTGGCTGCTGGACGTTAGTGCACAAGTGCTATCACTGACGTCAGAAGTTGTCGTAACGCGCCCTAGCAATGGCAGCTCTACAAGTTTCCATCATGAGATCTGCCTGGTTGCCGTCGTGGGAACTCCCGCGACTCCGCTAAAACCACACGATTGAGGGCCATCTGTTTCTATAGCATTGCCTGCTATGTATGAATCAATGGCTTTCAGCTGTTCTGCCCTTGTGGCGCAGCGAACTATGTGCCGCGTTTCCCGTGACGGTGGTGATGCTAGCGGATCGGCAGCATAAAAACGTGCCACAACCCTGCTGAGAAGCTGAGCTTAGCTTTTTAGCGCTCGAGGGCAGTTGATAAGTCGGCCGGCAAATAGTTGGTAACTTCCTAGAAGCATATTTCCAGCGCGACAAGGGTCATGGCAATCGATCCTGTGCCGTTTTATTGTGTTATGCAACACAAGTGGCAAGTTGTTATATAATATGTCGCAAGAGCCGCTCAGAGTGTTCTGGAGGGCAAAACACTTGTCTTGGCTCCCGCCAAGATTGGCGATATTGCTGAGTGCAAAGTAATGTAGAGCCACAAGTGGAGGATCCGATCTTGCGCGATTCGTGGCTGCCTTGGCTTGTGCTTGGCGTGTTGAACTGGGGACGAACCAACGAACCAGCGGGACAATGGAGAGTAGATTCTTATGGTAGGCTGTCATCCCGCGCCCAGGGTATCAAGGTCAACGAGCTTGCTTTTTGCGTCGGGTGCGACAGACAGACTGTAGTCGCTTGGTACGGAAGACATAGCGAAGCAGCATGCCCCGTCGTCTCTGACTAGATGTTGTTGTGCAGAAGCTAAGCTCTGCTCCCCATCCAGTGACCGGGCCTGTCTGCGGAGTCGAGATTCCGGTTGCTGTTGGGCGTCTCTTCAATCTCTGGCAACTCGCTTCCTTCCACATTCTTCCCCCTCTCTTCTTAGGGAGAAACTCGATCGTTCTTTCTTGTGTCATGTTGAATCTGAAATGTCGCCCCTCTTCTTCCTCGTCTCGGCAATCTATATTCTCTGGTCGGTCATTTCGATCTCCTTAATAAGACCGGTTGGTAAGGGGCGGCTGCTTCCGAACATTATTGCCAAACCCATGACAAAGCTCGCTTCACGTGCGTTCGATTACAACGTTCTCCGCATATGTCAAAACCTCATTCTACAACCCTTTATTTATTTCTCCGACCCTGGTAAGCCAGCGCGGTGTGCATTTCCTTTTCGAGCTACCGTCTCGGCCAGTTCCAGGAAGTCGGGTTGCATTGCAGCGAGCAGCGTGTGGGGGTTTCAACACAATCAATGCAGGGACACTTGTGGCAACGTCTGCGAGTGCCGTGACGGGCTGCTATCATGGTATCGAACTCCGGCCCCAAAAAAGTAGACCCGAAGAGGTAGGTAAGACTGACATGGCGACAAAAGGTGCTTTGACAGCGATGCGAGCTAAGAGAAAAGAGGCGGGTCGAAAATCTCACCCACGGCATTAGCTCTCAGAGCTGAACCAAAATAGTTGGAACATTCTGGAGGTTCGGTCGGCGAAAGTGTCGACTACAGCGTTGAGTATCTGTGTAGGTGTTTTCAGCTCCTCATTTCTCATTAGATGGATGTGCTGCCATTGGGCAGTTGGCCAAGGACGCTGCTTTTCGCCAAGAGACTGGCGCAAGAGAGGGCTGCAGAGCATGGCTGCATCGACGCTAGCAAGGCGATCTGCGAGTTGAGTTGCGCCAGCAAGCTGATCCTTGGGTTCGGAGAATTGGCGATTATTAGCGAGAGCATCCCTTCTTTACTGTCCCGTCTTTCGCAGATGCTATCCTGTGTCGTCCCAGCCATCAACGTTCTAAGAGGTCGCCGTAGCTTAGAACCTCTGAACGAAATCGGACAAAACGCGCTTAATCTGGAAACTTGGCTATTGCAACAACCAAGACTGTGGTCCGGAAAGTTGAGTCGCATCGCACTACTCGCTCTCCTCGTTCACGGGCCCACCAAACGTCTTCAGCCGCGATTCCTATCGGGTTGATGTCCCACCGCGTAGGGCCTATGATTGAATCGATGTCAGCACGTTCCCCGGTTCCATGCAGGAGAAAGAAGGGTTGCCGGCGGCACTTGGTGTTTGACGGCCTTGGGGTTCCCCACGTTCGGTCAGAACTTGGATCGCGGCGCAGGGGTGTCGGCGCAACGGTGGGATCAAGGTGATTGTTAGCTGCGCTCAAGGTTGCAACGGAAGTACATGGTCAATGTCTCGGAGCGGCGAGTGCCGAAACAGTCGACTATAAATACGGCAGGGTCATCTCGCTTAGAGGAGAGGGGTGAAATCTTCACCGCAACAGCACCAACCAAAATGAAGTCCTTCACGTCCATTGTCGCCGGCATCGTCGGCCTTGCCTCCGTTGCCTCTGCCACCGTGCAGGGTTTCGACGTCTCTGGCTACCAGCCCACCGTGAGCTGGGCAGGCGCCTATGGCAGCGGTGCTCGCTTCGTCATGATCAAGGTGCGTTACAGTGTGTGAATGGACCGAGCCGCGGAGCATGCTGACAATCCAGGCCACCGAGGGAACGGGCTACACCTCGCCCAGCTTTAGCTCGCAGTACACCGGCGCCACAAACGCAGGTTTCATCCGCGGCGGCTATCACTTTGCGCTGCCCAACAAGTCTTCCGGCTCTGCGCAGGCCGACTACTTCCTCGCGCACGGCGGTGGCTGGAGCGGCGATGGCATTACCCTTCCGGTAAGTGGTCCATCCGTGTTGTGTTGCTTTATCCGCGCGACGTCGTACTGACAGAAACAGGGCATGCTTGACATCGAGTACAACCCGTACGGTGCCACCTGCTATGGTCTGTCGCAGAGCGCCATGGTCAGCTGGATCAGCGACTTTGTCGAGCACTACAAGTCCAAGACGTCGCAGTACCCCATCATCTACACGACGACGGACTGGTGGAAGACGTGCACTGGCAACAGTGGCGCCTTTGGCCAAAAGTGCCCGCTGAGCCTGGCCCGGTACGCGAGCAGCGTCGGCGAGATCCCCAACGGCTGGCCGTTCCAGACCTTCTGGCAGAACAGCGACAAGTATGCGTACGGCGGTGATTCGCAGATTTTCAACGGCGCGTACTCTCAGCTGCAGAAGATTGCTCGCGGTTAAGCAGGTGCATTGGTCGTTGCGTTTGCCGCCTACTCTGGTGAATGAATCTACAAGGAGGAGAATATTTGTTGGCTGTGGCTTGAAAGTGGCAACGGAAATAAGTCGTTTTCTAGCCTGCTACAGCTTTCAGGGGCTTATCCACAAACTGCATAACACGATGACGTAACTGCGTGTCGCAGACAGCAGATGTGTGATGTGTACATAGCTAGAAGAGATCAGATTGTCAATATGAAGCTGTCCACATAGCGACTACGGAGTACTGTAGATACCCTTACGAATTAGGACAGTTCTTTATATCAACCTTCCGGAAATATGGTTCAACTCGGGATGAACGGACCTTAGCGTTTCCAAGCCACAATTCGACAGGCCAAATCGGGGAACTACAGTGGCTCAAGCACTAAAAATTCGAAATTCCAGCGGATCTCAGCCTCCTGTGGCTCCTCTGTCGCCGGGTGCAGCCAAGCCTCCGCCACACCTCACGCGACCCCCGACTTTCCTGCCCCCCGACATCCTTCGTCCTCATCCATCCGCCAGCGGCTACGCCTTTCTTTCAAACATCTATTCTTCTTGTCATCCATCGCTGATCCGTTGAATCTCCTCGTCACTAAATCATCCCCCCCTTTTGTGACTTCTAGCCGTCGGGACAGCCGTCTGCTGGCCCCCGCCGTCCATCCACGCCGTTGTCGTCATCGCCCCAGCCCCGAATCAAAGGCCAGCGAGGCCCTCCGCCCCCTCCGGATCCCCGACCAGCAAGAGTTTCATCTTTTCTTCCACTTTGCAATCTCGACGGATCGTCGCATCGCCCAACATGGCCTGGGATTCGCTTTTGCAGACGTCTGCCGTCAACAAATATGTCTTTGGCCGCATTGTACGTTATCTCTGCCCCCCAGACGCTAACGCCGCCATCCATCGCCCTTGCTCCACGCCCACTCTCTCTCTGCCTTGGAACGCGCGACGCTGCGCAACTCTATTTCGTCATACCCTGCGTGGCCTGTCCCTGCACCCTGGCAGCATCCATCAAACCTCAAATGCTGCCAATTCCATTCGCTAACACTCATTCACCTACATAGCCTCTCCTACATACCCTTATCCTCCTCATAGAAATGGCGCTGGCCGCCAGACTCACGGCGAGGTTCAATGCCTCGTACGAGGAGCGACCCCGTACGCCAATCCCTTGGTCGCATTTCACGAGCGCGCAATGCTAACTTGTCAGTCATTACGATGATGGTCACCAATGCCCTGCTCGGTGGCATCGCAGACACCGTCGCACAGGTCATCACAGCATTCCGCCACCGCGTCGTCCGCAAGCCCGGCGGCGCCAAGGACGAGACCGTCACCATCGAGATCCACGAGCTCGGCAAGAGCCCATACTACGAGAAGGATTCGCTCAGCAACTTTGGTCCCTCGACTGGTCGCCCACCCGCATTTGACTTTGAGCGCCTGACCCGCTTCATGGGATACGGCTTCTGCGTCGCGCCCATCCAGTTCCGCTGGTTCAAGCTGCTTGAGCGCCTCTTCCCCATGTCCAAGACGAGCACCTTTGGCCCGGCGCTGAAGCGCGTGGCCTTTGACCAGATTGTCTTTGCGCCGTTTGGTGTGGCCCTCTTCTTTACTGCCATGACGGTGGCTGAGGGTGGTGGGCGCCGAGCCGTCAGCAACAAGCTGCGTGACATGTATGTGCCGACGCTCAAGGCCAACTATGTGGTTTGGCCGGCCGTGCAGCTCGTCAACTTCCGTTTGATGCCTGTGCAGTATCAGTTGGTAAGTTGAGCACCCTCTCTATCCGTGCCGATACCTAACACTGGGCAGCCTTTCGTTTCGACTGTCGGTATTGCTTGGACCGCATACCTATCGCTCACCAACAACACCGACTAAGCAGCTATACATACCGCGAGGCACGTGCTATACATTCATTCGATTCGGAACCCTTCCGAATTAGTCTCAAAAATGCAGTTAGTAGATAGGAGCAGAAAATTGCCAACAGAGGTAGCCTATCATTCAGCTGGCGAGGGTGGATCAGAACACAGCGTGAGGCTGTCGGGTTTTACTACGATTGTATCGTTTTTCCCTTGTATTATTTTGGCTTCACTGGCCATTCTAGGCAACACGGCGCGTGGCGTTTTAATCTATCATTTTTCAACTATACACCAAGAATCGCTCTGTTTGTGCGGTCCATACAGCACCGGGTTTATCCCAGAGCTACACACAAAACAGCTTGCGTGTAACATGGCTAGAGATCTAGGGGCACCTGCAGAAATTTTAACGAAAAGAGGGCGGCTGTGGAGGTAGGTAATATGAGACGTTTGAACAACACCGTTAGATACTTCTGCGCCGAATGCAACTTGATAGGTCGTCCACTCTCTGCTGGAGGAAACCAAACCCGACCGGGTGAGATTGAGCCGTTCATCCTGAGCGTTCATCAACTGGGGCTGCGACGAGCTTATTTCAAGCAGGATTAAACGCCTGGCCTTGTTCATGGGATTAACTCTCTGGATGTGAGCATATCCTACGTTGGCCTAGGCCTTGTCATATCCGAGCCCGCCTCATATCTGCTCTCGGTGGTCTTCGTCCCGAAGTACTCGCGAGCAAACTTTTCTATTGTTGCCCAGTCTAATTCCGCGGTTCCTACGGCAGCACCATCCTTGGATATTCTGGACAAGGCATCTGCGACCCATCTGCGGCAACGCCAGTTGGGGTCATTCTGAACGACCGGGATTTCTCGAAAAATCTTGACAAGTCTCTCCTCATCCTCCACCTTTGCAATCACGATCCTTGCAAGAAGGGTGGCTGTATTCCTGACGTTTTGAAGGGGGACTTCTTCGTAGATCCAGCCTTTAAGCGCATTGTTCTTGGCATGATATCGCGTACCAGGAACGAGAGGAGAGAGTTCAGTTCAGCCTTTGGGCCAAGCAGGAATCCCCAATGGTACCTAAGTGCAACCCACTGGATCATATAGCCATGCCTCAAGAGGCCCACCAAGGCGGAGGTACGCATGAAAGATCTCAGAGCATCCCTCCAGCAGACATGGACATCTCTACGAACTAGTGGAAGCGCAGCGAACAAAGACTGAGTTTGGGTAGATTTCTAAACCATAATATGCCAAAAAAGATACTACATACTAGCACCAGCTTACAGAATCCAACACGGCACATCAAAATCCTCGTTTGTACCTGATACATTCTCCTTGATGATCTATGCTGTGCTCGAAGGCGGTCCACGTCTACCCCATGCATAGTGAGATTCAAGACGTTTATACAGCATTGGAGATTGCATCAAATGGAGAAATTATAGTCTTCGTCACATTAGTGATATGGAAATGGTCAAGAAATGGCTTGCATACACCTGATCGCCACTAGAATAACGTTGCAGCATAATAAAGGAGTCTTTGTATCCGGGTCGTAGTCATCAACCGTGCAGTCGATTTGGCATTTCCTGACGAAAGCTAATAATAATGGAGGACGAATCAGTTAAAGAACAGGTACCAGGAGTTTGGAAGCTGCAGTAAGTTGTTCTCCATTGCTGCCTCAATATTGAGGCACCAAGTAGCGGGGACGCACCGACCATGGTAGACGCAGAAGTGCTTCCCCCAGCCTTCCCTTCTCCCCTCATCTTTATCATCAATTGTGCCTCTGTGACGAGGGCTGCATGACAGCCTGGGCCTCCTGACTCCAGGGCTAATTGCAACATGTATCGGAGAGCTGCTGACGATCAGCAAGCATGTAAGCACCAGCAAAATACGACCCAGCAGTAGCAGAGGACAAGTATTAGGCGCTGTGAAGATGCTCAGCAGGAGCCCCTTTTTGTGCCCCCGCGAATGCACTCACCAACGGCTCACTGCTCAACACAAACCGTGAATTCATGGTCTGCCATCTGAGATATGGAAAGCGAGCCATCATAATTCTTTCAGCACCTTCCGAAGCCTGTGAATCCTGTCGAGATGTCTGCGAGTCTCGGTGGTCTGGCTGGAATGACAACACTTAAATGTTAACACAAAAGATTGTATTGCCACTCTTAGCATCTCATTGGATCGCTTTGTTCCTGTTGCTGCAATGGGTTCTTGCCTGCACTTGCCGATGCGTGAGTCCTTGCCTGGCAAGGCAAGCGCCCACCCACACACAACTGTTGGGCATTCATACTGCATCCTCTGTTGCAAGTAGCACACCCACGCATGGTTCAAGCTGCAGTGGCTTACCATATTGATGCGGACTGGTCAGCCGAAATCCTTTGACGTGGCTACCATGAGGCCATTGGCTGGCCCAGATGAACCTGAGTAACGGCTTGGGACGTTGAGGCTGGGCCGCAGAGACAGGTCACCACCAAGACCAATGATACAGCCGCTGCCCACCGAAACACAATGCGGCCTGATTGCGAACCACATCGGTCGATTCAAGGCTATAAGTACGGGCTGTAGTAGCCTTGTGCGAACGGACTCGACACTTCAGTTTCGAGTCCATCGCCCATAGATATACCATCTAACACTACACAAGTGGATGTCGCCATGCCAGAGCTAAAGCCGAAACAGAATGGCAAAGAGGAGACTGGCGTGCCAGCCAAAGAGGCCAACGGCCCGTCTTCCGACATCATCGCTCTCGTCTCATCGAGCGAGATCTTCCAGCAGCTGCTCCAGATCGACGTTGAAAACAAGCGGCTGAAGGAACGAAACGCGGCACTCGAAGTGACTAATAATACAAATATGGACACGATTTCGGAGAAGCGTGACGCCTGGTCCGCCGAGAAGGCGGCGTTGGAGCGTGCGCTGCAGAGCGAGCGAGACGAGACCAAGACCCTGCGCGAGGCCAGGGCCAAGGCGGACGAGCTGTCCCAGCAGATCAAGAACCAGGAGCGCCATATCCTCGCGCTGGGTGAGAAGATCAAGAAGAAGGGTGTCGAGATTGGTCGCCACCAAGCTCTATGCGAGACGGCCAAAGAGGAGCTCGAAAGGGAAAGGTTGAACGCGAAGGTCTTGGGCGACTCCTTTCAGAAGACTCAGCAGGAACTAGACTGCAGAAAGAAGGATCTGGCAACGGCGAACGAGACCCTTGTCGAGATCCAGTCTTTTGTTACGCCGCTACAGCCCCTGGCAAATCGCAAAACGCAAATGTACGTGTGTTCTCTTCCTAGTCTCTGCTTCATTCTCTGGTAGAATACAGCTAACACAACACAGTCAGGATGCGCTGGGAAATGTGTTTCGCCAGTTCCTAGATCTCTTTGTTGCCGAGTTTGGTGGCGACGTCAATCTCGGCGTGCCAGCTGCGGAGGCAATGAAAAATTTCCGCCCGCTGCCAGCATCCAGCTCTACAGCTGCAAAGCGGATGAGGGTCGCTGCCGCTCTTGAAATATCCGGCGAGGCCCTCATTCAGCATGTCTTCCGGCAGCCGCTCGTGAATCATGACCTGAACGGCGCGTTGAAGACCGCGGCCATGCACGATCCGGAACACGCAGCGTATGTTCGTGCCATTCTCCTGCGTTTGCACAAGCTGCTACTAGAGGATGAGCAGAAGCAGATACAGGAGGTCAACGTTCAGAACGCGGTGGGAGAAATTACGACTGCACTGGGGAAAGTGACGCCCCGGGCGGCATCTGGGCTTGCGCCGAAACTGAAGCCGCTCTGCGATGCGGCTGCCGAGGCCTGGAATTTGACGCTGGAAGTCGAGAACAATATCGAGGCGCATTTGCAATTCGAGGAGGTGCCCGGCGAATGGCGCTCTGTACCTCTCGCGGAGACGGACAAGAAGCAGCCGTCTTCCAGTGCAGCAGCAGCAGCAGGCAACGGCAAGTCGCCAGCCCCACCGAATCAGCAGCAGTCGCAACAACCCTCGCTCAGCGATGCGGATGTAGTGAGGGTTGTCTGGCCGGCCTTGACGGCGCACGTAGCCGAAGCGGAAGGGCAGGCCGAGTTTGAGCTTGTGAGCTGCGGCTACGTCCTGACGTGGGCACAGACGAAGGAGGCCGAGGTGGAGGTGGAGTCGGCGTGCAAGCAGGCACGGCAGGATATTAGGCGTCAGGCGATGTCGGCGACGGCAGAGGGAAAAAAAAGACGAAATTCCTCTGTGTACATTCGGGGCATGTCGGTCGTGTCCAACGGGGGTTAAGCTGGCTACTGCGATCCGATTCGCGGCGGCGCTGGTGATGCATGATGGGGTCACCAGAGCATGTTCGGGGCTACTTTTTCTTTACTTTGTTGACTACTCCGAGCTGTAGGACAAGGGTACGTCACTTTGATTTTTCTTTTCCATTCTGCCATGACAGAGTGAGCATTATGAAGGCCGCGGTCGGCGATGTTTTGGTTGACCAGCGCTCTACACAGAGTCCCAACACGGCACAGGAACAACCAGTTTGTAATCATTCGAGCGAAATCGCCCAAAGATTGAATATTTATCAGATAGTTATCAAATTTTACTTTCTGTTCTCGTTCGCAGGTTCTTAACCATGGCGACGAAGAGCGTAGCCTGGAATGTGTCTCTATGACCTGACCAGTACCATCAATTCCATCACCGAACGCTAGAGATACATATAAAGCGAGTTCAATATAGCTGCTGACTCCAAAAGAATAATAAGATTGAATATGTCCAAAAACACGGGTGGCAATGTTTATCCCTCCGAGAACCTTGAAAGTGGGGGTTGACGTAAATTACCTCGCCCTGGCTGTTGCCCCTCCATCCCACCTTGCTTTCAACATCTCTCCTAGCTTTAACAAGGAGCAACAAGGAGCTACACAAACAATTCCCTCTTCTCCTAGATATTGCACAAAGCCCACTGCATCACTTTCAAAATGTCTCTCTCTAGCAAGCTCTCCATCACCGACGTCGACGTCAAGGGCAAGCGCGTCCTCATTCGGGTGCGTCCGGGTACCCCGCCATCACCACCACCACCTCCTCCAAGCTACCCGTCAAACCTCGCGATCGAAGCATCATGCTAACTCTTGCTCGCCCACAGGTCGACTTCAACGTGCCCCTCGACGGCACCACCGTCACCAACCCGCAGCGCATCGTCGGCGCCATCCCGACCATCAAGCATGCCCTCGACCACGGCGCCAAGGCCGTCGTCCTCATGTCCCACCTCGGCCGCCCCAACGGCCAGGTCAACGCAAAGTACTCGCTCAAGCCCGTCATTCCGGTGCTCGAGAAGCAGCTCGGCAAGACGGTCACGTTTGCGCCCGACTGCGTCGGCCCCGAGGTCGAGAAGATCGTCAACGGCGCGGACAACGGCGCCGTCATCCTGCTCGAGAACCTGCGCTTCCACATTGAGGAGGAGGGCAGCGCCAAGGACGCCGATGGCAACAAGACTAAGGCCGACAAGGCCAAGGTGGACGAGTTCCGCAAGGGCCTCACCGCTCTCGGTGACGTCTACGTCAGTATGTATCACCTTTTTTCTAAACACGCAAGCTTGCTTCAGGATGCTGTGCTAACTTTATGTAGACGACGCCTTCGGTACCGCCCACCGCGCCCACTCCTCCATGGTCGGCGTCCAGCTTCCCCAGAAGGCTGCCGGTTTCCTCATGAAGAAGGAGCTCGACTACTTCGCCAAGGCCCTCGAGTCGCCCGAGCGCCCGTTCCTCGCCATCCTCGGCGGCGCCAAGATCTCGGACAAGATCCAGCTCATCGACAACCTGCTCGACAAGGTCAACACGCTCATCGTCTGCGGCGGCATGGCCTTCACCTTCAAAAAGGTCATCGACGGCATGAAGATTGGCAACTCGCTCTTCGACGAGCCCGGCTCCAAGACGGTGCCGCAGCTGATGGACAAGGCCAAGGCCAAGAACGTCAAGGTTGTGCTGCCGACCGACTTCGTCATCGCCGACAAGTTCGACAAGGACGCGGCCGAGGGCTACGCGACCGACAAGGATGGCATCCCCGACGGCTGGATGGGTCTCGACTGCGGCGCCGAGTCGGTCAAGCTGTTCCGCGCGGCCATCGACGAGGCCAAGACGATCCTGTGGAACGGCCCCGCGGGTGTCTTCGAGTTTGACAAGTTCGCCAAGGGCACCAAGGCGACGCTGGACGCGGCCGTCGACGGCTGCGGCAAGGGCAAGATTGTCATCATCGGCGGCGGCGACACGGCCACCGTCGCGGCCAAGTACGGTGTCGAGGACAAGCTCAGCCACGTCTCCACCGGCGGCGGCGCCTCGCTCGAGCTGCTCGAGGGCAAGGAGCTGCCCGGCGTCACGGCTCTGTCGAGTAAGTAAAAAACAAAAAGAACAAGGTGCTCGACTCGAGACGTTCGGCCCCGTTTGACGAGAAATGGGCCTCTAGTTAGAAACGGCAGCCGCCTGTAGTGGTTGGGTAAAAAGTAGCATCAATAATGAAGAAAAGACTATAGTTGTTCATGTCCCTGTATAAGCTTAGACTTTGTGCTTGACCTCTATTTCACTTGGTATGGATACCAGCGCAGCGCAAAAAGTCAATCGTTGACCTTGGTGGCCATTGCATTCGTCATTGTGTATAGCATAATCACCCCCATTAAAGCCCAGTCTGACCTCGGACGTCCCGTTGTGCGTATTTTTCTAATTTATTTATTTATTTCGTTCCTTTGTCATCCGCGTGTTATCCTTTGCTCCTCGCTCATCTCCGTTTCGACGACTCAACCTTTTTCAGCTCCTCCCTGTTTTCGCACATTGTTAGCTTCGTTCTTTCCTCGCCTCATTCGACAAGGTTGGTGCGGTGTTGCGCAAGGGGTAAGGGGCGGGTTGCACGCACTTAAGCTGCGTCGAAAAGTCATCCGTCGTGTCGTCGTCGTCCCAGCTTTCCTCCCACAGGTGCTTGGTCTGGCCGTTGGAGCCCTGCGCGGCCTCGGTCTGGTCCTCTGGCCAGTCTTTTCGTCATCTGTTAGCTTTTTTTTTTTTTTTTTTTTTTGGACACGCACCGTCGACGGGAAAGTCTTCAAACTCGTCGTCCTCGCCGAGGGCGGTGGCCTTGGTGTCCTTGGGGGGCTGCTCGGTGGCGGCGGTGGCGGTGGGCTTGTCGTCGGTCTTTTCGGTCGCCATTGCTGGGTCTGTATGTGTGTTGTGCGCGGGCTGGTACAAGGGTGGTTGATTATGGCGACGGGGTGCACGAAGGGAGTGGATGTGGTGGGTGTTGGGAGAGTTCGTGATGGATGTTGTTGGAGCTTAGGGTCAGATCGGAGGTGCTTGGAGAGTGAAGTGGATGCTTTGCTTGCGTGAGCTCTCGCCAGCGCCAGAACGTGGGGCAGTGACTGAGCGGAAGAATTCGGTCCGGGGAGTAGGTAGCTGCCACTATATGGAAAGTATAGACAACAAGAGAACCCTTGCGCAACAGATTCTAGTGGTGAACTTGGAAAGACGGGTCAGAAGAGAGGCCCCTAATTTTCTTTCTTTATTTCTTTCATCTGTAGTGTTGAAGGGATTTTGTAGTAACTTGTTTACGAGACTCGAAACTTGACTTCTGTCTAACCCCGCCAGTACTGTGACAGACAGCACTCTTGACCTGCTTGACAACACGGCGGCTGTACAAGTGCAATAGGAGGAAGAAGAGAAGTTCAAAAGAAAAACATCTGATTTACCAGTGACATAGTTCTTTCGCCTGTCTGAAAGCGAATTCTTTTGTGTTGCTACGCCTGTTGTGCCATGTAGGCCGGCACATGCTCTGGCAGCAGCAGTAGGTAGCCTGTACAACATATTATCTTGGGACCTGCAGCGAGTTGGCACGCGCACTATTTCTAAGAATAAACCCCTCATCATCAATGCATCTAGGGAGCACCATAACACCTCAATGACCGATGTGTGGATTCTTTCAGCCCATTTCAAAGCCTCTAGTGGGTGAATTGGTGTGACGACGAAGCAATGGCTCTTGCAACAGGGGCAGTAACAGCGACGACTGCAAACGCCAGCGGCACGTTACTCTTTGCGTCCTATTTGCGTCATTATACCAGTGAACTCAGGTCTACCAACGACAAGCCACCTTATCAGAACAATCAGAGCATGAATCAGAGCACGAAGTAACACGCATTTTATTGGCTGATAGGACGCCTAAGCCCGTCCAACCTCCACCACAAGCTCGAGCCAACGCCCAACTAGCGCCAGCACAACGCTGCTCCAGCATCCGTCAGACGGATCAGCGAAGCCGGTGCATGCTAAATCCGTCAAAACGGCGTCGAATCAGGGCCGAAACCCCTAAATTCCCAGCAAACACGCCTCTGCTGTCGTCACTACTTGGGCGGGGCCTCAGCGCCTCCCGTCAGATCCGGGCAGTGCACTCGTGCACCGAGTCTCGCCTGTGTTGGGAACCTTTATTCGGCTCGTCTCTTTCCCAATCTTGCCAATCGCATCGCATTTTGCTCTTCCCCTGACCTGGCGCCGCTTTTTTTTCTTCCGGGGTTGAGGCAGCCATCAACTCATCTCCGTCATCTCCCCTTCCCTTAAATACTTGGCGCTGCTCCATCTCCAGGATCGAGGCATCGCCAAACTCATCTCCCCACAGCCCCGGACAACAGCTCCCAACGACGTCATGAGTCGGCTCGCTTCGTGGTTTGGCGGCTCCAAGGCGGCGGAAACCGTCGAGTACCAGGCCGAAATCGACGCAGAGCGCGCCAACCTCGAGTACGCGATGCGCGCGACCAACCTGATCATCGACGACGACATTGACACCGCCAAGAAGGTGCTGGCCGAGGGCGCCTCCTCGGTTTACAAAGACCTCGGCATTGCCCTCATATCCTTCATGAAGGCTATCCTCGGCTTCGAGAAGGAAAACATCGCTCTAGCAGCTAAGCTGCTGGCTGAGTGCGAGGCGCGGGCCTGGCAGGACCTCAAGCACGCAAAGGGACGCCCCGCGGCGAGCCAAATCTTCCCGGCCGGCACTGAGTACGAGGTTGTCGTGGCGCAGACGCAGCTCATGTTGGCCGTTGTTGGCGTTCTCAACGAAAGCGTCATCGAGGCTATGAGTGGCTGCCTGAAGCTGCGACGCGCGTACAATACGCTCGACGCCATCATGGCCAAGGAAAAAGAATATTTTAAGAAGCAGCGCACGCGGACCGGGTCGGGGAGCGCGGCGGTTGCTAGTGCTCGCGCATCAACAGAGGGCAAGAATGTGTTTTCGGCAGCGCACACGCCCTCGTCGTCGAGGACAAGCCTTGAGGGCCTGACGACCGATATGGAGAAGCTGACCGCGCTGGGCACCACGTCGCCGGCGCTGCAGGAAATTGACGTGGAGCTGGCGAATCCGGTTGATGCCTTTATCCACTCCGGCATCAACATGTGCATGGGCATGCTTATGCTCATGATGTCGCTGATGCCTCCAGCGTTTGCGCGTATTCTGGCGGTTGTTGGCTTCAAGGGCGATCGCGAAATAGGCATGCAGATGCTTTGGCGATCCACAGCCCATCATAATGCGGTATTTTGTCCTACACTTGAATTGATATTGACTTTACGTGTCAATTGTAGCATACTGACAAGGGAATGTAGAACGGTGCGTTTGCAGGCATCACGCTTCTCAACTTTTACCACAGCATACTGGGCCTCACCGACATCCAGCCGCACGGGGCCGACTTCGACGAGTCAGCCGAGCCCTACGGCATTCCCCAGAAAAAGGTCGCCGGCCTTCTGGTCACCCTGCGTGCGCGCTTCCCGCAGTCGCGCATGTGGCTCATCGAAGAAGCCAAAGGCCTCGCAAACCGCCGCAACCTCGCTGCAGCTATCGAGATCCTCGAGAGCGGCACAGCGTCCAAGATGAAGCAGATCCAGGCAATCAACGTGTTCACGCTTGCCCTATTCTCCATGTCGGCGCATGACTGGCCGCGCATGCGCAAGTACTTCCTGCAAGTCCTCGAGGTCAACACCTGGAGCCAGGCGCTGTACTACTACATGGCAGGGGTGGCTTCGCTGGAGCTGTACCGCGACGCGGTGGCCCGCGGGGACGCGACAACAGCGGCTGCCGAGAAGAAGAAGGCGGAAGCGTACCTGCGGGACTCTCGCGAGAAGTCGGCCAAGAAAACGTTCATGGCCCGGCAGCTACCCTTTGAGGCGTTCGTGCAGCGCAAGCTGCAGAAGTGGGAGGCGCGCAGCAAGGATCTCGGCGTGGACCTGGCGGACGCTGTGTCGGTTAGTCCCGCGGTGGAAATGACGTTTGCATTTGGCACGACGACGTTGATGTCGACGAGCGAGTTTGACAAGGCCCAGGATTGCCTGGCATGGAGCAGGCTCACGGCGCCAGCGGACAAGCTAGACAAGCTCAAGGATAGGGACGAGCTGGGCGTGCGGGCCGTGTGTCTGGCGTCGATCCTGCGCGGCAGCAACCACCTTGACGAGGCACAGACGTTGCTTCAAAAGGAGGTGCTGTCTCATGACAAGTGTGTATCTAAGTGCCTTATGAACCGGAAGAAGAGAGTCCTGCTAACCAGACCTAGGAATCTGTTCAAGGGCGGCCATAGAGAAGACTACGTCGTGCCGGCGACGCTGCATGAACTGGCGGCCATTGCGTGGGCCGAATGCGATCAGCCGCCGGCCGACCTCGACGCATCGAAGCTCGAAGCGCATCAAAAGGCCAAGGTAAAGGAGTGCGAAGAACATTTGGAAAAGGCGCGTTTGTGGGAGTCGTACGTGCTGGACGGGCGGATAGGCATGCGCATCCAGTGCGGGCTGGCGACGCTTGCGTGGTATCGCAAGACCAAGGGCTGGGTGGCGGCGTAAGAAGGGAGGCGTGCATTTTATGGGAGTTTCTGTATTGATTGCATTTATTGCATTTGTCGCGTTCACGGATAAACGGTGCATTCATGGGAATGGATTTTGGGTTACTGTGCATTAGAAACGAACACAAAAGACTATAGACGGATAGGAATGGGTATCATGTATCAGCATATCAACCGTGACTAGTTACTAGTACGCGACTTTTCACATAGGAACCTTGGAATCAAAACATGGGAACAAACTCTCGCTCTTCAGTCCTCTCTTAATCACGAGTCCCTAGTCGCCTTCTTCTTCCCCTTCCCTCGCAGCACCTCCAGCCCACCTTGAAGCACACCCGCGCCCTCGCTCACCTTGTCCTCCGCATGCCCCCTCACGTTATGCTTGTCCGCCTCCTCCTTGATGTCCTCCATCACATCCCCGCCGCGCCCCGTGCCGTACGCCCAGTCCGCCACGCCGCACGCGCCGAAATTCGCGCCCCCGCGACCCGCGTAGTGCACCGCGCAGCGCCTCGCCAGCCCCCGGGCGATGATCCCCGGCCCGACCGCGTACCCGGACATGGAGATGGTCTCCTCGAGGGTGCACACCGCCACGAAGACAAGGTAGGTGAGGAGGTGCACGCGGAGCAGCGCGGCGGGGACGTACACCGGGACGAGCCGGTGGAGGACCAGCGGGAGCGGGTGGTCGGCGAAGAGTTGTAGGGAGAAGGGCGCGGCGGCGCGGGCGTGTGCATAGCCGAGGTGGAGCCTGGAAACGCCGTAGGGGCCGTGGAGGAGGGAGCGGTGGATGTGGTACTGTAAAAACTCGCGGAGGAGCAGGAGGAGGCCGACGTGGCGGGCGACCTGCCACGGGAGGGGGAGCGTGGCGGATACGAGGAGCTCGGTGCGGCCGAGCACGAGGGCGTAGAGGTAGCTGCAGGCGCCTTCGACTCCGAGTAGGAAGACGGTGTTGAGCGCGGCGAGCGGGAGGACGCGGGCCAGGGCGTAGTGCCGGGGGGGCAGGCCGGCGCGGCCGCCGTGCTTGAGGGGCGCGGCGAGGGAGGGCAGGGCGAGGTCGAAGAGCAGGGTGAGGAGCGAGGGGAGGAGCCAGAGGAGGAGACGCAGGGCGAGGAGGCCGACGAGGTGCACCTTGAGGGGCGGGTGGGAGAGCACGAGGGTGAGCCAGTTGAGGTAGAAGAGGGAGGCGGTAAGGGTGGTGGTGAACCAGGAGGTGGCGGAGGAGGGGAGGAGGAAGTAGCTGAGGAAGGGGAGGGAGAGGAGGAGGTCCATGGTGGTGGTGGTGGTGGAGGTGTTGTGCTGCTGTAGCAATATGATTTTGTTGTTAGGATGATGTTAGTATTATTTTGGTGTTGTTATATTGTGCAGGTTTAGACGCGCGCTGGATGATGTCTTAGAGATCGTCGGGCTTCATTGACGTCATAGGGGCGGGTGTGGCGCGCGTGGGAAACAGGGCTGATGTGGTGCAACCGGGTCTGTAATTTACTAGCTAGTTGAGCGAACTGCTATGAAATTTGTCAAAATGGTGAAAAATCAAGGTAAAAATTATTATTTATTTTCAGTGTCAGCCTACGCCCATTACCACCACTATTCGCAGATCTCATCCAGCCAACAGGTTTCACGCCTCCCCAAACTTGACCGATATACTGCCCGAGCCCGTGCTCACGTCCGTGTGGTGCAGCGGCCGCGCGCCCTTGACGCCCGTGACCCTGTTCCGCGCCGGCCTGTCCGTCTCGACGCCGCCGCCCGTGACCGCCACGCTCCCCGAGCCGCTGCGCGCCTCCACCGTGCCCTCCCACGCCGGCGGGTACACCACTCTCACGCTGCCGCTGCCCGCCGCGTGCTTGCACACGAAGCCGCTCTCCGTGTCCGCCGCCTTCTTCTCCGCCGGTGCTGCCTTCTCCGCTGCTGGGGGGTTGGTGGTGTCCAGGTCCGCGGCGGCCACGACGGCGATGCTCTGCGAGCCGCTGGTGGTGCTGCTCGAAAAGTCGGACCTCCGGTCGCGGCTCATGTCGCGCAGCACACCCGTCAAGTTCTGCGAGCCGCTGGTGGACCGCACGCTGACGGAGCGCGTCAGGCCGAGCACCGCACGGATGCTCCCCGAGGACGTCTGCAGCGCGACCGCGCAGTCCCGGCCCGGCAGGTGTGCGTGCGCATTCGCCGGGTCGACCGCCGCGTTGACGCCCACCGAGCCCGAGCTCGTCTTGACCGAGAGCTTGCACTCCGAGGACGCCGCCTTCTCCAGACGCAGTGGGAGCAAAGTGATGCCCACCGGGCCGGAGCTGGTGGACACGTCGAGGAGGTGCTCCATGGGGAGCGGGCCGGCGACGCTGCCGCTGCGCGTCTCGACGAGTAACTCGCGCGCGAGCGGCGGCGGCGGCGCCTCGATGGCGGACCGGATCGGGTAGTCGGCGGTCTGCAGGTGGAGGCGCGCCAGGCCGACGGCATCCCGGGGCCAGCGCAGGTAGATCTGCAGGGGCTCCGCGGGGGCGGTGTGCACGACGATGGTCTGCGCGGAGTCGGTGATGTCGTTTTGCACGTCGTGCGAGGTGCCGGGTGCGCCGAGGACGTCGAGCACGGCTGGCGCGTCGGCGGGAACGTGCTGCAGGTGGATGGCGCCGGAGCGGCTGGCGATGCTGCTGGTGATGGATTGTAGAGCGCCGAGAAGGCCGCCGGCGGTGGTGATGCCGCTCTTGGGCTTCTGCTGGATGTGCAGGGTGCGGTCGCGGCCGAGGCGGATGGGGATGGAGATGAGCGTGTTCTCCATGGCTGGTGGGACGTGATGGGCCGGCGTGTGATGAGATGATGAGGAGAGGAAAAAGTTGATGACGGATTGATCAAGATACAAAGATGTTGCTGTATGCAATTATTATATGCCAGTGATGGCTGCGGGTGGTGCGTGGCTCCGCGTCAGCAGCTGAAAAAGTTACGCAGCCTCGTCGCCGAAATGGCTGCCCACATCACAGGGCTGAACCTGATTGGGAAGGTATTGGAGGTGAGTGCGTACTCAGCACGTAACAACCTCGCGGCATCTGTAGATTATTTCACAATTTTCACGGCTGACTTGGTCAACTGTTGCGTCGCCAGACACGCAACACCATGTTGGACGGATTTCATTGGAACAGAGCGTAGTGCCAAGAAGCTATAGGGCTGATCAACCCGAACTGGAGCTTCGTCGCTGTCCAATCTGAAGCTGGGCATTGTGTATAGCATGAAGGCGGGTGCAAAACGTTGGCGGCTGCGTGTGAATTGGATTTGATTCTGACAGGTTATAGCATAATAAATGAAGAGAGTTGAAAGGGAAACTTGGACAACCTCGAAAGACTATTGAGACTCCAGGTTGCCTCGCGCGATCTCGTCTGATCTACGTGGACAGAGCCCTGTGGACTGTGGACCACGCCTAGCCTGCTTGATCTGTGCATGCCACGAGGCCTAGTGTGCTGGGCATGACCCGGTAGCTCGGTAGAATAATAAAGGATCAATAATTGCATCTTGCCGTAAGGCTTCCATCTCGCCTATTTCGATGGGCAAGACTGATATTTTGGCCGTCGGTTCAGCCACGGGCTGGACGTCAAAAGCCACCAGTAGAGTCTAGAAGAAAAGAAGTGGGATGCATAAAATTGAATAGGACGGCAGGAACTTGCATATTTGATTTGAATAGTCTCTTTATATTAGTGAGGCTTGTGATTCTCCTTGCAATGCAGTCTTGATTGGCAACTGAGAATGTACAGCCCCGTATAATTCAACCTGATGAACAAATAAAACTTGGTTATTTTTAACGACAGAGACTGGTTGCTTGGCCTCATCACGGCAGATTCTCCCTCCCCGCAACCTGCAACTTCATTCGTGGCCGAGTACGCGTTGCAACGGGGCTGAGCAGCGACCCGGGGCTGCCACCCTCACCGACACAGCCTTGCCCCAGGAAGCAAGTTGCAGGGCTGGGGTGAAATGTTGGTACTGCTTCAAAAAAAAAAGGGACGGAAATAAATAGGACTTATTTTCATGATGGAAACATAGCTAGACTCACCATCGGTATGATGGGGTTGATGTTGAGCTCCGTGTAAGTGAGATGTCGTATGTAAAGGGAAGCCGTTCCGGTTGCAAGTGCCGAGACCCGCCACCGGGCCGGGGGAGGTTGGTCCTTGTTTAATTTGCCACCTCTGATTCTCTATAAAACAGAAAAAAAGGCGCAAAGTATACGGATAAACGAAACACATAAACTGCATCTGGTCGCCAAGGATGCCCGGCCTCCGCTGCCGGGGCTCGTTTGCGCCGGGCAATCAAGGCAAGATGCACTCCGCCCAGCACATATCCAGAGATTCTAACGTCTTTTGGAAGCATTCGTCGGCTCGTCATTTCCATAGTGTTCCAAAACGGTCATGGTCGTGGCTGGGATGACGACTCTATTCGATGGGACTCTCCGTTCTTTGGGACCCAGCACTGTACCTGCAGCTTGCCGCTGGCCGGCACCAGGGCGTTGTCTACCACTCGTTGGAAGAAGCTAATCTAAGAGTATATTGGGTGGCCAAGCTTTGTGGCTTTCGAAGAGGGCTGTGTATCAGGGGAGTTTGGAGTTGACCAGAAACGACGCAAAAGGAAATGCTGGAGAGGAGGTCGACCGGTGCTCCGAATCCGCCATCGCTGAGATTGTAGTTCTGGAATCCCGTGCTCTAAGCCATCAAGCCAGCAATTGCAATCTCCATGGCGAAAGATGAGATTCATGCGCATGTGGTAGGATCTGCCTCTCGCCATGTGGTGTTGACACTCACTGCCTCGCTCATCTGTGGGTGGCGTCGACATCAGGCTATGTCAACAGGCGATCAGCGCGTAGAGTGGTCTGGACTCTGGTCCTTTTGCCTGTGGTAGCTGCTTGTGGTCAGGGGGCTCCTAAAAATATGCGTTTGTTGGCTATAAAGGGGAGACTCTCTTCCCCTCCGTCTCCGTGTTGGTCCTTTTATCCAGGCAACCTCCCTCCCCTCCCCCCAGCACTAATACTTAATAGCCAACTTCGCTCGTTACCTTTCAACCACTTGACTGCCTACTCTTTTTTGTTTTCTTCTTTTCCTATCTTCAATAAAAAAAAAGAACATGCACTTCAACAACGCCCTCCTCCTCGCCGGCGCCGCGGCCGTCGCCCACGCCAAGACGGTCTGCGTCACCGTCGGCGCTGACGGCGGCGTCACCTTCGGCCCCGGCAACAGCAACGCCATCGCGGGGGACATCGTCGAGTTCCGCTTCTTCAAGACGCACTCGATCGTCCAGGCCGCCTTTGACAAGCCCTGCGAGCCGCTCCCCGGCGGCTTCGCCAGCGGCTTCGTCAAGGTCGAGGAGAAGGACTGTGGCCTGTCCACCTTTTCCGTCACCGTCAAGGATGACAAGCCCATCTGGTTCTACTCCGGCCAAGGCGACGCCTGCAAGAAAGTGCGTATTTACAGTACATGGAGAAGAGGATGAGAAGCTAATAAGAGGTTAGGGAATGGTGGGCTCGATCAACGCCCCGGCTACTGGCAACACGCTCCCCGCGTTCTGCGAGGGCGCAAAGGCGTCCAACAAAACCGTCAACCCGACCAAGGTACCTTGCGGCGGAATCCTCGATATCAAGCAGGGCGTGACTATTGGAACCACCCCCGTCGTCGGACAGCCCATCACGTCCGGCCAGCCCAGCATCCCTGGACGGCCGACCACCAGCGTCGTTCCCGGCCAGCCCCAGCCGACTACCAGCGGCGTCCCTGGAAGACCTACCACCAGCGGTGTCGCCGGTCAGCCGAGCAGCAGCGTCTCCGGTAGGCCCAGCAGTGTCGTTCCCGGCCAGCCTAGCAGCTCCGTGTCTGGAAGGCCGTCGACCAGCGTCGCCCCCGGCCAGCCCCAGCCGACCACCAGCGGCGTCCCTGTGAGACCTACCAGTGTTGCTCCCGGCCAGTCTAGCAGCCTCTCCGGCAGGCCCAGCAGCGTCGCCCCCGGCCAGCCCAGCAGCGTCTCCGGCCGCCCTAGCAGCGTCGTCTCCGGCGTCCCCGGCCGCCCCACGACCACCGGCGTTGCCGGACAGCCGACCAGCGTCCGCCCCAGCAGCGTCTCCGGACGACCCAGCAGCGTCTCCGGCCGCCCTTCCAGCGTCTCCGGCAGGCCCACCGGCACCTCCACCAGGCCGGGCGTTCCCGTCGTGACCAACGGCGCGGCTCAGCTCGGTGCCGGTGCGTTGGCCGCCGTGGCGGCTATTGCCATGCTTTAAATGGGTGCCAGTTATAGATTTCAAGTTCCTGTTGAGATGGCAAGGTGGACATGTTTGAGCTGTTTAGTTGAACGGTAGTGTACCGGCTCGAACTGTTTGGTCGTGGTCGATGCCGGTAGCTTGCTAAAATTGATACCTTGAATCAACCCAAATTCAGCTGGATTCTTATTTAAAATTTTACTTCATAGAAATGGAATTGTTATTATTACCCTTTGCAAGGGATCGTGCATGTTGGGCTTGCAGAGTGTCTGAGGGTCGTAGCTTCCTTCGCCAGCTGGCCTTGGAGCCATGAGCACCCTCCTTGCTATCCTGGCTTTCTTCCCGACAACTTCAACTTCGCATTGCTTCATCATCATCGTTAACACTTCATTATAAGCAAGCAGTCAGTTTGGCTATTGATTTCTCACAGTACAGACAGACATTTCTCGCCGACCATGTTCCCACTGCCCAGCGCGGCGAGTGCCTCCGACGATGAGTACTGGGCTTTTTTGGCCGAACAACCGCTTCCATACGAACAATTGCTTCCATACGAACAACCGCTTCCACACGGAGAACCACTTCCATACGGACAACCACTTCCACACGGGCAACCGCTTCCACACGGACAACCGCTTCCATACGAACAACCGCTTCCACACGGAGAACCACTTCCATACGGACAACCACTTCCACACGGGCAACCGCTTCCACACGGACAACCGCTTCCACACGGACAACCGCTTCCACATGACCCCATTACTGGAACAAAGTACGGAGACCGACTGAAACTCCGTCTAAAGGACGGCGGGTTGAGCCTGTGCAGCATTGACGACGAATATGACGGCCCTTTTGCCGCTTGTGCAGGAACGGGCCATACTTTCTTGAAAGCTCAACCTAATCACATCCAAATGAGCGGAAGCTGGGTCGAAGTTGGTTTCTGGCTGCGCGGTACTCGCATGTATAGCAAAAGATCGTTCAAAGACACGCTATCTAACCCGAATATCCCTCACAAGCTCAATTTCTTCAAGATGAAGAGCACGTGCGAGGCTGACGGCCCAAACGAGGCCAAGGGCATTGGCAAGATGTCGGACAATATCATCCCGCCCGAGTCGTATATTATCGGACTGAGCATGATCGATATGGAGCCTGCGGCCATGACAGTGCCGCAAGTCGCAGGCCCGATAAGCACAGATGACACGCTCAACGGGTTTCCAATTGACGGGGTAATCAGTGGCCGCCCATTGGGGCATGCAGTAATTCCCTTGCAAGACATGACGGTACCAGGAAACCTTCGAGCCATAAAAAGCGCTCTCAAGGCCATGGTGGAGGGACGACCTCGATCAGAACCAGGTGCAAAACCCAAGATGAACCATGAACTTAGCCTGCAGGAGAAAGCCTTGCTAGTCAAAGCCACTCGGGAGGCATTTTCTTGGGGAAAGAACCTACCGACGGTTGAACATCTGATGTCGGAGACGGCAAGTTTTATCCTCAGCCTCGGGAGAATTTGTGGGAAGACAGAGCCCATGGTGCGAACACGGGCCATGCCCAAGCAAGAGCTGGATTCGCACATTTCAGCAAGAACATGCTCGACGGTCGATTTTCAAACGTGTAAAGTCAACTTGCTTGTTCGTGGGAGAGACGGCTGCCGCAGCGGCTTTCAATTGCGGGTGGCGCCAATCATGTTGTTGGAATTCGATGAAGCGATGCACAAGCAAATCACGGCGTTTCTCAAGCACTATCCGGCGGACATGGTCAGTCACAGCACGGCCCTTCAGGCATGCTGCGTGTGGACTGATATTCATGCCGACTGGAACAAGTTTTTGGAAAACGCATTCCAGGAAGGGACGGCTGCGGCACCGCCAATGCCAACTCCCAGTCTTGCCGAGGTCATCATCTACTTCCCTGCCTATCTTGCGTTTGCGGAAGCGTACGGCTTGATCGAGTACCCCCATCTGTTTCGCTTTGTCCATCAAGCTTCGAAAAAAGACCGGATGGGGAACAAGGCTTTGGCTGTCGAGAGCACATGCCTGAACGAAGAGGAGATCAAGACTTTTGTGGCGGGAGCGCGATCACGGGTCTGGTGGGCAGATTCGAAAGATCGAATTGCAATCTTACCGTCCGACATGAGGGGCAGCGCGCGTCAGACGGTGGCAGGCGCTGAGGTCCGCAAAGCCTCTGAGATGGCCGTGTGTGGTCTTGGGCCAATTCAAGAGTACGGCCCGACATTCTATCGGGATTGGTACAGCAAGCAATCGTCGACGTGCGTGTTTATGCCGGAACGTATCGCCCGGCATCATTTCCAAAAGACAAAATTCGACTTAGTTGAGAATCCAGACTGGGCCTTTCACCAGAAACAAGCGTTCTTCGGAGCTGCCACGACCATGACGAATTTATGGAATTATGAGCCGCAAGAGTCCCTTCTACCGCCAAACGTAGGCTCTTTTGTATCGCCGACCGGAGCGCAGCTTCCCTCAGTTGTCGACAATATGATGGAAGCTGAGAGATTCAATTCTCTCTTGCAATCCATGAGGCAATATGACGAGCTCGTAGACGGGGACTTCAGTCAAGGAGATCTATACGAGGCAGACTGATGGCAGAGACGGATAAAATGATTGCTGGCGTGATGTAGGGTAGTAGCACTACCAGGCTGACTGCCGTGGTCCGGGGGTCGGAAATCTCGTGTTGGGAGTTTGGCTTGCTAGAAAAGACATTGTTGCTCGTTTGACGAAAAAAGCTGCATTTTTTTTGGTACGGGGCTAATTGACTCTAATCAGTGCTTTTGCATGGTTAGTTCGTTACTCTCTGTTCTGCTGTCTGTTTGTCTTGTCTTGTCTGTTTGATTCTGCCAGGTGTTTCCGCCTAGCGTCTGTTTCGACACCGTTTTAGCACCGTTTTGGCACCGTTTTCTGTCTTGCATACCGTTTCCTTAATATACCATGTAGACCCCGCAATGCCGTTTCTGTTAAATTGGCCAGCCGGGCATGCAGCCACCTTGACCCATTGCCCTCTACGGGTCGATCCGTACCTGCATCTTGTGGGAAAAAAAAAAAGAAAAGGTACATGTGCATTTCCCCAAAGATGATAAGACTATCTACCAATAACAACAATTTAAAATAGGTAGTTAATCCCACGATTGCTCCGCTGAGTATTCCGCCCGCGAACCTGCGCCACTAAAATTATAGACGACCCAGCATTATTACTGTAACTAGTAGCCCGGTACGGAGTACAATGTTAGTTAGCATGGTTCGCCCCGTGGCGCACCGGCCGCCTCAATCAATCAACCCCTGCCCCTGCCCTCCCTTGGCCAGGAGAAGAAGAGAACAGACCAGACAGCGTTCCAAGTTGAGCTGTTCCCCGAGTCCAGGGTTTGTTGGCGCTGGCTTCCATTTTGCCCAGCGATCCCGAACAATTTAACAAAAAAAAGAGGACATCAAGTGGACCGCTTATTTTCATTGTTTGCTCATCCCCCTCTACCGCGCTGCTCCTTGGCGCGCTCATTGCCCTCGCAATCGCCGAATTCACCTTGGGATACTCCCGCTCGCTCGCTCCTCTCCTCCAGCTCCAGAACTCTCCCTCGGTCGGCTCCTCTTCTTTTACTCCATCCACCTGAGGGACCTGAGAGAGACGCACCACCATACTCCGTCCCGTACCTACATACGGATCGTACCCCGTTCCCATTTGTGGCTCCTCCTTCCCGCTTCCGCCTGCACGCCCGCCCGCTGCAAACGAACTCGCGAGACAAAAAAAAATCGTCCGTCCACTCCGTTCCTCTCGCGCGTCATGGACCGCGATCCTGCAGACGGACCCCCCATCGCCGTCCCTTCGCGAACACACTCGAATCGCCTCCTTCACCACCATCGCACCAACAGCGCCCGTTCCAGAATCACAACCGCCTCCGCCGCCCCTGGCCAGACCAAGACGACACCTGGCGCCAGCCCGGAAATCATCTCGGACCTCATTTCCAGCCTCAGCACCTCGCACTTTGACGCGCTGCCCCTCGCCGCCACCGGTCCCTCCCTGCGCCTCAGCCCTGGCGCCGACGCCGTCGATCCCGTCCACGACGTCGCCGCCACGTCGCCCGTCGTCCGCACCGCCAAGCCACCCTCGGGCTACTCCGCCGTCACCTCCCCCAAGAGCCCCCGGCTCCCTACCGACGCCGGCTTCCGATCGCACTTTCGCGCCGGCAGCCTCTCCCGCGCGTCCTCCTCCGCCTCCCTCACCTCCCGCAACGACGATGCCCGCAGCATCGGCAACCTCTCCATAGAACCCGGCACCTCCGTGCCGCCCCCGAACGACCAGGAGCTGCGTCCGCGCCGCTCCCACGACAGCTGGGGCAAGAAGACCGGCCGTCGCCAAAAGGACATGCTGTACATGAGCTCCAAGGAGCGTCTCCGCGAAAAGGACATGGACCGCAAACGCCCAGCTGCCGGTGCTGGTGGTGGTGCCGTGGTCAGCGGCGCTAGCAGCATACATAGCAACGGAGGGGGTGGCCGCGCCGACGCGTTCCTCGCCGAGACGGCCATCAGCGAGGAGCCCGGCCTGGCCACCCCGCGCTACTCGAGCGACTCGTTCAGCGCATTCCAGGCCATCCCCAACCGCGAGTCCAGCCTGCGCAAGCCCGGCCAGAAGAAGCGCTCCAGCGCCCGCCGGTCCAGGCAGAACAGCGAATCGGACCCCATACCGGAGGGCCCCGAGTACGGTCGCGGCGGCGGCGCCATGTCGCGCACGACCGCCCACAAGCGCGTCGAGTCCGAGGCGGCACGCTCGTTTCTGTTCGACGTCGACGAGTACGCGGCGGTGACCCAGGCCCTCGACGACCAGTACGAGCGCGAGAACGGCCGCCCGGTGCCGTCGCCCGACTACCGACAGAAGAGCTTCCTCGACGACTTCGAGCACGAGGGCGCCCCGGCGCCCGCCATCGCCAACGGCCGTCGGGCGTACGAGCGGGAGCACGGCGGCAGCGGCCGCCTGAGCCCGTTCCCGTCCGCCGACCTGCGGGCGAAAGGGAGCGGCTCGAAGCTGAAGCGGCTCTCCGGCGTCGGTCCGCTGCCGCTGAGCCCCTCGCGCACCAGCGAGCAGTCCGACCGGACTACTACTGCTCATCCGATAACGTACGAGCGGCCGGCGTCGGCGGACTCGATCGACGACGACGTCGAGTCGTACCTGTGCTCGCCGAGGCTGTCGCAGAAGATCACGCACCCGCAGACGGGACGCGTGATTTCGTTCTCCGAAGTGGGCGACCCGGAGGGATCGGCCGTGTTTTGCTGCGTCGGCATGGGGCTGACGCGGTACATTACGACGTTCTACGACGAGCTGGCGCTGACATTGAAGTTGCGCCTCATCACCCCGGACCGTCCAGGCGTGGGCGACAGCGAGCCCTACTCCGACGGCACAACAACACCACTAAGCTGGCCAGGTACGTGCTTTCTACATCTGTTACTATCTATCTATTATGAGCTACCGCTAACATCCCCTAGATGATGTATATGCCATCTGCCAGGCTCTTAAAATCACCAAGTTCTCCATCCTGGCGCACTCGGCCGGCGCCATCTACGCGCTGGCGACGGCGCTGCGGATGCCGCAGCACATTCGCGGCAAGATCCACCTGCTGGCGCCGTGGATCCCGCCGTCGCAGATGAACGTGTTCGGGTCGTCGCAGGAGCCGCCGACGCACGCGCTGCCGACGTCGCAGCGGATCCTGCGGGCGCTGCCGACGCCGATCCTCAAGGCGGCCAACAGCAGCTTCATGAGCGCGACCAGCTCGTCCATCACCAGCTCGCTGCCCAAGTCGCCGCGGCGGACCAAGCGCAAGAGCAATGGAAAGGACGGGCGGAGCGTGACGCCCTCGGAGCGGGACAATGCCGAGATGGCGGCGGCGACGAACGGGGGCGATGCCGCACGCCCCGTCCCGATACCCGACGCCACGGAGAATATGGACCGCAGCATGCAGCCGCCGCAGAGCAGCAGCCTGTACGCCGGCGCCGGGCGGGAGCGGCAGACGACGTACGACCTGCGCCTGACGCACGCCATCTGGGACCTGGCGACGACGGGGGCCAACCCGGCGGTGGACCTGCTGGTGTGCCTGGAGCGGCGTCACGCGATCGGCTTCCGGTACGTGGACATTACGCGGCCGGTGGTGATCCACCACGGCAGCAAGGACAACCGGGTGCCGGTGGACAACGTGCGGTGGCTGGGCAAGGGCATGCGGCGGTGCGAGGTGCGCGTGCTGGAGGGCGAGGGGCACGGGCTGATGGCGAGCGCGAGCGTGATGGGCTCGGTGCTGATGGAGATGAGCAAGGAGTGGGAGGACTGGATGAGGGTGACGGGGGACGACTCGATGCTGAGGCAAAGGGAGAGGGGAAGGAGGACGGTGATGCCGCAGCGGTAGGCGAGTCAATGGTGTTTATCTTTGGTTATACGGTGACCTTTGGCTTTGGCTTTCATGCGTTGGATATCCCTGCCGTGTATTGTTCTTTCTTCGGACGGATCAAGTCGTTTTAATATTAATATCCCGGGTGGTTCTTTTCTATATCCTTGGGCTTTCTGTCTTCTTTTATTATTAGATTTTCTTGTATTTTTTGTTTTGGATATCTGAGGGAACAGCATGCAATGATCTTTTAGCATAGACTCGAATACTACCTGTATTGTTGTCCTCCATCAGACCAGGTGCCTCGCCGTTCTTTGCCAATCCCCCCCCCCCTTCTTCTACGCAACTACTGCCCATCCGTCAGCACCCGCGTCCAGTCGTACTTGCGCCACTCCTTCTTGAACCCCTCCACGCGGGGATCATCCCGCTGCCACCTCCCCTGCTTCCTCGCCAGGTGCGGCTCCGCGCCCACGATGCCCGCCACCACCTCCCTCGCGAACCGGTCCCCGCGCGGCCACCGGCCCTCGTCCTCCACCACGTGCGCCAGCCCGCGATCCAGCCCGAACCAGACGTGAAAGTACGGCGCCTCCTTCGCCAGCTTCCCGCTCAGCGCCGCCCGTCCCTTCCCCGCCGTCTCCACGACCTTTTTGTGCTGCGCCCACTCCTCGCCCGCCGCGAGGAACGCCTCCCGGAAGTGCGCCGGCGCCGTGGCGCCCTCCTCGTAGGGGATCGGCACCGCAACCAGCGCGGCGTGGCGTCGGAGGCGCGGTCGCGCGGCGTCCTCGTAGAAGAGCACGTCGCGCCCCTGCGCGGCGTACATGCGCGTCAGCGCCTTCATGAAGTTGCGCAGCTCCTCCCACTCGTCGTCGTCGCACTCGAGCAGGTTGGTGCGGTGCGCCGTGGGCACCACCACCGCGCCCCCCGGGGACACCTCCGGCTCCGTGCCAAGCGTGAGGAACGAGCGCGTGCCGAGCGCCAGCACCGGCGCCAGCGGCGGCGTCCCGGTATCCTCGTGGTGGCACAAGGGGCACTTGTCCAGCGCGGCGCTGGCTTTTTGGAACTCGTGGACTGCCGTGTTGCGCAGGTTGGCCTCGCTCTTGTGCACGCGCGCCGCGAGCTTCTCCGCGTTCTCGTCGAGGTACTGCAGGCCCGAGTCGAACTTGGCGTCCTTGGCGATGCGCTCGGCGAGGCGCGCGCCCTCGCCGCCGGGTTGGCCGCGGGTGCGGAGCTCCTCGCGCAGCATGTCGTCGACGGTCATGTCGTCGTTGGCGACGACGGTGCCGCGCTCGCGCCCGCGGCGGGTCGAGCACGACGGACTGCGCGGCGGAGGCGGAGGGCGCGGTGAAGGCAGCGGCGGCGCGGTTGTATTCGTCTTGGAGTTGCGCGGCGTTGGGCGCGCGGCGGAGCTTGGCCTTCATCATCTGCGCGCGGAGGCGGTTCAGCGCCGTCTGGTCCATGGGCGGCGGGACGACCGTGGCAGCTGATGTTGTGGTGACTGCTTCCGTACGAGGCGGAGGAGGCGTCGGCGAGCGAGGCTTTTGCGCGGCCAGACGCTCCTTGTAGAGGTCGCCGCTCGGCTTCTCCTTCATGGCGTAGCCCTTGCCGTAGCTCTTGGCGCGGTCCAGCTCCTGCCTCTCCTCCCTAGCGTCGTCGAACTCGCGCAGGCTGCCGAAGCGCTCGACGGCGACGTCCTCGACGGGCCGCCCCGTCTCCTCGGCCATGCTGTGCACGCCGCGCAGCTTGGTCATGCGCCAGGAGGAGCCGGAGTCGCCAAACGTGTAGTCGACGACGTGCTCCTCGGCGGGCTGTTGCTGTTCGGGGGGGTGACCGAGGCCACGATTGATTTCTCGGGCGGAGATGACGCGCTCCGGCTCGCGCGGGGGCGTCTTCTCCTTGGCTACCGGTCGGTGGACGTGCTCGATGTCGAGGGCGGATGGCGCGGTCATCCAGGCGTCTCGGACGAGCGTGGTGCCTGACTCGGTCGATGGCGGTTTCTCATCGGAGTCTCTTCGTCTCTCGGTTCGGTCGCGGTCATGGCGATGCCTGTCTCGGTCTCTGTGCTCGTCGCGCGACCGTCGGCGGCGTTTGTGTCTGTGGTCGTCGTCCTCGTCACGGTGACGTCGGCGATGGCGGTCGTCATCGTGGTGGTGTCGATGGCGGTGCTTCTTTCGGTCGTCCCGCCGCTCGCGCTCTGCCTTTTCGGCGGCGAGCTGCTTCTCAAACTCGTCGAGGCCGTCCATGATGTGATGATGGAGATGGTAGATGGAGGTGGAATGAATGGTGAAGCTCAAGACAGCTAAAAGTTTGCCCCACTGGGATGGGAGCAGACAGCTATTTTTATCAGCACATTAACCTAGAGTGAATAAATACGCATGTAGTATTGCGTGTAAATTTTAATCATCTTATTAATTTTAATCGTCTTATTACAATTCGTCTATATTATTCTAGTCATTGCCCTTTTGCGACTAGCATTTGACCCGGCGGTACTGCACCACCTCGTCCTGGCCAAAGATTCGCTCGACCTCTATTCGATACCCTCTTATACGAGGAACCATCTTTGTCCATACTGCCCAGTATAGCACGCCGGATAATAATACAAGGAGTCCCAATAGTGGAACGAGGAAGAATGTATCCTTTCCAAGAGCAGAGGCAGGAGGGGGGACGAATGGCCCGATGATGAGCAGCCCGTTGAAGAGTAAAAATACGACAGAAATGGGCAGATACGTATGCCAAGGTGACTTCCAGCGTTCCGACTTGTTCCACTGGAGACGGATGAGACCAACTGTGAGTAGCAGGTTGATCCATGCTCGAGGATGTACAGATCTGTCTTGTTAGCTGTGATCACCACTGACACGAGGCAGTCGGACCTACAGTTCTATGAGGGCATCGTACGATTCACCCAGGGGCGGTGCAAAGAGCACAACCATGGTTACTATCCAGTGAAGCAGGAGTGACGCCGCGGGGGCGTTAAAGGGCCGGTTCGAGGCCCAGAACCTGCCGAGCGGCAGGATCCTCTCCTTTGCCAGCTCCTGGTTGAGCCGCGAGTGCGCAAAGCTCGTCGCGAGTACGCTGCCCAGGCTACTCACCGCCACGAACACCGGCAGCGTCTTCGCCGCCGCCGCCTCGCCGAACATGGTCTTGAAGAAGAGCGCCGCCACCAGCGCCTCCGAGCCCGCCAGCTCGCGCGCCGGCACCGCCGCAAAGTACGCCACGTTGGCCAGCACGTACAGCACCGCGACCAGGCCGACCGCCAGCGGCGCCGCGATGGCCAGCGTGCGTCGCGGCGCGCGGACCTCGGCCAGCACGTAGTTGGCGTTCTCCCACCCCGCGAAGCTGTACGTGATGCTGACGATGGCGCCGAGGTATGCGGAGAAGCTTGCACCCCCGGCGGGGGTGTTGGAGAAGGGGCGGTCAAAGTTGTGCGGGTCGTCGTCGGTGCCGCGCAGGCCGGCGAGGGCAGCGAAGCCGGCAAAGGCGACGACCAGCATGACGACCATCTTGAACAGGCCGGCCACGTTCATCAGGCGCACCCCCCACTGCGGGAGCGCCGCGTGCAGAGCGACGGCCAGGGTCGCGCAGGCGGCGCCGATGCCGCGCGCCGCCCACGTCTCCTTCGCGATTCCCGAGGAGGAGGAGGAGGAGGAGGAGGAGGAGGAGGAGCCGCAGGCGTCGACGAGGAGCTGCCCGAAAGCGACGGCGTTGGCCGAGGACACGCCGAGGAGGACCATCTGGGCGGCGAGCACGCAGACGGCGAGGTGGCGCGGGCGCGGGTAGGCGCGGTCGAGGTAGTTCTTCTCGCCGCCGGAGCGGTTGGGCTGGGCGAGGCCGAACTCGAGGTAGAGCGAGAGGCCGCAGAAGGCGAGGAGGCCGCCGAGGAGCCAGAGGAGGAGGGAGAGGCCGACGGAGCCGGTGGCGCGGAAGACGTCGGCGGGAGCGGAGAAGACTGTGGATGGGGTGTGGTGAGAAGCAGGTTGGCTGGGAGGGGAGGATGATGTTTGAAATGGGAGGTGAGCTCTGAGAGGATGGGGAGAGACGTACTGCCGGTGCCAATCATGCTGTTGATGATGAGAAAGGCGACGCTACAGATTCCCAGCTTGCGGTCGTCGGTGTAGGAGAAGCGCTGCGCCTCGACGTCGCGGTGATTGCTGCGGCTGGCTCCCGACTTGTCCGACCCATGGCTGCCGCTGCGATGGGGATGGGGATGCATGTCGATGTATGCGGGATGACTAGATCAACCAGCCATTCAAGATTCAAGATGTCACCTTTGGAGGGAGACGTCGTCGGGGTCTGTCTTGTATGTAAGTTGCCTCCCCCCTCGGAGACGGGCTTCTGGAATTGCATCTGCTCCCCGGCCGCGTCAGGGAGACGAAAGCTTGGCCGCACCTGCGTGCTTGGCCAGGGCGTTGGCGCCGAGACATTCTGTCGTGGGAAGTCTCTGGTCAGCCAGCCAGTCAGTCTGGTTTTTTTCAGGCGGCCTCGCTGACTGAAAGACGCCAAGAAACGGCCAGCGAAAAGCCGTGGCTTCTTCTTGCGGTGAAAGGCAAGGAATAGCAGCGCTGGGCTTTTTGCTCGCCAAGGCCTGGGCGGGTAGCAAAATGGCTGGGTCTCTTGGCCTTGGCCTTTCTGCTGAGGGACTTGGCCAGCCAACACGCATGACCGGGCCGGTCTGGCAGAGATTACTGGTGTTTCATTCAAGTTGAGGGTTTAATCGTGTGCTATTTCTAATCCGATCCATTGTTGTCATTTATTATTCTGCGATCGATCAAGTTGATACCATTAGGGATGGCGGTGCAGTTTCAACTCCTCAGCGGACAGGACGGGAATGCCAAGATGGGATTCCACTTGCTGGCTCTGGGCGTTGTGTTAGTTGTGCTGAGACTGTGACTGTGCTCAACATGTGACAAAGAAAAGACAAAGGACAGACAAAAGAATGACTGACTAAAATTACAAAAATTACAAAAACAAAAACTGACCAAAACCAACCCCTTTCCCCTCCCCGTACCAATCTTCTCTCTTCGCCTCTTCTCTCGCTTCCTCTCTCGCTTCCTCTCTCGTCGTCGTCCTCCCTCCTCCTCCTCCTCCTCCTCCTCCCTCCTCCTCCTCCCTCGTCATCCTCTCCTTGCAAACAACCCAACATCCCCAATGCTGTTATTCCCCCTCGTGCTATTCCACGTGTGCTGCCCGTTGATATAAAACGACGTCACCACCGCGTCATGATCCGACGGCCACAGGTTATACTTGTGCCGAGGATCGCTCACCGGATGCACCCCGTACCCGTTCTTCAACAAGTGAAACACCACGCTGTCCCTCAGCGTCAACTTCATCCCCTCCCCTCCCGCGCCGTACAGCACGTCCACCCGGTCATGCGGCTCCGGCACCGTCTCCCCCGGCAGCCCCCGCAGCGCGTCCCGCCGCACCTCCGACCACGTGTTCCCCGGATCCCCCTTCGGATCCGGCCTCGCCTTCCTGTACAGGTCCGTTAGCCCCGCGCCCACCAAGATCCTCGACACCGGCCATGCCATCTCCGCCCCCGCGCCGCAGTGCGTCCGGGCCGTCTCGTCGGTGTAGTCCAGGTGCGACGGGGACCCGAACCCGCCCGCCACGAAGACCGCCTCCGTCTCCGCGTTGGCCACGTACGGTGCCAGCGTCTCCGCCAGCTCCTCCGCCCTCGCCACCCTCCCGGACCGCTCCTCCATCTCCAGCACCCCGGCCACGCTCGTCTTGTTCCAGCACAGCGCGTGCGGGCCGTACCTCTCCTCCTCCGCTTCGCTTGTGAACGCGGCCGACCACACCACCATCCGCCTCCGCTCATCCCCCGGGATCTCAATCTTGACGCCCGCGGTGCCGCGCGGCCCGCCCTCCAGCGCCTCCACGATCGGGTACCGCGAAATCACCGCCGCGCCGCCCGGCCTGCTAAGCGCCCACCACCCCATCGCCGCCGCCAGCCGCAGCGCCGCGTCGTCCCCGTCCGCCTCCCCCCTCGCCTCCTGCAGCGCCACCACGTCCGCCCCCGTCTTCACGACGGCCGCCACCTGCTTCCTGTGCCGATCCGCCGCGTGCGACCCGGCCTCCCACAGGTTCCACGTCATCACCCGCAGCTCGCTGACCACCGGCTGCTCGTCGCGGTCCGCCACGCGCACGCGCAGCCAGACGCGCTGGTTGAACATGCGCTTCTGGTTGTACCGGCCGCTCGGGTTGACCGCCTGGACCTCGAGGCGCGCGACGCCCTTGGTGTGCGCGTCGGGGGTTCCGTGGAGGATGCCCCGGGGCGTGATGCGCGTCCAGCCGGCGCTGGAGAAGGTGATGCGGAACTCGGTGGCCGGGTCGCCGACCATGCGGAAGAGCCCGCGCACGTCGTGCGACCAGTACCGGCCCTGTCGCGCCGGGGAAAGGGTCACCTCGTCGGCGAGCCAGGCGACGTCGCGCCCGGGGTCGCCGGTGGTGAGATCGACGGGGTCGGCGAGGGTGCGGTACGAGTCGGCGGCGAGGTAGAGCGCGCGGTAGGCGAAGCCGCGCGGGAGCGTGTCGGTCTCGAGGTGCACGCGGTCGTCCATGCCGGGCGCAAACGCCCAGCGCAGCGGCGGGTGCACCTTGGTCCCGTTGACGGGCTCGCCGACGTGCGCGTACCAGATGCCCACCCAGTTGTTCGGCACGGGATCCCGGTTCGTGTACCAGAAGGTGCTCCGTCGCTGGCTGGTGTCCCACACGAGTGTCGGCGTGGGCGTCATGTCGACTTCTTCCTTGAACCGTGGCTTGTAGGCGAGCGTCCGGTTGTCGACGGTGGCCGCTACCGAGGGAAGCATCGCGGCGGCCGCGGAGAGCCACGGGCCGAGACGCATGGTACGGTTTGAACTGCTCTCCAAATCACGCTACCTTGGTGGTATTGTTGTGAAATGTGTGCTCAACTTACTGCACGATAGATATCCACGCTCACGAGTAGCAAAACTGAGAGGGAGCAAGAAAAGTACGTGGCGACCTGGTGATGAACAGACAGTTGTGGCCCTTGTCATGTCCCCAGCCACAGCGTTTATCTTGTTGACCCCGCGGTACCTTCAATTCCTCGCAACAAGGTTCATCACCATGGCATCCCAGGCTAGCATCTCCTCCGCCAGCCATCGTCCACCCAAACTTTGCATCGCCCCATGAGTGCGCTAACGTGTCTTGGGCAGTCCGTCGTGATCCCGAATTCTCCAGTGAAACCTTGCTTCTGTGAGATCTCGGCGAGACATCGGGACATGATTTCCAAGTTCCACGACCGCTTGTCTTCTGCCACAATTCTCTGTCGTGCATGGTCAAGCGACAGCAAATCATCCGACCAACACACTCGACCAACACAACCCCGCAGGTCCCAAGAACGTGGACGTAGATTGGACCCTGCTGCTTCTTCGGCCATGTGTCCGCCCAACTCAATCGCTTGCTACATCACCCGCCGCGTTGCTAGCGAAAACTCAACTTCCCAGCCTCGCCACGTGTCAGGTCTTACCCAGTCTTGTCTTCACCACGGCTGTCTAACTTTGCCGCCGTCGTTCTCGACCTTGGTTGTCTCTGTTTTTGTTTACCTGCTTCTTCAAAGCGCATCGATTACTAATTTAACAAATAATCTCTAGCCCTATCCATGTATATTCACACTAACCATGTACAACAACCCTCCCTCATCACGCCTTGGAGCGCCGACTCCATTGGTGCACCAGTCCCTCATCCTTGCGCTGCACCTCGTCCCACAGCCTGGCCGTCAGGAACTTGTACAGGTAGGTCGACGCTCCGTTGTACGAGATTCCGTGATCGCTGTCCGTGAACGGCACCACCCGGACCTTGGCCGGCGACACGCCGCCGCCCACCAGCAGGTCGACCAGCGCCGCTGCGTTCTGGTAGTGCACGTTGTCGTCGCCGGTGCCGTGCATAATGGCCACGCCGCCCGCGACATTCTTGAAGCCGTTTACGTTGCGAACCGCCGTGTGGTTGTAGCCCGCCTCGTTCTCCTCCAGCCGCTTCATGTACCGCTCCGTGTAGATGGAGTCGTACAGCCGCCAGTCCGTCACCGGCGCCGTGATCAAGCCAAAGGAAAAGGCCCCGGAGTCGGCCTCGACCACCTTGGCCGTCAGATAGCCGCCAAAGGACCATCCCCACATGCCGAACTTGTTGGCATTGATGTAGGAGAAGCGGGAGGCGAGCTCGCGGGCCGCCCAGATCTGGTCCTGCGCCTCCAGCGAGCCGAGCTGCCGCGTCACGGCGCTCCGGAACTTGCGGCCCTTGCCGGCCGTGCCGCGGTTGTCGACGATGTAGGTGATGTACTCCAGCTCGGGATCGGACCCAATGTACGCGGTCCAGCCGAGACCGGCATATGCCTTGGTGACGGACTGCGAGTTGGGTCCTCCGTAGGGGTTGAACAGCACTGGATACTTTTTGCTCGGATCAAAGTTGGCGGGCAGCGTCTGTCGAACGTTGAGGGTGAAGCCATCCGGGTGCTGCAGCTCAAACCAGGTCGTGTTGAGCAGCTTGTACGGCTGCGTCGCCTTGTAGTACTCCTCGTTGCTCTGCAGGGTGCGAAGCGGCGTGGTGCTGTTGACTGAGACGAGCTGCTGGTACGGAATCTCGGGCCCTTGATAGGACAGGATGTAGTATCCCCCGCCGGTGGAAAACGAGGCTCCGTAATAAGCAGGCTGGGACTCGTCAACTAGGGGCGTCGTCTTCAGAGTATCCCACGAGACGCTGTACAGGTGGCGCTCCGTGCTGTGGCGCTTGGAAGCCAGAAACGCGACTCGCTTGCGCTTCGTGTCGACCTTGACGATGCTTCGGACATCCCAGTCCCCGGACGTCAGCTGAATGGCCTCGCCGCCGTTGACGGGATACAGATAGAGGTGCGTCCATCCAGACTCGTCCGAGGTGTCAACGTAGTAGGTGGCATTGCAGTCACCCTTGAGGCTTCCGGCGTATTGAATAGTCCGGTCATTCTCGAACCAGCCGTCCGTGCCGTCGCGCTGGCGAACGACCTTGGACTCGCCCGTCCTGGTGTCGACAGTGATGTGCTTCTCCAGGTCCTGCACCCGGTTGAAGGCGCGGTAGATGAACTTTGTGTGCGTCTTTGTGACCCATGCGACCTCGCCAATGATGGTCTCATCGCCAAACGCATCGACGGGGATGTTCGTGGTCTCCTTTGTCTCGACGTTGAGCAGGTGCAGGCTGACACGAGGGTTCGTCGTGCCGACCTTGGGGTACCGCAGCTTCAATTCCTTGGGATAGACGGGCGCGACTTTCTGGCTGTCCATGTAGTACGGGACGGTAAAGGTGCCGACGCCCGTCTCGTTGAAGCTGAGGAAGGCGATGAACCGGCCGTCGGGCGAGTACCAGAAGGCGGAAGCGCCCGACAGCACCTCTTCCTGGTAGACCCAGTCCGGCACGGCGTTGAACTGGTCGGGGCCGCCGTCGGTGGTGATGCGATGCACGGTGCCGTTGACGTCGCGGACGAATAGATCGTTGCCGCGGACAAAGGCGATGGAGTTCCCGGTGGGCGAGAACTGGGCAAACTGCACATCGCCGGCCTGACCCTCGATCAGAGGACGAGAGGCGCCCGTGGCCGTGTCGACGATGGTGTAGTCGGCCAGGACGGAGTAGCGGTACTCTGGCGTGGAGTTGCTAGCGAACAGGACAGTGCGCTCATCGGCGCTGATCTTGTACGCCCCGTCGCTGGGGATCTGGCTCTTCCTCAGCAAGACGGTCGAGTTGCCAGTGACAATGTCCTGCCGGACGAGGTCGCCGTTGCTGTTCTTAGAGACGTACTGGCCATCCTTGCCGGCAGCGGGAGTCCAGGTCACGGCCGTTCTCCTCGGCGCCAGGCGGGCGTATGGTGTCGTCTCATTGTAGGTGACAAGACGATCGCCGGTGGACGTGGCAGGAAATGGGAGCTGCGTCGCGTTGATTTGCGCAGCGGCAGTCAAGGCCAGAGACAATGCGACATACACCTTCATCTTGACAGCGGGAGATCAAGGTGGTCAAAGAAAGGAGGGTAGTTAGTTGGTTAGCCCGATGAGGGGAAGAGAGCGCCCGCTGCAGTCAGTGGTTGATGGCTGGCTATTTGTATGGCAGCTCATCGCGGAGACATGCATGCCATTTTATATGTCATCCACCCTCCCGCTTCCTCCCGCTTCCTCCCGCTTAAATGTCTTGGATACCAGTGCCTCCTTCCTGCCTGCATGTTCCTGTCTATCTAGCCTTGGTACTCTGCAATCTGTACGGCTCGCGGAATAAGCACAAAGACAGGGCGGCCTTGGCCCAAGGGGAACTGCCATGCCACCTGCCCCTTTGGGAATGAGCCGTCCACCGCCAAGCTGCTCGCCATTAAAGTTTGCCCATTTTGCGTCATTGGAAACTTGTCTCATCTATTCAAAATACGCATCGGAAACACCAGCAAGTTTGCTGCTGGCTGATGCTGTGAGACTCTTGCTCACCCGCGGGCCGTGGCGCTTCCACGGACTTTTTTTTGTCTGCCGCATCGCACAACTAGTCGTGCCATGAGTTCGATCGGATTGCTAGCCGTGGAATTCAAGCGAATTTAGTCCCTTTGACAGCTGCCGAGTCCAGTGGTCGGCTACTCTACCCACGCGACTTTTTGGGTCATTTTGTTACCTAACAACTGAATATGAGGAAATGAGGCCAGCCTTGGCTAATAAGGGGTAACTCGGGCTGCTCCAAAAGTAAGCGAACAGCGCCACAACCTTAATTATACGTGTAATTCTCCGACACCATTATCAATGCTTTCCACATTCAAAAGCGACAATTCAGTTGTTATGGAATACATCTACCGACTTTTTTTTTTTCGCAGTGAAGTGACATTCGTGCCCATCTCCCTGCCTTGTGGTGTCCATCCTGTGGCTGCTGACTGCTAGCGTGGCTTTCATAAACTCTTAGAATAACTCCATCATGAACAAGACATCTTGCCGCATGCCTCAGATGCAACTGGGCATTATGAACGCGAAATTACTTACCAAAAACTCGTCCACAACAAGACACACATCCAAAACCACTCCCCACAATCCAAAGCTGCCGTTGTCGTAGATTATTAGCTGCAGCCGCAATCACTCGCCGCGGTCCAGGGTAGCCCACTTGCATCCATCAACCTCTCTCTCGAACCACCACTGTCGGACAACAATACATAGCGAGAAAAATAGACTCGTCTAGGGAAAGGATTGTTACATTCAACGACATATAGTAACCAGAAGAACCAAATATTCTAGACACCCACGTGGTAAATACTTCCCGTCCGAAAAGGGCAACTCCGCTCCCACTCAGCCTCGTTCCGCACGTCGCGTCCGGCCTCAATACGACTTCTCCGATGTAAGCCATTCGCAGCGCCAACCTCATCGCAACTTATAAAAGCCAGCTCCAATTCTCTCTCCCCCATCTTTACTCAAGCCAAGTGATTAGCCCGGTTAATTGCCTCCTCATCGCCTTGCCCGCCTTCACCGCCCATCATGGCATTCCCAAGAATCACCGACCTGCGCATCGCCTCCGTCCAGTTCGAGAGCATCTCCGGTGACAAGCCCGCCAACCTCGCCACCATCACCCGCCTTGCCGCCACCGCCTCCGCCGCCGGCTGCCACGTCGTCGCCTTCCACGAGTGCTGCATCCCCGGGTACACCTTCGCCGCGCGCCTCTCCCGCGCCGAGCTCGCCGCCGTCGCCGAGCCCGTCCCCACCGGGCCCTCCGTGCAGGCCCTCGTCGCCGCCGCCAAGGCCCACGGGATCATCATCCTCGCCGGCCTCTATGAGCGCGACGAGGCCACCGACGAGCTCTTCAACACGTACGTCTGCGTGTCCGGCGACGGCCTGCTCGCGCGCTTCCGCAAGCTCCACCCGTTCATCAGCGAGCACCTCGCGGCGGGCAGCGAGATCGTCGTCTTCCACCTGCTCGGGTGGCGCGCGGGAGTGCTCATCTGCTACGACAACAACGTCATCGAGAACGTCCGCGCGACAGCGCTGCGGGGTGCGGAGATCCTCTTCGCCCCGCACGTTACCATGTGCACGCCGTCGACGCGGCCCGGCGCCGGCTTCGTCGACCCCGCCCTGTGGCACCGCCGGGCTGAGGATCCAACCACGCTGCGCGCCGAGTTTGACGGCTTGAAGGGGCGTGCGTGGCTGATGAAGTGGCTGCCCGCGAGGGCGTACGACAACGCCATCTATGTCGTCTTCAGCAACCCGATCGGTATGGATGACGACCAGCTCAAGAACGGCTGCAGCATGGTGTTGGATCCGTTTGGCGACGTCATCGCCGAGTGCAGGAAGCTGGACGAGGACATGGCCGTGGCGGTGTGCACGAGGGAGAAGCTGCACCTGGCCGGAGGGTTTCGATATCGCCAGGCGAGACGGCCACAAATTTACGGCGAGATTCTTGCGCAGGATAATAATTCACAGCTCAAGATTGCGTGGATGTAAGTCATGTACATCGAGTAAAGCCGGCATATTATACATCTATTGAAAGATGACCATGTTACGCGTGGTCTGTTGTACCATGCGTGCCAAAGTACTTGGCTAGCTCGCTCTCCAACTCGCTGCCCTCAATGTGCCGCATTTCCTTGGCTCGTTGGACCGGACTGACCTTGTCCGCGTAGGCGCTGGCAAAGATGACATCTAGTTCTTCGAGACTGCGGCCCTTTGGTTCGGGGAAGAAAAACCACACGACGGGGATAATGGCCGCGTTGAAGACGGCAAACATGATGTACGTGCGGTACCCAAGTTTGGCAAAGGCCGGCGGCGTGATCATGACGATGAGAAAGTTGGACAGCCAGTTGGAGCAAGTGGACAGTGCGTTGGCCTGGATGCGGATGCGGAGGTTGGTCATCTCGGCGGGGTACAACCAAGTCATGCCAAGCCAGCCTGGGAAGAGGTTAGAAGTTACGACTGGATTGCAGCGGCATGGGCTTACCAATGGCGAAGAAGGTGTTGAAGACGAAAAGGAAGACTGTGGCCGTCACGCCGTAGGTGGTGTCGAGCTTTGGTGCGCCGTTGGGGAGGGTCGTTCCTGTGGACACTGTTCCGGCCAGAATTGCCATGGACGCCATCATGCCGAAAGCACCAAATAGCATCAATGTACGACGACCGCTCTTCTCGATCAGAGGCAACGCAACCAAAGAGGCCAGAAAGTATTCGGTACCATTGGCAGCGGCCAAAAGACGTGACATTTCTGCACTGAAGCCAAGGGAATTCTCGAACAAGAAGGTGGCGTAGTAGGTAATGAGATTGATGCCGCAGATTTGCTGACCAAACTGAGCGGCGATACCAATGAGGGTTCGGCGTAGATTCTGCGAAGGACCGCCAGTGAGAAGCTCCTTGTTGCTGAATTTGCCCTGCGCACCCTGGGCCTCGATGCCGTCGATGATGTTTTGTACTTCCTGCCGCGTTTCCTCGTCGTCGATGGATTTTCCGAGAAGGCGCGCCGTCACCGACGCAGCCTCGTCCATTCGTCCGTGCATGGCCAGCCAGCGAGGAGACTCGGGCAGATACATAAGCCCCCACATGACGATAAGGGTGAAGAAGCTCTGGAAAGCGATGGGGAAACGCCAGCGAACGGAGCCCTCCAAGAAGTAGAAGCCAAAGTCGATCCAGTACGCAATCATGATGCCGCCCGAAATGAGCGCACCCGAGAGCATGATGAGGAAGCCACGCTTGTGTGGGCGGGCACACTCCGACTGCCAAGTTGGGATCGCTGCGAGAGTTAGGGTGTGAAGCTGGGTATCATACTGTCTTCACTCACTTGATGTCACCATGCCATTACCGACACCGCCAACAATGCGCCCAGCTACAAACAAACCGTACTCAAAGCATGCGGCCTGCATAATGGTACCGATAATCATGATCAGACTCCCCCAGAATGTAGAAGACTTGCGGCCCCAGGATTCGCCATAGAAGAAGACGAGTACTGCGCCGAGGAAACAGCCGATCTGATATATGGCCACGCCAGCCGCCTGGGTATTCGCATCCCCAGTGCACATATCGGGGTTGGGGATTGTCGCATCGTGGTCCAGCCAGCAGATGGGGTTGGCCTGATCACGCGGCGTCATTAAAGGCAGGTTCTTCTGAAAGTCGTCTAGCGTTAGAAGCGCGCTTAGCACGCCTTGGTCGTAGCCAAACATGAGGAAACCGCATGACGCGATGATGCCGATGCAGTTGTTCAGCATCCGGCCTTCCAACAGCTTGCCACGAACGGTCCATTCGGGCAGGCCAAATTTGTCCAGGAAGCTGTTGCTCGGCCGAGTCTTTACATCCCGCTGCTCCTTGCGTGCAAGACCGGCATCAAGGTTTTCTGCCAAACTGGGGCTGGTGTTGCCAGAATCAGCAGAATGTTCGTGCTTTTCCTTGTCTGCCATGGTAAGAAGCTTGTAGAGAAAGGGCGCGCTGGAACCGGAAGTTGGCAGCTTAGTTTGTACATTCGATACGGCGATTCAGCGCATTTTGTATTTGAACATGAGCTTTCATTCTTGGTTAGAGACCAGGAAAAAATTGCCTAGATGCACTTGTGGAGGAATGACTTGCGCATCTAGTCTTGGCTGAGGTCACAGAAGCATCTGTGCTGGAGTGTGCCCCATGATACTTTGAGTAGGCGCCAGTGGATTTTGTCGGGATCTTTCACGACCCATTTTTAGAAGCGGGAATAGTTCACTGATGGGTTACTTCCAACGGCTGACCACTGCTTTGACAAGCCGCTGCGGTGACTGTAGAATGCCTAATCACTTGTGATAACCAGCAGAGGCTTGATTGGTGGTATGTAACGGTAGCGATGGTTGGGCGATGGGAGTACAACTTATCCTGCCGTGATAGCTGGAATCTCAAGGTCGAATTTATTTTTTATGCTACTACGTATTGAAGCGACATCCATTTTGGCCCCTGCAGTTCTCCAAGGGACTGAATCTGGAGATGGGATGGTAGTTTGTAGCCCATATAGATTGTGAAAGCAATGGCAATTCTTGGCGCGCCGCTGATGGCGGGATACCGTACACGGTAAGCCGGGACCGTAAGGCGCTTCGATTATCAGCGATTGCGGCTGCCGGGTCCATTTTAATGACGTCGAACCAAGGCCGGACCAAGCCGCCGCGCCATAGCGTTTTAAGGTTAATAACAGGTTCTGGGTTCAAAAAAGCTCGCAAGGGGGTCGCGTTTTGCGTCGCCTGGGCGACTTGGCAGAATTCTCGGCGGCCAAGTTAGTCGTGTAGCGTCGTCCGTCGCGGGTCTAATATGTCATCGCCCAGGTATCGGCGAAAAACATTGCGGGTCGCAGCCGTTTCTAACAGCATTTCCATTTCCCGTCGATTGCCAACCTGACGGCCGGCAAAGTTTTGGTGGTGTGCTTGGTCGTAGTGAGCACCGTAGAGGTAGCAGCGATAGCAGAGCCGCATGCTGAGTGGATGCGAGACTCACGAGGTTTCACATACATCGGCTGCTGCCGAACTGAGAGCGAGCGTATGCTGCTCGTCATCTGCCGGGCCGACATGGAATCCCGCTGCCATACCCGTACCCATGTGGACCATCATGTGGCAGTGAAGCATCCAGAGCCCGGGGTTGTCCACCAGCACCCGCAGCACAACATGCCCACGCCGAGGCACGCTCACGGTGTCCTTGACGAGAGGGTTTGCCAGGTTCAACGGCCGCGGTAATATCCTCCCAGGATCGAAAGGGTTGTAGCTGCCCCAGCCTGCACGGCCCTCGGCTCTAAAGGATGACAGGACGTAAAAGGAGTGTCCGTGCAGATGCATCGGATGTGAGCCGTCGTCGAGGTTGTTGATAACGAGGTCTACATGCACAGGATCGGGTCCACTCTGCAGGTAGGGAAAGAACTGGTTATCGTCCCAGTCCTGGCGACTCTGTGAGAGGATCGGCTTAGACTGCGGCTTCCACGTGGTGTGATTTACGTAACCGTGTGGCCGGTTACCGAGATGAGACTTGATCATTGTTTTGAGATAAAACAAGATCGTCTGCTGAGCGGGAGGAAGACCTGTCTTCGTCGGAGCATCGGAAGCCAGTTTGTCTAGGCTGATATGCGTTTGCACTGCGGCCAGAGCTCTGGGCGGCTGGAAGTTGGCAGCAAGGAGTGTGTCTGGTAGAGCTGGGAATGCCTGCTCCTCAATGAGCGAGGGATTCGGTCTTGAATAGTTTCTATCGGCGATGTTAGATGCCTGAGACATGGTAATGAGCTTGGGCTGAGGGTTACTTACTCATCATCCAAGTATATGTTGAGCCATGGCTGGCTTTCGGACCCCTCCTTCCACGAGAGCATCAAATCAGTGCGTTCGCCAGGATAGAGGACGCCGATGGCATCGGCTGCAGACGATTGGACGGCGCATCCACCATCCACCTGGATTGGCTCTAGAGTGGCGCCATCTACCATGAGGCTAAGGCCGGATATCGTACCGACATTGACAAGCCGCAACCTCGTCTGGGCAGCCTTGCGACGAAAAATGGGCGTCATGTCAGTAACAGCCCTATCTGTGCAGTTAATTGGGAATGCAGGCATTTCCATGGCGCAGTCAAATCGGCCATGGCCGTTAATCTGAAGAGAATCTGGCACAGGCTCATCGCCAAGACTTGTCCAGCTTGCATACCACTCAAGCACATCTGCTTGTGGCTGGTGGAACCAATCCCCGATCATGAGAAGAACGTCGTCGTAGTCGTGAGGCTTTACGTGCTGCTGTGGAGGATGGACAACCAGTCCGCCGAATAGCCCGTCACCACGCTGAACCTTGTGATGGCTGTGCCACCAAAACGTTCCATGCTCGTCGGGTCCAATGTTAAAGTCATAGACAAAGTCTCTGCCACTGGGAATGGGACACTGCGTGATACCAACAGCCCCGTCCATAGTGTTGTTGCCCCTCAAACGCAAGCCGTGCCAGTGAATGGATAAGCCTTCGTCCGCAAGATGATTACGGACATGTACGATGACTCTATCGCCTGAGCGGGCTTCAATTGTTGGTCCAGGGAATTCCCCTGAAATAGTGTCAGCACTGCCGCTTTTGACGTTGGTAGTCGACGTACCGTTGACAAGATAGACTCGTTTTTCGACCCCATCTGGGCTGCGTAGTCCGGATGTGACTGTCCAGTCGAAGTGTAGTGTTTTTGCATCTCGGTTATTGTGTAGCTGTGGGTGCAGCGGGATGGCAACCTCGTCGCGTGGCTTGGATTGCTGGTGAACGAGGCGCTGGGGTTGGCGGCCGAGGTATGGCCCGACAAGCAGTGTTGCTGCGCAGAAAAAGACAGCAGTTGCAAGCCAAAGTGACATGCGAGTTCCCAATGACCGTTTTCCAGACTGCGCCGGCATATTGCGTCGCGATTTCGCTTGGCTCTCTCGCCCGTCCATCATGATGTCCTGACGGTCAATGGGACCGCCGTGGAAAGACTTGTGTCTTTGTCCAAGTTGATGACGGCTAAATTAGTCCGTCGATTTCACAGCGCGGTTAGACTAAGAGTCAAAATAGGTAGGTTGTCAACCGCGGCTACCCAAGAAGGAAGCTGAGACGGAAGACGGCCTTAGGGTGGTCTCGCAGGATGATGCAACGTGACGGTCCTGGACTATGGCAAGCTCCGAGGAGGGGCATGGCGATTGGCTGGAGCCGTCGGTATCGAATTGGATCGGGTTGCATTGGGGGCGTTGAGGTAGGCGAAGCATTTGAAATCGTACGCATTGTATAGGCTGCGTTTGTCGGTGGTGTACTGTGTCACGCAAGGAGAGTTCAAGGTACATAAGTGGGAGATGTAACACCAGCCAAGATACTAGACTGTGGCACGTGTACATTGAGATCCACTGCCGGGGCTTGTTTAGGGGGCCGCTAGAGGCACCAGGGACGGCTACAAGGCACCGCTAAAACGGTTTGCTGTTAGCGGAAGGGCTGGAGCGCGGCTGGTTGATGTTAGGTAGCTTTATGGAGTACCTGGATGTAGAGAATCACATATGTACACAGTACGAATTACTATATCAAATTAGTAACGACTAGACTATCTCTCAGAAGCGACTCCGCCCTGCACAAATCAGGCACCTCGACTGTAGGGTCTACAGGGCAAATCCGCCTAGCCGTAGCGCGAGCTCAGAGCTGCATGCACTGTTTCTCCCTCCATCTCCACTGAAAATAAAGCACCATGGACACGTCGACTCCACACCGCCAAACCTTCTTTCTTGCTGGCTTCTCTTCCATCTCAACCATCTCCTGCATCCTCCATATTTTCCCGCCATCCATCTCTTGGCCTTGAGCATCATCGCCCCTCGCATGACCCCACACTGTTATTATCATTGTCCACATGCACCGCACTGGTCACTGCGTTGGATCAACCCCACGGCGCATGCCCGGCGCAGATTCTCCCGTCCACCCGACTAATAGCCACTCCTGGTCCCTGTTCCTGGCCGCCATGCTCAACCGCGCTCCCAGACCGAACCATGGCAGTCGTGCGCGCTCCGGTCGCCACGCCGGCCGGGACTTCAGACAGAAGTAACCTTCCAGGTCCAGATCCATAGTTATATGAAGCCTTCCCGCTGCGGTCTTGGCAAGTTTGGGATGCTCTTCCAACTCCTCCTGTCTCGGTGCCACCTTGCCATCATGAGTATTGTCCGTATCGCTTCTTCAGCCGCCACGGCCCTCTTGTACTGGTCCCAGCCCGTCAAGGCCACTGGGCTGGCCGATATCGACCATGTCGTCCTCTTCATGCAGGGTGAGTCTGCACTAAGCTGCACTGCGTGCCATCTGCTAACCAACACATACAGAGAACCGTGCGTTTGACCACTACTTTGGCACCATGCCCGGTGTCCGTGGCTTCGCGGATGCCAACCTGCAGATGAATGACGATAAGCCTGTGTGGAACCAGGTGGTCGACTCCTCGATGACTACCGAGGCTGACCACATTAACCCCTGGTACCTGAACTACCTTGACGGCGACTGGAAGAACATTACACAGTGCATGTATGCTGGTAGTAATGAATGGTCCAAGAATCATGCTGCCTGGAATCACGGTACCAACGATCATTGGGCGATGAACAATACAGTCTACAGTATCGGGTACTTTCAACAGCAGGATATCCCAATCCAGTGGGCGCTTGCTGACGGCTGGGTCGTCGGTGACATGTACCAGGTATGTATTTTATAGCTGCCGAGAATCACTCGCTAACATTTCTTAGGAAGGCGTCGTTGCCTCAACGAGCCCTAACAGAGTAACTTGGGTTTCAGGATCCATCAACTCCCCAGGCAGCCCCCAGAAACCCGATCAGGGCGGCAACCCATACATTGACAATAACGATGTACCCGGCTGCGATTATGGACGCATCAACTGCTACCCGCTCAAATGGAAGACGACGGGTGAAATGTTTGAAAACGCCAACGTCTCCTGGACCGTCTTCCAAGACACCAACGATAACTTTAACGACAACCCTTACGCTTGGTTTGGCCAGTTTCAGGATGCCCCCGAGTCTTCTCCGCTATATCAGAAGGGTATGGTTGGCTCTTCCATGGACTCGTTCTACGAGCGCGCTGCCAACGGCACCCTTCCGGAGCTGTCGTACATCATCGGCCCCACGGTTCTTTCTGAACATACCCCGTACATGCCCAAAGATGGTGGCTGGCTACAGCGCAAGATTGCCGACGCCATCATTAAGTCGCCCAAGTACAACAAGACGGCCCTCATCTACTCTTATGATGAAACCGGTGGTTGGGCTGACCACGTTGATCCCTTCCGCTCCCCCGAAGGCACGGCTGGCGAGTGGCTGGATGACCCCTATGGCGAAGTCGGCTACACCTTCACCGGCCCCGGCTACCGCGTGCCCTTTTACATCATTTCTCCTTGGACACGCAACGGCGGTGTCTACACTGAGCATAGCGATCACAACTCGCAGATCCTCTTCCTTGAGAAGTGGCAGGAGGCCAAGGGCCGCGACGTCAAGACTGATGAGATGGTACCATGGCGCCGCGAAAACATGGGCGACCTCGTCAATGCGTTTGACTTTACCAACCCTGACTATGAGGTTGTCGAGCTTCCTGATACTCCCGAGCCGCACAAGAACTCCAAGGGCCAATGGGACGGCTCTTCATTTTGTCGTGCCAGTTACGAGGAAGACTTACCTCCAGCACCGTACACTGGGCCCGGTGCCATCCAGGACATGAGCACAGTTGTCGGCGAAGGTTTCAAGCCTGTTCGCGGAAAACTCACCGAGGGACGTTACCTGACTTTTGAAAGCAACGGACAGGCCCTGGCAGCCACTAAGTGCGGCGACAAGGCCACCGTGCAGGCGGCCACGGCCAAACACGAGAAAGCGGCCCAACGCTGGGTCATTCACGTCGTCGAGCTCGGAGGTAGCGACTTTACCATTAGCAATGTCGACTGCAGCCAGTACATCTGCACCGACGGTGCGCTCTGCGACAGCGCTGACACGGCCGCCGTCTTCACCCTCGGGTACAGCTCGGGCCAGGGTTATACCCTGCTTGAGAAGGATACGAGTGAGTACTGGGGCGTCAGCAGCGACAGCTCGCTATCATATGGCGAGGAGCCTGGTTACTGGCAGCTGTTCAGCGTCAAGTACTAGAGACTGGGTCTGCGAGAGTAAGTGCATGATACAGCAGATGTTGCTTGAATTTGGTACTTGTGTAAATACGTATCCGTAAATTGAAGTTGCTTGTGCCTAGAACCCACACTCTGCACCATGTCTAGAAGGTGGCAACAGCGTTCCCACTCCGTTTTTATTGTGCTGTGAAGCGCGGCATCGTCCGGCCTCACTCGTGCTCAGGTGGTGCGGCTCGACCGAGTTTAGGGCTCATGCAAAAGCAGCTGGCCAGCGCTTCATCAGGCTTTTCGCTACCTGTTGAATATCCTGAGCCTTATCGCAAGTCTCCGAGTTGTATCCCCGGTACTGCCAGGACACCTCAAACTGACGAATCTTGTCCCCCAAAGCCTTCTCATCGAGCGCGACATCATGCTCCCGAGCGCGCACAAGACCGTCGATGAATATTCCCCATCGCTTGCCGTAGTACGACCTGACAAGACCAGACCAAGCCTTGGCGGCGTAGTCGTCGAGGAGACGCGACTCTGTGCTCCAGACAGTGACCTGGCTGCGGGCGTTGAACGCCACATCCTCCGGAGCGCTGGTGCTCTCGCCCCAGGACTTGGCGCTGTCGAGCCACTGCTTCAACGTGAAGTGCGCGTCGGTGTTGAGGGCCGTGTCCAGATCTTTGAGAAAAGAGAGCATGGACTTGCCCAAGTCTCTGATGACCGTGGCGTTGGCACCGGCTTGGAACTCGTCAACGAGGTTCGTGTAGATGTCGGCGAAGGCGTTGCCCAGGGCTTGTCGCGTGACGTCTACGAAGTCGAGGTGGAACGCAGGCACCTGCAGAAGCCCGGGGGCATCGAGACTGGCGTTGTGGAACAGATGCCAGATGTTCTTCATGACGTTCGGGGGGTACTGCAGGGCGGTGGGCGCAGGCCAGTGGCCGGTGCGGTTCGCCAGGCCCTCAAGCGCGGGGAAGAGCTGGTAGACGGAGACGCCGACGGAGGGGAGAACGTTGTCGCGGACGTCGTACGCGTGCTGTCGGAGCTGCTCCCAGGCGGAAAACACGCCCTCCGGTATGGTCCCCGAGCCGGCATATCTGTTCCTGGCCCACGTGCGGAAATAGTCGGCCGTATCAATCGGAGAGGCTTGCCACGCCTGGTCGAGCAGCAGGTCGTACACGACCTCGTTGCCCTCGTAGCCCTCCGGCGTCAAGCCGTAGCCGACGAGCGAGGGGGATTCCCTGAGCGCCTGCACCGAGTTTTGCGTCACGTTGGTGATCTTTCCGTGCAGGGCCTGGTTGCCGCCAAAGTCGTGCAGCTGGCACCATATCCACGGACGGTCCGCGTAGCTCCGCGTCCGCTGCCACTGCGGCTCGCTCTCGCTGAACAGATCCAGGATGACCATGTCGTTCTTCCCGGGCGGCCCCGCGAGGTACGCGTCGACGCGCTGCTGCGTCCAGAAGCCCTGGCTGGAGTAGAAGAGCCAGCCCTGCATGAGCCAGATGGCCGCCGGGTTCGCCGCGGTGATCCCCGCGTACGTGCTGGCGGAGACGTCGGTGATGTACTTTGCGTCGCCGGATTTGGGGTTGATCTCGTTGAACTGGTCGACCGTGTATACGTTTGTGACGTTGCCAAAGGCTTCTACCTGGTTCGCGATGAACAGCTTCTGCAGCTCCGCGTAGGTCTTGTCGGTCGGGTTCAGGAACGCGGTCGCAGTGTTGTTCGCGGGAACGTCCACCCAGGCGGGCGCGTCCACGACGTCCGCGTCCGGCCGGAGCGTCTTGAGCGCGGCGGGGACGAAGCCGGGAAACCCGGGGAGCACGGGCGTGATGCCGAGCTCCACCATGCGCGCGACGATCTTCTTCTGCAGGGCGAACTGCTGGTCGATCCAGGCGAGGGAGAGCCGGCGCTGGGGGCCCCAGGTGCCGTGGATGTTGCCGAAGCGGTTCCAGGGTTGGAAGGCCTCGCCGCTGAAGAAGGCGAGGATGTCGTCCTGGGCGAGGCCGAGCTGGAGGAAGCTGTCGAGGAAGATGCGCTCGTAGCCGACCCAGGCGAGCTGCAGGTTGACGCCGCGCAGGGCGGCCCAGTCGAGGAGCTTCTCCCAGTCGGACCACGAGTACCAGACAAAGGTGTAGCCAAAGGTGACTTCAGTACTGTTAGGACAGAGATATGGAAGAAAGAGCGTGTGAGCATTATGTACCCGTGTTCAGGTTGTAGCGCCACGGGACCGTGCTGGCTCCTGTAAGCGCTTCCTCAGGGAGCGGGAGACGGTCGGGGAGCTTGTAGACGGTGTCGACGAACCAATGCTCGTCCATTTTGAGCGCATCGTTTGCATAATGGCGTAGCCTGGATACGAGATACGGAATTAGCAACACAATTTTGGGGATGTTGTGAAAAAGAGTGAGGATGAAAACCTACCCTCGAGCCAGGGCACTCAGCGTGGTGCCCTGGACGCGAATCTTGCCATTGCTCGACGAGACGGTGTAATTATCATTGTCGGGTACGTTCCAGCGCGACCAGTTCTCGTGCTCCCGCGTCAGCTCAAACTCAAACTGGGCATCGCGTCCTTGGAAGAGACGCCTTGCCAGACCCTGAATGCCAGCGACCGAGGCTTCGTGAACCGCCGCCGCAGTAGGGGCTGCTGCTAAGAGGATTCGCATCCACTTCATTTTTTCCCTCTTCTCTGTAATAATTCTTCGAGGTCCGCTGCATCGAATAACCGGCTTCCATGGTCGCTTTCGCTTTCATTTATACACAAGATTGGCGATCACCCCAGCGCGCTCTTGCCAGGCGTTCACGGATGTAACGTTGGCCGCAGATCCTTGGTGGACTAGGTCTTGGAAGCCGGGCAAGGACGGTTACCTACATAGTTAGTACTTATTTAGAGCTTAATAAACCTCGGTCGTTGTATGGAGTTCTCCACCGGAGTTTAAGCTCGGCCGACTCTGGGTAAATAGCGAAGGCAGCTTAATAAATTCATGCTTAGTATGTCGATACTAGAGTGAACGGCTGCTAACAGCGCTGTAGTTTGTGATATAACAAGCGTAATATAAGCAGAGAAATGTGACAGCGGAGACAACAGTCTCAGTCTTCCGAGGCCGTATATACACGCCATGTCTCAGCTTGCCGGTAGGGTAATAGTTGCCGTACTTCGGGGTCAACCACGGTTGCACTTACGTTGGGGATAGACGTCCGGAGTGTTCATAACTAGGCACGGACTTGCTACTACAGAACTAGCTTTTATCAGAGACGTCAGCAGACAGGGAGCTTCTAGACTAACGCCATTAGCGTCCTAGCATAGCAATGGAAACATTACAAGGATGTTGCCTGACGTTGATAGTATCGTGGCCCATGCTATAGACGAATTCAAAGGAACGACCCAATTTAGTAGGGATTTTCTGCCTTCCTGCCTGTCCTGCAGCTGGACGGTGGGCTGACAGCCTGGCAGCCCCGCGAGAACCTGTAAACACTTTCCGCCACTTTCCTGCTGTTAGCACCTGTTAGTAGGGTGACGGGTTTACATGCGACGTTGCTACATCTTCTCTATGAACCACTACCGCAAACCTAACAGCAAATTGGAAGAACTTTAGAGAGTTCATGTTTCATTGCAAAGTTAGTTCCGGCGACAATTGCATGACATGTGCGCTGCGAATCTTGTTTGGAACAGTTTCTGTATCGATGGATTCACAGTGTGCTGCTCGTCTGCCATGTGGCTGTCCTCATTCGACAACGCATCAACCGCCAACTCCTAGTCTTCGAACCTCCAGGACACCAATTATTGACGTCCCAGTGCTTGATGGGATTTCCGTGCCGTCACGCCCACCTATAGATAGAAAATGAACTTGACTACTCTATCTTCCTGCCTGACAAGAGTTGCACCCAGGGAAGGCGCGCTGTATGATGCGCGGTAGAAGCGACCAGTTTTGGCCACTACCGAAACCAGTTCCGCCTGACAATGACTCTTTGACCAAATTGGAGGACCTGCAAGCGTCATCCGGCATCAGATCAGGCTGGCAGTTAAGCTGCTCGCTTTTTCCCTTTGCAACACTTTCTTATGCATACAATTCTTCCTTGGGAACAACAAGAGACTGAAAGGTTTTCGTCACTACTATGCCCAAACGGCAGCGTGGCCTCGATAGGCCACTGGGGGAAGAACGACAACCCAAGGCCAACTACCTGGCAGCTGGGGACGAGTCCAACGCCGGCTGCTCAAAGGACCAAAGGGACCCAGGCTCCGACAAAATTCCAGACTGCCAGTGGTGCACCACCGACCCATTCTAAATACATGACAGGGTGATCATCTCTGAAATATATATCTGGTGCTTGATATTTGGACGATGTTGCTTAACATGCTGGAAGTCTTTGATAGCGCGCAGCTCATTCTTCCAGCTGCTGATATCTTGACTTGTCCGGGCAGCCTAAACGACAGAGTCTTTAAAAACAACTTTGAATACCCTATGCGAATGGCCTGAATGGGGATTTTCGTCTGCCACTGAGCATGGAACTCCAGACCGAAGGCGGCTGGCTTCAGTTAGAATATCTAATGAGCTGAGCATGGCGAGGCTTTGTGTGATATTGGAAAGTTGGAATTTGTATTGAGAATGCTTCAGATGGGAACTCGCTGGTATTATGAAAGGCAGTGCACGTGATGCACCTAACTGAAATAGTGCGTCTAGTATCAACAGATAACATAAGCCCTAATAAGCCACCAGCAAGCAGCCGGCGGCTCAGATCCGAGCCGCCTGGACTGCAGCGGCGAGTCTCTCGCGCGACAGGGAGCTGAGTTTCCGGTAGATCTCGAGTGCTCGGTAAATGATAGTGAACTGCAACACATACTAACCATGCTACGGCCAAGGTTGGCGACGTGGCGGGAGGGGCTGCGGGCCCTTGTCGAGTTAATCATCTTTCTATATCTGCTATATCATGGTATTTTGATCTTACTTGGAGGAGAAATACGAGAGGTGCCTCGCTAGAGAGAGGAGGTCCTACTGCCACACAAGAGATCGTAGCATAATACCAAAATTCTCATTCTATATCCAGACTTTACACTACATCAACTCATAATACCTAGCCGCCTTACCTATATTTAGAAAAGTACTAAGATATTCTCTTTTTTTTTATATTGTTAGACCAATTCGGTCCTCCAATGATAGCCTGCTGGAGGTTAGATATAACTAGGAGCTCGTCAATCTTGGCGGGCCTCTATTCGCACAGAAAGTGGCATACTGACCGGCAGCGCCTAGTTCACCTAACTCGTTACGTTATGTAGGCAGCGGCGTTAAGAGCTAATCGTCATCGTCTTCGGACTCGACGACTTAGGGTTAACAAGGCAGGTGTCTATACGGATGGTTTAGCTCCGACGCGTTGACGCAGTGCGCATGGTGGGCAGAGCTGAGACCTTGACGGTTCCCATTTCCAGTCAACGATGTGGAGGCAAGAATACATCCGATGCCGTTGAGATGTCCACGCACAACTGTGTGACACGGGCACCCAGAGTTGCACTGCCACTATGCGACACAGGCTAATGACAGGAACGTGACTACTCGCAGCCGTACGCAGCTGGCGATCGGAGTGATGACTGGCGTGGTATTGGCTGACGAGGTGGGCTGCGCGTGCCGGCACGCTGTACGGAGCCGAAATGTACAGCCCTACCCAAGGCTGAGAAAAGGTAGTAAAGCAGGGTGTTTCGGGCGCGACCAAAGGCTGTAAGGTGAAGATGCCCAGAGTGCTCCAAAGCGCCACGGCGCGCCCGAGCCTAACTAGTCAGGTTGTGAACTCCCCTGTTAGGTTAATGAACAGATCAATGTATGGGGCTTCGGCTCAGCTACTGTACCTAATTAATTGGGGCCGCCCTTATTCCTCCTCGAATGATGTTCATAGACCTACCTATTGTTAAGTTTACAACTGCCGAGGCAAGACTTGTGCATCGCCACGCACGAGTCACTGGTTGAAGAAATTAAACAAATCTCTGTTCATAACACAGCCATCGTAAGATTGCTTGTCGCTTATCCACTTAGTCCAATCTTGAGGATCGTCTCTCGCTAGCCTGTGCTTGGTGGTTACTCAGTATTTAATTCTTTCGGCTCCAACGCCATTCACTCTTCACACAAACGCCCCTGCCTCTTCCCTCCACAGTCTACAACTACTACTGCTACTACTGCTACTACTCGGCTCAACACCTATACAATGGCTCTTCTCACTGCTCTGTACCTTGCACTGGCTTCATTCACACCGGTACTAGGAATATCGCGTTGCGGCGAGAGTGCTCACCGAAGTCTACTTCTCGCTCGATCAGCGATTGATGATCTTGCAGTTACGGGGACAGATGCGAGTGGTCTTGGTACAATCGCGGTTGATACTTACATGCACGCCGTTGCGGGCTCGAGCAACTCCTCCGCTTACATCTCGGTTCGGCTTAACCCGGGTTCAGTCAAAAGAGCTGACTAGCAACTGGAACAGGCTAACGAAGGAAATAGAAAGAAACTATGGAGCGGCAGCTTCAAGTGCTCAACCAAGACTTCAGCCGAGCCAACATCTCTTTTACCCTTCGTAACACAACTTGGACGGAGAACGAGGATTGGGCGTCCGGTGCTAATGGAGTTTATTCCGCCATGGTCGCGACTCTTCATCAAGGCGGTAACGATGCTCTCAACCTCTATTTTGTGGAAGTGGTCTCCCCTTACGGCTTCCCACCACCCTACGACGATGAAAACAACGAGCTTCTCGGCATCGCATCATACCCTTGGGACGCATCCACCACCGACCATACAAGTAGTGTTTGCGTCGTGGCTGCAGGAACGGTTCCCGGCGGTGATAGAGCACCGACAAACCTAGGAAAAACTGCGACTCATGAGGTGGGCCATTGGTTTGGCCTTTATCACCCGTTTGAAGGAGGTTGTGTCGCCGACCCTAATGGCGGAGACCGGGTTTCCGATACTCCCGCCGCCGCTAATGCGACGTTTGGATGTGAAAGTAGTCGTGATAGTTGCCCAGACCTGCCTGGTCTTGATCCACTCCAAAACTTTATGGGGGCTGCAGATGAGTGAGTCTCTTCGTCTCTAGCAGCTTCCCAAGCAGAGCAAGCTACTGAAAGAAAACGAACCCTGATCGGCTAACTTTGCTCGTGTAGTGGTTGCATGGATAACTTCACACCCGGTCAAATCGTAAGAATGCATGCTGCTTGGAACAAATGGAGAAGTCCACTGTCTACTGCGACTACAGAGCCGAGCCCTACGGCATCACCTTCGTCTGGTAGTCAGTTGAGCTATGCGCGGCTTCAGCCAGTATATGCAATTCTTTTTTTTAGTCTATTAGTTAGGTTGGCTTAGAAATCTTACTTTTTTCATGCAGAAACTCGTATCTTCAAGGTGTTCTCCGACGGGCATGAGCTCGCGGTGCACCTCGCAGCGCGCGACGACCTCATCCCCGTCCCGCCGCCCACCCGCGTCACGTATTCGTTTTCCGGGCACCAAGAGTGCAAAGCTTTTGCGCTGATTGTTGTCAGAGGGCCACCGTATGGCGAGACTCACGCCGACGGTCGAGGTACTTATCTCGCGATGGCGCTGGCGGCGGACATGGAGCGACGTCTATGACGGTGCACGTTCCGTAGGGTGTCGGGCTTAAAAGGCGGGCACTTGACCGAGGTGCGACCACATTTGCGGAGTTGGAAAAAGAAAGAAACTCGCACATCAGCGAGTATGACGGCAGTTTTGCGTGCTGGAGCTGCTCTTTTCGCCTGCAAGGCGATTGGGCACCTGCACTTGGCCATGTAGCTCCAGGCCAAGTGCAGGTGCCCAACGAAACAGACTGGCCGCAGCGGGTCTAATCGTACGGATCGTAGACGTCAGGTAGGTCAAAGTCATCAGGTTCGACCCATTCCGCGCCCCACGGACGGATCTCGTCAAGCCAGCTGCGGATCTCGTCAGGCGGGATGGGTCGGTAATATCCTCTAACATTTTTAGTATCTATTATTAATACTTAATTTAATAGTTTGTGAGTCAAAAATAAGTAGGACACGAAGAACGATAGGAAAGCCAGAACCTGTAGGAGCCCGTTTAAGAAGAACAGATAGAAACTGCGTCTTCCCTAACCTTAACCAACCTGGAGCCAACAGAATTTCGACTCCCTAGAAGAATTCCCATTTGCCTCGACTAATCAGGGCGGAGAGCAGTATGCAATGCATTCCCGAGTCTACGTTTATCTTACGGCTTTCTAACTAACACCCTTGTGAAGCGCTTACCTGATCCCCGTAAACATCGCATCCTAGAGCGCTTAGGGAGGTATTCTATCGACCTTCCTTAGAAAGAATAACGCTAAGATCTTTGATCCTACCGATACGAGCCCCAACGCCGCCGATGGTACCTGGTACAAGATTAGAGAATGGAAGGGCAATTTAGGGTAAGCGACACATGACTCCTAGCTACAACACATTCACAGCTAACTACGTACAACCCTTACAGTGCACGGCCTTGATGCAGAACCCTAAGTCCGTCTGCAAGGGCGGGGCTAATATACTTGGTGATTGGGGGTTTAACATTGGCAAGGTTACGTATCAGCTCAACCATCAAACGGGCAAGTTTGAGAGTGTTCTAAGAAGCCGTAAGCTGTCTTGAGGGCCACTGTTATTAGTAAAACTCTCAATCAATTCTCAATAAATAACAAGTATATATTTCTTGCGGGCGGAGTGGATTTTTTTGTTGATCATACTAGGGTTACAACTGCCTAATTAGCGGAGCAAATTAAACCAACAGCAAAGATTGTGAGCATCCAATGTTAAACTCGTCTTCTTGAATTTGCAGGACGGAGTCAAGCTCAATGGCTTGGTCTGACTGTGGACCAGCTGCTGTCCATCTGGTGCGCTCTCTCGTCGGAGTCAATCCAACCAACAATGTTCAGCCCAAGTTGAGTAACTGACAGCTACCATGTGCGCGACGGGCTATGCTACCACGGCTGATACTGCAGCGCACCAACTACTCGTCAAACCAATATTTGATTCCCTTAACCCCCTATGGTACCACACAAAAGCTGAACCCTTGATCAAGACGAGGTGACGAGAGTGCTTCTAGCCCTGCAGTCCCCGTACAAGTCGCATGTGTCGCCTGAGCGCATCATTGATGGGTGGAACTGGTCGAAAACGTCCACGCCAATCATTTTCCGTTTCAATATCAACCTTTGGCACCATACGGGCGTTCACTATCCATGTAGAGTCGAGGGCCACGTCCAACGGTCCGGGGGATGACAATGGGGAATCGACCTTGGCTTCGACAAGATGCTCGCGTAGGCTCATGAGCCACGGATGCACGGCTGGATTGTTCAAAGTTAAGATAAATATAGCGTTTCTTGCAGGAAATGGTGAACCTACTAGCAATATAGTCTTTTATCGTGACGAAGCCTTGTTCTGTAGATGCGGCAACATGCAGGGTAAGCCCTCTCCATTTCATTGGCCTCCCTCTGCCGCAGCATTTGTTCAGGAACTCGGTATTCGAGTCCTCCTCCCAGCTTCCATCCTCCTTCATCTCGCGTGCATAAGGTCGATCCTCGTCACCAAGGTCTCCGTACGTAACGAACTCGGCCTCCTTGTGGTGCTCATGGTGTTGGACCCAGTCATATTCCCAGTCGTCCAAGAATTCGAGGGAAGCCACGATTGAAGAGACAGGCGGTTGCTTCACTGGTAATAATGCGATTTCATGCCAGGTACCGTCTGGATTCTGAAAGGGCTCGAGCCCTTCCTGGCCACTTCGAAAGTTCTTCATGACGGATATGCAAGCAGGAAAGTCGCCTGCGAGAGTCCAGCAGAGGCGATCAGTGCTCTCGCGCTCTTGACGTCTCTTTTCTTTAATTGGACATGTCGAGTCGGTAGCTTCCATTTTGATGCTGCGTCATTAGCATGGCAACTTTGCTTGGTTATAAGTACGCGACAGATACTGATGGTACGGCTCTGACCTCGGGGTGCGCAAATTCGGCGTTGGAGACGAGGATAAATTATTGGCCGATTCCATCCAGCCGAACAATTACTTGATAAAATATGTAGTGGCTCCTTTTTTTTGTTAGTTCGTCGCTGTGGTCGTGTCTCCAGCGCAGCCTGTTTGGGCTGCTTGGGGCAGCACCTACTACCTTGTAAGCGAGCGAGCGATTTGACAACCATCTTCATGTCTAGCGATGAGCGCTTGGCCCTTATCATCGTCAACAATCGAGTCGACCTACTCATCGCTGGAGGAAGAAGGTGGCTGTCCCGCTGACGGATCGGTTTCTGACCTCTGAGAACGTTATTGAGGCGATGTTGCCTCAGCACCGACTGCTTTCTTTGCAAACACGGGTCAATGCTGGAGATGCCGGAGGCTTGTCACTGCCCAAGGGAACTACCAACAACATCAGCCGTTCACAATAGGCTGAGGAATGCACGTATCATTGGCTACGTAGTACAGCCCGCGGTTCTGAGATGACGTTTGACCTTAACAGAGCAGGACTGGCGGGCGTTATCTGAACCTGGGATTTGCATAGATACTTTTAGCATGGAATAATTTCTACACGTATGAGTACAGAGCGAATAGTTTTCGTAGATATAATTGCAAGTGGTCATGGTCAATTATAGCAGGGTAGCGTAAGGCGACCGCTACGGCGACCGCGCTACCCTGGTGGCCGTTCTGCAGGGATTCAACAGATTTATTAAACCTAGCTAGTATACCTGGTTTAAGCCAACTAATATAAGCTATTCACCGTTGTATATGCAGGCCTATTCCTCAGCCCTATACCCTGTAAATGTTTCGTTGAAACTATTTGAATTCGTTGCACTGTGAAAAAGTTAGTCACATCATCCAGACAAAGTGGAAGAGGACTCGTACCCCTAATCTACCAGCGAGGTCATCGCCATGATTGGCGCGAACCTGGTCACAGCTCTCCTGGGAAAAGCCCTGGGAGTTTTGGGGCCCTTGAGGTGCAGGCGTGAAATTGATGCTGCCGTCGGGGTTCTGAGAGAACTGAGGACTAGCCGCGGCAAGTCCGGCAAACAGAATAGCAAGAGTGGCTGAGAACTTCATTTTTGTCGCACACGTTCCAAACAGAGACTCGGTAAGTGGTAGCTGGGGGGTGATAGAATGATAGTACAAAAGTATTCCTGCCAGAGGATACTTGGACACGGATGTTATAAGTAAGAAACTTAATCGGTGTTATGTGTATGGTAGTTGAGGGCTGATGGAAAAATGGTGATAACTATTCAAGACAGACCCTATTTATACACCTCAAATATACTAGAACTTGTCAAAAAAATACAAGGGAGCCTCGCTTAGCCGGAAGTAGCCACTGGCAATAGAACTGAGTAATTCTCTATCGGTATTGATGCCTTAAAGCTGTTTTTAAAACTTGTTACAGATTTTCGTATTACCGCATAATCCCTCACAACTGCTGCTCGGAAGTGCGTAGCATCTCCAGCCAGTAGATACAAACCGACATGTTGGAGGGAACTTCGCAGCTCCATCGCGGTGATGCCTCGTGATGCTTGGCTAAAATTCCAGCGACCAGGAGCTATACAGGCGAAACGACGCATTAGCATAATGAATTGCTAACGAGTAAGGCCGAGTTGTAAACCAGCGACGCCTACTGTTACGGAGGCCCCGACTCATCCCCGGCCCTGCCACCAAGACTCGCAAAACATTAGCTGCGCATACTAGGGTCGCTGTCTCGTGAAAATCTCTCTCTATGTGTAAGTTCTGTACTCAACTCTCGCTCGGTTCGGTTGACAAATCAGCTGAGCCCGAGTCAGTGACAGCCGATAGATCCGCGCGGCTATGTGCACGGAAGTGCAGCCGCTGACCCCGTAGCGACGGGTGCAAGCTGTTGTCTCATCATGCAGAGCGTTGCCTCCAGCGTCCGGGCTTCTTATGCGCAAGGTTGTTGGCATGTTTCACCAGAATCCGCATGGTGCTTATTGTCACATGATTCTAGATGCTACTAGTGATTCTGGGTTATGATTGCTCTAACGCAAATCCGGTAACAACTTCAGTAAGACGACCAAAGCTTTAGGTCAACTCCTTATTCTTGTGCAAACCGAACGGGGCCGTTTGAGATCCTCGAAGGGACCTTGTACAATAGGTAGAAGACTGCACGTATCGTCGTCGTTCCGTCCAAGGTCCAGCACCTCTCTGGAATCGGACCCGTGGCTCTAGATTGTCCGATGCTTGATTTCGACTGAACCTTGGTTTGTGCGCGCATACCTGTCAGTCAGTTATGCTTCATCGACACGCTTTTGGTTCGCAGGCCTGTGTTTGGAGAAGTGGTTTCATCTTGGCGAGCGGGACTAGGGAAGGGCTGTACCCGAACTCGCAAAGTCTGTAGATACTGTCGGTCCGGAGTAAATTTTGTGAGTACAGGTGCAGAGGAAATAGTTTTGATAGATGTAATGCAAATGGTCATTCATGGCCACTTAACGAGCAGGCGTCCAGGCATAACGCGCCTGCGCTAGTCATGGTGGTCGTTTTGCGGATTATACCACGACTGCGAAATTTACCAAAGCTGTCGATTATGTTTTTCTTCTTGTTTTATAGAAATCAAAAAAAAAAACAGTCACTGTAATTCGCACATTCTTAGAGACCAGCGGTATCGCAGAACCCGGCATTGCAACCAGGTAGGCAGAGTTGCGGCCCCCGCCAACTGTACAGCGATGTACCATTCATTGCCTTGTCAGAATCTCCAAAACAATTCCGCTAGCACAAGTCGGCCTTCGCTCCAGTACGAACACAAGTTGAGTTGGATAGAGCTGGATTATTAGTACCGACTGAGCCAACTGGTATAAGGCGGATTGCGGCAGCACCAAACATGGCCAGAGTCAATGGTGTGAGAGTGCCGCCCAATGTTGGGCCTTGCCGGTGAGGAACGCTGGGCAACATTGCGAGCACTTGTATCAACGAGAACTAAGGACGAAGATACTTTAGAGTTTTGTCTGCACCACACGCGCAATGACGAGTACGGCAAGTTTGGCTTGCCCAGACGACAAATTTAGCTTGTGAAAGCCCGGGTTCGCCATAGTAAACCTGGGTGGTTTACCTTTGCGATGACGCCACTGAAATATGTTCTGTACTTGCAATCTGGATGCCCTGGGAAACTGCTAGTGCCTCGACCTCCCAATGAAATTCAATTCACCCATCAATGCAGGCCGCACTCGTTCGTTTGAAAGCCCTTGACGGGGCAAACCAGGATGCCTGACTGACCTAGAATCTCAATGCTGAGCGCACAGATGCGCTAGACAAGGGACACCCCGCGCCGGGGAGGTTGCCATCTTTTCGTTGACTAAGAGAAACCCAACACGACAAGCCACCTGTCTGTCACTTCCCATCTGGGATTGCGACAGCACATTGTTCTGAGCTTACCCGAAAAATGCCAGGACAAAGCGGTCCCACAAGGTTGACAGGTTGGTTACGGTAGTAATTAACCAAGAACTCCAGGGGCTTATGTGTCAAAAGGTTGAGTAGCCGTCGGGGTAGCTCCAAAAGGCAGCCTGTTATTATTTCAGACGCTGTACTATTGCGTAGAGCAACTTGGCCGCGCCCACTTTCGGCACTTGCCGGTAGACATTTGGCGTATTTTTTTCTTCTCAGTATCCGCAACTGAAAAGAACGGCAAACTCACCGCACCTCTCTGCAGGTTGTACTTCTAAGAAAACGATGGAAAATTTCCCACTAGCTCAACTTCAAAGTCTCAGTCTCCGAATACCAAAGTCAACGTAGGAAAAAGACGTCAGATGGCGGGACCAAGACGAAACCCGGCCGCCGGGACCGGAGCGCGGCGCCGGCGGGGATCCCGGTCTAGCTTGCTACGGGTAGGAACGCGGTGGGGAGCGGAGAAGAGAAGAATGGCATTTTGATCCAATCAAGACGTCCACAGCGTGGGTATGGGTTTCCATCAGGTCACAGATATGCGTTTGCACGCGTCTTCGCTGGACAGGCAAGGGGTGGGGGAAAACTCTGCCCATCAAGGGCCACGACCACCACGACCACCCTCGTAGCTCCGCACGACCAAGGAGGTATCGGAGGGCAGCATGTGCGTGGTGTGTGCGGGTTCGTGAGAGTGTGAGATTACGGGCTCGGACACGACATGGGTTCTCGGTCATGGGATTCCCACACTTGACGTAGTGAGCTCTCGTTGTTGGAGAAGGGTCTGGTAGCGGGAGGCGGGCAGCGGAGAGTCTGCGTAGTGTTGTGGCTCTCAGTTTCTGGCTAGGAGTCGTCGGTGGCCCTCTTTCGTTTTTTTTTTTTCTCCTCTCGCCCTCGGATTTTGCTGACGAGTTCTCTTCCCCTCTTTCCTTTTCGCAGACTCTGTTGGAACGTATCTTACCTTGAGAAGGCACTTGACAACTTGGCCACAACCCATATACCAATACACATTCACCAGTCCCTCCCACCTAGAAGTTTTTTTTTGCCATGGCCAAGTTTCGTCTCGCCGTGCTCGAGTGCGATGTCCCCTTCCCGGGCGTAGTCGAACTCCGGGGCTCCTACGGGGACATGTTCCGCAGCCTCCTCGCCGAGGGCATGCGCGGGCTGCCTGCCGGCGACGCGCAGACGGAGCTGGTCGTGACCAAGTGGGATGTCGTCAACGCGCATGTGTACCCGGTCTTTGAGGACTTTGACGGCCTCATGATTTCCGGCAGCAGTGAGTTTCGCCCACCCCCGTAGCCCACGCCCGGCCCAAAGACGATCCAGAGAGAAGGAGAGAAAGAAAAGGGGTAAGACTGACCAGAGCAGAGCACACCGCGTTCGACAATACGCCCTGGATTATTGCCCTCATCGACTACCTCACAGACTTTTTCAAGAACTCGCGCAAGCCCGTCGTCGGCATCTGCTTCGGGCACCAGATTATCGCGCGTACGCTTGGCGGTCGCGTCGAGGTCAACCCGGGCGGCTGGGAGAATTCGGTAACGCGGATCGACCTGAGCGTGACTGGTCGGCAGTTTTTCGGCGTGCCAACTATTGTAAGTCATCCTCGTTCTTCGTATGCAGTTCTACCCCATGCTGACATGTACTTAGCACATGCATCAGACACACCGCGACGCCGTCACGATGCTGCCGCCCGGCGTCAACAGCATCGGCGGCTCTGCGCGCTGCGGTGTTCACGGCATGTACAGGCCCGGCCGCTTCCTCTCGTTCCAGGGCCACCCCGAGTTCGACGAGGAGACCATGACGCTCATCCTCAGAGGGCGTCGTGCCATTGGCTTCTTCTCTGAGGACATGTACAACGACGGCATGAGCCGCGTGAGCTGGCCGCACTGCGGCAAGATGCTGGCGACCAAGGTTTGCGGGTTCCTGCTGGATGCGAAGCGAGCTGCATTGTCGTAGATGTCGTTCATCTAAATCCCTCACCAAAGATGAGGGAAATCGGCAGGTTTGATGGTTGGTTGTTATTGGTTTATGCGTACATTGGGCATGAAAGCGATGAGTTTTTACTAGCATTCAAGAATGGGAAAACAGGGCCTAGGCGTTTTAAAAAGAAAAAAGAAGATAAAACTAGAGACAAATGTACTTGGTTTACAGTACCTCTTTTCCAGGTCTCTGTCTGGTGAAAGATAAGGAAACTGCCCAGCCTTGCTGTTTACGTCGCGCATAAGTGGGCGGACGGGTCTCATTAGTGAGGCCAAAGATAAGCAAGAAGCGTGTGATTGGTGCTTGAGAATGCGTTACGAAATGAGACAGGGAAAGATGAAAGAAGAAGGCCGAGGGGACTGGGGAAGAGCTGGAGTAATGGGGAAATTTGGGGAAATTTAAATAAATAAATAAATATTAATTTGGAGAAATGCTTGCATGTGCGCGGAAGAATCGGTGTCAAGAGCCGGGTTACCGGTGGCGCGGATCGTGAGGCTATCTACGCCGAGAGAATGGGGAGAAGCACTCTGTATCGGGGAAGACGAAATTTGTGTGTCGAAATTCCTTCTCATTAAAAAAAAGGAAATACAAGACGACTCATTTCTGTTTTTACTAAGCTCGGAGTGTTGGATGCAACGATTTTCTTCTGCAGCCATCTTTAATCTTTACCTGTCACATCGCAACATACCCGGGAGTCGAGCCCAGCAGCGCGGTATGTGAAGTTTGCCGAGTCATAACACTCTAGGGGACGGGCGGGGGCGAGGAGACAAATATCATTGTATCCAATAGCAAAGCAAGGCTTCTCACGAGCCTCGATGAGGCAGTTCCTGAGTAAAAAGGTCAACTTGAAGTGATGCATGGAAGGCCGGCCGATCTGGAGCGTTTCCTTGTCGAGGCGATGACGATACCACGGGAGGGCGAAGTTGGTAGAGAGTTGACCGTCGGGCACGATAGGGTGTATATAGTCCGGCGGTATTCAGTGCTGAGCTTTCTACCTCTTACCAACCATCCATCGCAGCTCAAGGTGGTCTGTGGCGGCTCTCATGGAAAGCAGACTATTCGATGTTCGGTCAGGATGATAAATGGTACACATGAGCACATGAGTGTCTGCCTTTCTTTGCCTTATTAATTAGATAGATGCACTTCTTCCAGAGGCACCGGTAAATGAGCAACGACTTAATATCTAAAATAATATTTTGTATTTCCATGACGCAACTTTTCATTATCCTGCCTCGGTGGTGTTTACTTACACAAGAGGTCGTCGCATGGCGGTAACTACTTGCACCACCAACGCGGGCATGTCTTTCCGGCGGCCTCCCTCGTCGAACACAAATCTCGGCCAACTTTTAACATGGTTACGTCAAACATCATGCGTTCTTCCCCAAGGAAACTGCATAATCCTGCCGTCAATCTTTACCGCCACCGCGGCTCCGAGGAGAAACGTGGAGTATAAGGCAGCTGGCGGTCGGTCCCCACAGCGGCTCGCGGCAGCGGTGCGCCGTCAACTTCAACTTTATTATATACAACCCGCACCATCCCTGTCCTGACCAACCTCGCTTTTCCCATCTTGTTTTTTTCTCTATTCTCACTTGTACGTCCAACATGCACATAATAGCCAGGGAACTGGAAAGTGTTTGAAATGTGACGTCTTCGATGCTTGGAATAAACAGTCGCGGAAATGCCAACGCTAATGTCAAAGTATAGTTCCCGTATCTCATTACCATTTCCATAACCGTTCCCTTGATACTGGCCGGATGTCTCGTGCTTCTTGGGCACTCATCACATACGCGCCTCGAGGCCGACCACTTCCTCGAGGCGGTTACCGCCGCAGGGTCACGACCAGGGTATTTCAGCTGCATACCAGCAATGTCAAGAAGGCACAGCAGGCTGTGTAGCAGGTGTGCTCGTCGATTCTACCGCGGATATCCTGAGGATAAACAAGGCTACCGTGGGCGAAGTTGTGGGAGTGAACATTGTTTGCGGGGCTAATAACCTGACCATGCCCGCGCCGATGCAGCCTCAAATTGGGCGGGCAGCAAGAATTGTCCATGGCACCGTTTTCAACTCGGGCCAGGGCCGCTGCGCCATTGAAGGGTTTATGTGCTTGCAGACGTGCACGATACCATTGTAGCCGAGCTGCGTGAAGAGCTGGAGGGGGTGAGTCTTCCACACACCGATGGCTGATCTGAGCTGACAGCATCAGTTGCATCTTGGGCGGCCCAGCAGACAGGGTAACAACGGTTGTTGGCCTTGTCATTTCTGCAGCGGCATTCAAGGCTTTACCGCACAAGGTGGCGATGCTCTCGGAAGGGGCGCTGTTGATGCCACACTAACGTCGTCGAATAACCCACACGCATTCTTTTCTCATGCAAAAGAGATCCACACCTGGCGATCCTGCATCACCTCCGACAGCTTCCAGGGACTCACATCTTCTGGTGGCTTCGTCCATATATGTTCCAGCAGTATCAGCGTTTCCTTCATGTTACCGAGGCCAATGGTCCTATGCATGATCTGCAGCCGCTCCCGCAGAACCTGCTGCACGTCGGCATCGGTTGTGCAGCATCCAATAACAGCCAAGGGCCAGCAAAGGCTGGTATTGATGCGCAGGGTAGCCGGGAACTGGCTCAGAAGAGACAGGGCGTCGGAGACGGCACCCGCCATCAGGCTCATGTGGGCCTCATTCCCGCGCTCTTGATGCGGAGTGCCGAGAATGCTCCATAGGTAGAGGAGCACGCCTTGCTTGAAAACGAGACTAGCTAGTCGGGAGTACGGATTTACGGACAAGTCAGGGAAGAAGGCCATGATTTGCGACTGCAGCATGCCAAAGGTGATGATGTCATCTGGCTCCGGTGACAGCTTCCCGTCGGCGCGAGTGGTCATGATGCGATGGCCAAGGTGATAGACATGAGGTATGAGGAGCAGCAACTCGAGCCAACAGCCTGACAGCTGGCCGACGTAGCCCTTGGAGATTAGAGTGTGGCCCATGCCCTCGATGGTCGGGCTAAGTTCAGGAGGCGGGCGGCTGCGGTCGGTGGACATGATGCTGGTTACGGTCATGTGAATGGCAAACTCGACGAGAAAATCAGGAAGATCTTCGGGAATCTCGGACTTTGGGCGCGTCAGCAGCAGATTGAGCATAGACTCGGAGGCGCGGAGGTGGTCAAAGATGGTGCCGTGAATATCACCCCTCGCGACCTCTGTCAGGCACAAAATCAAGCTGCCAACTGTCAAGGCGAGAGTATTCTCCTCCTTACCCGAGACGTACTCGCCGACGACGTTGCGAAACATGCGCAGGGAGTCGGTATAGTAGTGGTGGGCCACCTCGGTGCCAAGTACGCCCGCCTCGGCCGACTGTCGATGAGCGGCGCTCTGGGCCAGGAGCAGCTGGAGGACCAGCGGATTGTCAAAGGCGAGGGGAACGAGCTTTGCGATGAAGGGGTTGATGTCGGTAGAGCCGTTTCCCATACTGTTGGCAGTGCGATGCAGGTAGTAGCTGAGCAGGTCAGACGACTCGCGGCTGTGGTTGGGGAGCAGGGACAGCGGCGAGAGGGTGAGGATGGACGGGTCTGCGGCGAGGCTCATGGATGAGATGGTGAGGGCCTGCGAATCGGAAAACATGTCGGCGTGCGAGGCGACTGGCGAGACAGGCATGATGGGCGAAGTGTCTGCGACGAGGGGGGCGTGGGCATCGACGTCTTGGGGAACTATCATGTCGACATCTCCGCGATCATGGTTGCTCTCCGAGGAGGAGTGCGACTCGGCGCGTTGTCTCGCCGTCGGGTCGTGTTGGACGGAGGTGACATGATCAGGCTTGCCAGCGAAAGAGGTGGCACGAGGCCGGTTTGTTGGTGACTTGGAGACGGCGGGCGACGTGGGGTTCTTGGTGCGCGTCTGCATGGCGCTGGCATTCTCCGTAGGCCAGGTACACTCGAGGTGATTGCGTCGGCAGCCGCTGCAAAGCGGCTTTTCCTCGTTGCACTTCTTCTTGCGGCGGCGACAGGTGAAGCAGCCTGTCCTGCTGCGAATGATGGGCATGGCGCGCATAGCGGCAGAGGTGAGGTGAGGTGAGTTGGTCGAGGTATGTAGCTTCTACGTGGAGGTGGTACAGCGCCGCAGCCGGATTCAGCATGTGTTACTGACGCATTTCGGCAGAGGGAGATGCACGGAAGCTGCAGCTGGACATGAGAGGTGTTATTTTGCGTGTGAACGATGGAAGAGGAAGAGAAGGGGAGGTGGAAGCCGGGAGGATGGGGAGATATTGTCTGCGTGAGGCAGGTCAGGAAAGACTGAAAGAAACTTAGAAAGCGGGGAAGACGATTATGGCAGCTGGCGCTGCAAATCCTTCTTTTTGGCGGTTTTAGGGCGTGAAGCGGCAGTTTTAGTGGATTTCCGGGTTTCTACAGCGGCGTTGCCCCGTTATCAGCCCCTGCAGTGGCGTCGATAGGGCGGATAGGGAGGGGTTTTGGAAAAGCGCAGGAACGTGTAAAGAACAGAGGCAGCAGGGATAGGCAATTGAAGGGGATTAAGCAGGCTGGCACAGATTATTATTACTCCGTAGACGAGTCAAGAAAGGAATCATGGTTCGACTTGTCCCTGATTTGATACCACCAGTCCTCGTGCTGCCGTCACGGATGATAGCCAGTCAGTTGGCTGGCACACTTTTTGCTGAGCAGAGTCGATCACGAAGCCGCTACCAACAAGCGATAATGACGTTTGAATAGATAACATGCATCTCGCCAGACATATCCATCCACTACCTATACTCTAACCCAACGCCATAGCATTAAGCTTTTCTACCCCCGCCCTCCATCTCAATAGCCGTCTACTCCGTACTCCTCACGGCAATAGTCCAGCAAAGAAAAAAAAAATACTTGAGGAATACCCGCCCAACGCAACGGCAGAGCCGGCTGTCGGCGCCACTAACCGGCCGGACGCCGCCGAAGTCGATGGGAGGGGAGGGGTCCTTGTACCCGACACTCCGAAAAGGCACAGGCAGATCCGGGGTCGCATCTCACCCGTAAAAATCTCCAGCATCTTGCTCTCCATCCATGTGCAGCATCTATATTCTAGAAGCACAAGAAATATTCCGCCGTCTCTTCTTTTCTTCCTTCTTCGCATCCCGACTCTCGACAGTGCAATCAACGGCCACGCTACGAAAACGTGGCAGCGCGCACCGAAACTTAGCGTCCCTGCCCTAGGACCCCTTGTGCGCGTCTCCAGCGCGGTCCCATCTGTGATTGGACACTCGCATCGACCTGCTCTGCCCTCCCTTTTGTCCCCGTTTCAATTCATCCATCACCAACACGCGACACTTGAACTAGTCATGATCCCAGTCCGATGCTACCGCACAGCTTCTCATCGCATCGATCGAGTTGCCGAGACAGCAAGATAGAGCCTCGTACCCATCTTGCCGAGACCCATCAGGCCCTTTATTACACAAGACGGCGGGCTCTGGTTCAAGAAGTGAATATGTCAAAGGCATATGAAAAATAGCTATGTATAAAGCTATGCTTGTAAAATATTTACCAAGTCTAAAAACAAGAGAGGACGCCATATACAGCCCACCCAGACCGCGTCACGTCTGGTCGTGTGCGCTCTCCGTCCAGGCCAAAGCCCCAGCTGAGCCCTATGAATTGACTCAGTTCCCAACAAGGCATCCGTTTCGCATAACGCTCGGCCACGTCCCACAAAGAGGACAATAAGTAAATGCCTTGCGCTGAAATGTAAATCATGGCTATCGGTCCTATTATGCCGCTCGCTGCCTCCCCCAAAGGAGACGCGTCACTGGTCACGACCCCTGTCGTCTGAATGGCCCCTCCCCATGACGCCCGTAACTCCAACAGAATCATCCAGTCATCGTTCCACCTCTCGGCAGAGCCTTACGCTATGACTTGTATGAGACAGCGTACGCTGTAAATTTGGCGTCGCCCCAGCTCCAGTTGACCTCGCGCTTGACGCTTCTCCTGTGCGTCCTTGTCTCAACTGTCAACGCGCGCTTGTCACTTCCCGTAGACAGAGTGTACGTGGCCGTATCAGCGTGATAGTCAATCGTGAACGTCAGGGCCTTGTTCTTATCCGATGTCAACTTGTCCCCTGCCTGAATGTATTGTTTGTCCTTGGCTGACTGCAGGTAGAATTGTTTCCCGTAGTCAGTTAGGCTGTGCAATATCCATCGCTGCTCAATCTTGTCGTGCTTTTGATTACCGCTGCTGAGGCTGACACCATCTTTTTGGTTCGTCAGCGCCTTGCCATTGGCCTGGAACACCACATAGCGGCCTTCGGTTGGTTGGCCGCGCATAGTCTTGAACCCGTCTTCCACCAGTGACGACATGTCTTGATTAGCGTTCTCCTTGCCGAACGGCACGGGCGGTCGATTGCCGATTCCGTGTTCTTGTAGGCACTTGGCTGGCCCAACCCACGGGCCGTCCAGAGAACCAAGAGTCAGGTTCCCTGACCACGACTTATCCGGGTCTGTTTCAGGCATGCGAACAGCAGCGATAGGTGGAACCGAGAAGTCCGCCTGAATGGTCAGCATGGTTACGGCGCATAGATCTTGCGCATCTGGACAAGATTTCACTCACACGACGGAAATCAAACGCATTGACCAGGTTCGACATGTGTCTGCGTCGCCAAGGCGTAATGTTCGGCACCTCCACGTTGTATCCGTTTGCCTTGGCCCAGGCTTCGACAAACATGATGTCGGACGTGTGGTCGGACACCTCAGTGAACACATTACCACCCCGCGTCCACGGCGAGATGATGTAGCGTGGCACCCGCCAACCTGGCCCGACAGGGCTTTCGCCGCCAAGCGAATCAATTTTGAGCCATTCACCGGGAGTGTCTTTGGGCGCGACCATAGGCACAACGTGGTCCATCCAACCACCTTGCTCTTGGTCACGTTAGCAAACTGTCGTGCAACTGAATGAACAGCGACCTACCATCGTAGCTGATGATGAGTATTGTCTCGTTATAGGCAGGGCTACCGGTCACGGCGTCTACAACTTGTTTTTGCAGCCAAGCACCGTCGATCGGCATATTGGGCGAGTGTTCGGCTAGCTCCTGTGGACCGACAATAATGCTGACCTGTGGTAGGGTGCCGCGTTTTGTAGCATCATAGAAGGCGTCGAGACCGGGATACGAGTTGCCCTTGTCACGCAACGCGGAGCCGTTGGCAGCCTTTTGATACTGTTCGAAGTAGGCAAGCATGTTGTCTTCAAAGTTGTCAAAGTCTTGCCAAACCTGCCACGAGACACCGGCGTCCTCGAGGTATTCAGGAAAGGTCTTCCAGACAAAAGGGAAACAGTTGATTTTGGGTTGTTCACAGCCTATCAAGTTAGCGATTTGAGCTCAACTCTGAACATTGAATATTTGCGCATGTTCCATGTTCGTGATGGGCACCCACCAGGAGTAGCATTGTTGTCGATAATGAGGCCGCCCTCACCGTCCGGATTGGTGGGCGAACCGGGAATGTTGATGGAACCGCTCATCCACATGATGCGGTTTGGATCCGTGGCGGCCAGCACACTCTGAGTGTTCATATCGAGCACCGTCCATCCTTCGGCAATGTCAAAATGAGTGGCTATGTCCGGTCGCTCAAAGTAACCCATGGCGTAACTACCACCTGCATCGGCGTACGTCCATTTGTCGCCGAGACCATCATTGTAAGCGTTGTGCATGGTGTCCCAACCATTGTCACCGCCACCCATGCATTGCGTTGACTGTTTCCATTCGCCACCAAGGTAGTTAATATGCCAGGGCTTGAGGGTTTTCGTGCCGTTCTTGGCCTTGCTCATTTGTCTTGTTGCGGCTGTCAGGCAACCTTTTTATTGCAGTTGTAGCGTGTGCATTTGTTGGTGGAAAGGACTTACTGCTCAAAGACTGTGTGGCCATCGGGATTGACCTGGACGTTGGGGTCGCCGAAACCTCGTACGCCAGCCATTGTCCCAAAGTACTGGAAATAAGTTAGTGGCGCTTGCTCATGACAGCCGGTTTTCAGACATGATACAAACATGGTCAAAGGAGCGGTTTTCTTGCATGAAAAGCACGATGTGTTTGATATCCGCAAGCGAAGTGGCTTGGACGGCCACGGCGGCCAGAGTTGCCCACAACGGACTGTTGGTTGACCTCATGGTGTCGGCAGAATAAGGAATGGAACCACCAAATCACCCAAATCAAAGAGGGACAGAACCGAATGTTCGAGGGGAGAGGGGGTTGAGACTGGCGCAAGATGAGGCACGGCAATAGCGTCGTTATAGCCGGGACAAATCTTGCTTGACCTGCATGTGCCGGGTGTCACGGCAGACCAGGATCAGCTCGGTCGGTATCGTTTCATGCGCTGGTAATTGAGTGCAACGTTTCAAGCTGAAGGGCAGCAGGAAACGAGCAATGGGCACCACGCTGGGCTGGAGTAGCTCAACGGCGTGAGTCGCATTGGATGATTCTCATGTGGACTGGCTGGGGAACTGTTGGGTCGGTCGAGGAGCCGGAAGCGCAAACTATTATTCACGAAGAGAGGTCGAAGAGATCTGACGAGTATGGCGAGGCCGGGTAAACGCTGCCGTGTTCAAGGCGAGCGAGAAATGTCGGAGGCGTTGTCGTTTTGCTTTTGAGCAGGCCTGTAGGGAGTTGTCGGTCTAGCGACGTGTGTGGGTGGATGTCGGAGGGGCGGCGGGCACAAAGCAAGACCGCGGGCAGGGTCGCGTCGTCACGTAAGAAAAGTGAGGCTTCTGCCAATCTGCAAGCGTAGTTGAGGAGCTTCCGTTCGTGGGCGTGAGATGATTGTCGAGCGAACGTGGGGATCTGCTAGCCTGGTGCAATTTCCGCTCGCGCGCCGCGCCGGCACAGCGGGTAGGTGAGGCTGTAGCGAAGAATGGTAGTGTGGGGTAAAGGGAGCGAAGGGACGACGCGTCCTGATAAAGATAAAATTGGCAAATGATGGTGAAATGATGCTTGATGGCGATAGTTGTATGATGCAAACGGAAAGCTACTGACTGGTGGCGTTTGGCTCGGAGAGTGCTATGGCAGGAGGGGCCTAGCATGACGTGGCTGCAGCGACAGGTGCTGGGTAGGTATTTAACTATTAGTTATCCAGCTGCACGGCAATTTGAACAGCAGGGTGCAAAATGATGCAAAAGCATGCTGATGCATGGCTAGGTAAAAAGTTACTTCAAAGTTCAATGGCAGTTTCATGGGACAGCAATGTGCTTTAGACCGACTGTGTTCCGGCTTCATTCCGTTAACTGGTCTGTCTAATGCCCTGTACCTCGACAGGTAGCCAGCCAGCCAGCCATTGGCTATAGTACCTTTTCTATACTGAGTCGGCACCTCTAGAAGCTACCGGTAGCTTGAGTTTTAGCATAATGTTACTTGATCCATTTTGAACTCCTCGAAACAGCTTTTACCGTGGAATTTGTGGCCGGCTGAGATCAGACGTGTGACAAATCTGATAACCCAAAATGTAAGGAGCTGCCGCATCGAGCTAGCTGTCCACTGAGGTGTTACACAGGTAGGTACTAACCCAGCGATTTGGGAAGGTGTCAGTCATCCGGCTCTAAACTCAATTGAACTTTCCCAAGCATCAACCCCATCTCGCCACTGTAGGTGGCAGACCTGGACCTTAACTCCAGGCCGGCCCCTCCCCGCATGCCGCCACCCGCCAGCGACCCCGCCGGAGCGGCCGCTAGGGGCTCTTGGTCTAGCGCAGTCGAGCGCTCGCTCCAGTTCACCTTATAGAGGCAAAAGAGGGTTTTATAGGCTTCGTCCTTTGTTTTAGTGGCTCTCCTCCCCTTCGCACGCGACACTTTGCCTCTTTCACGGTAGCCTTAACCTTGCCGTCTCGACACCTTCATCTTATCCTTACGTTTAGTTGCCCACCCTCATCAACCTTTCCATCTCATCTGCCATCGATTCGCCACTCGACACATCCCGCACTTGCCGTCTCCCCTCTACGCGCATGCCCGCACCATCGACCTCTCGTCCGAACAGAGCCCCTGGCCTGCCGCTAGCCGGATGACAGGGCGCAGTCCCTCCTTGCTCGCTCGCCTGGCAAGCCAGCTCACGATATCTACTGACAGGCAGGCTACCGCCGTTGCCACCAAGAGATCAATCCCGCGATTTGGGCGCTATGCATGCTGGGTCTGAACGCCCGCGCGGCCGTCGTTGGCTGCCCGCCATTGCTCTCGCCAGCGGCCTGTTTACGATACTCCTGTCCCTGTTCATGCTTCACGTCTTCAGTCGCAACACGGCCATTAGACCTGCTCCTGATCACGATCAACACCAGAAACCCAGTCTGACACCCACAGTGACACATGTCAACAACTTTCGTCCCATCGTAACTCCCACACCAACACCAGTCGTCCTGCCAGACCCGGCTCAGGAAGCCGGCTACATCCTACATCCAAAAGACCATATCGCCAGGGAGCCAACCACCTTGCGCATGTCATGGAGTGTAACTCGTGAGCTGCGCAAGCCTGACGGCGTTGAGAAGCAAGTCTATCTTATAAACGGTATGTTTCTAGCTTCTGTTCTTGCCTGCGGCGACCCAATCCTTGCTGACTCTTTAGGCCAATTCCCTGGGCCTATCATTGAAGCCCGCCCCAGCGACGAGCTCGAAATAAACGTCTTTAATCATGTCGAGAACGATACCGAGGGTATTTCCGTACACTGGCATGGCCTGGTCATGAATGGTAGCTCGCTTCGCCTGACATTGCGATATCTAGCTAACCTCCTCAGGCGCAAACGCCATGGATGGTGTTGTCGGTGTTACCCAATGTGCCATTGCCCACAACAATAACTTCACATATCGCTTTACCCTAGATGACTCGCAGCATGGCACATACTGGTAGGTCCCCTGGAATCGGCCATGCTGCTTGCGTACTGATCGCCTAGGTACCACGCCCATTCTCACGTCCAGCGAGCCGATGGCCTTTACGGTGGCATCGTTATACACAGGCCGGCGAATGCGGAAACCGACTTGGTCAAGTATAACTATGAACAAGAGAAACTTCTCCTGGTTGGTGACTGGTATCACTGGCCCGCTAATAGAGTTCTCGAGTGGTATGATGAGGCAGACCACTTTGGATATGAGGTATGTCGCTCCTCGCAGCAACAAGAGCCCAGCTAATTTATAGCCTGCTCCCGACTCACTCCTAATCAACGGTGTTGGGGCTTACAACTGCTCCAAGGCTGTCGCAGCTCGTGTGGTCAATTGCACCATGCTTCAAAAGCCCAATATTCGCCTCCCAGACGCCGACCGCATGCGCCTTCGCATCGTCAATACTGGGTACGTCCGGTGCCGGCCATTGGCAAGCTGTTCCTAATTCTCGCAGTGCTTCCGCTGGATTCTCCATGAATTTCGGCCACGGGACCATGCAAATACTCGCCGTTGATGGCCAAGGCTTAGTAGATAGATCGACCCCTGCTGCTGGCGGGGTTGGCATCTTATATCCTGGCGAGCGTGTTGATGTCGTACTTGACAAGACATTGGCACTCAAGTCTGACAGGGATGAGAGTTCGATTAATACCTTGACAATTGAGCTTGACGACGGGTAAGCAATATTCCCTTTGGCGTAACGCATCGCTAATTCGAGCAGCAACATGCCACTCAAAAACTATGCTCTTACCCGAATCCAGTCATTCCCGGTCGGTGACTTGGGTAAAACAGCCGACAGGAAGATCAATCGACGCGACGATGCTGTGAAAATGCTTTCACTAGCCGATCTCAATGGGGTTTCCCTGTCAGATGAGGCCGCGGAGGCAACCAAGCCGGCCGAAACTGCCGTCTTTTACACAACTATCAAGAATCGCGCCACCCACGCGAACAGACCTGCTGGTCTCTTCAATCACTCCTCATGGATTGTCAAGGATGCCTTTGCGGCGCCCCTGTTGGCGGTTGATGAAGAGCAGTGGCCGAGTCTGGCCGAAGAGCCCAGTCGACTCCAGAACTTTACCGTCTCAACGTTCAAGGCCAGCGCAGCCGGTCGCAAGACACGATGGATGGATATGGTCGTGAACAACCTCGACGACAAGGGTCACCCTTTCCATCTGGTATGTGGTTAATCGCTCATCTCATTTTCATGTCACCCCATGGAAGCCTTGCGAAAAATTAGCTCTAACACTTCTCAGCACGGGCGGTCATTCTACGTACTGGTAAGCCACAAGGGTCGCAAAGGCGAGCAGGGCACATACAATCCGTTTGACCCCGAGTCCAAGCACGACGACTACCCCCGCGCTCCCTTCAACCACCTGCTCAAAGACACCGTATACATCCCTCGCATGGGCCATGTCGTCCTACGTCTGCCCCTAACAAATAGCGGTCTGTGGCTGGCTCACTGCCACATCCTGTGGCACCAGGCTGTCGGCATGAGCATGGTGGTGCGTGTAGGTGATGTTGACCCAAATGCGAGGCGGGCGGCGGGCGCGTTCTGTGCCAGCCAAAATGCGGGGTTGTGAGGTGATCAAGCCAGTGTAAAATACGAGAAGACGGGGAGGAAAATAAGACTGTAAATAGCATTGCATGTATTTCAACGGTAGCATGGTGTAGATTCACCTCAAGATATCGGGCATGGATCCCGATGGCATCGGTGAGAGAGGCGTTGAGATGAAGGACCCACGGCCAATAGGTTCTGCGACTTGAGCAACGATAACACTGACACCTACGCACTGGTGAAACGGACAGTACAGAATGAAGCTCCAAGTTTAGTGAAAAACAGTTCATTATCAACGATCGATTTAGTTTGACGCCATTAGTGGTCAACTTAAAATACCCATGGGAAGGTTTGGTGCAAGTTGCAGGTCAGCCGCTATTGTCACCCCCGCGCTGAGAGGCTCTTAGCCGCCCGCACAAGTAATAACAATGGACAAAAAAGACATGGTTACACGGCGCAAAACATGAGACAGGCTGTGCTTGACCCTCGCTATTCTTAAACGCAGCGACCTCCGTCAACCTCGACGTTGATGCCAGTCAGAAAGTTGGCCTCACCGCTGGCGAGAAAGCAGCACGTGTTGGCGACGTCAGCAGGTGTAGAGGGCCGCCCCAAAGGGATTGTTGACACAAAAGCAGCGCGATTCTCAGGAGTATCCGGTTTACCTAAGAACAGAGGGGTCCTAGATGCTATGAGCGGCCTTGCCCGAAAGATATGCGCTCTCCTGCTACCCCTGTCCAGGGTAGGTAACTTACATGGCGGTGCTCCCGACGACGGGCGAGACGGCATTGAAGCGAATCTGCTTCGGGCCGTACTCGACGGCCAGGGCTTTTGTAGCCGCGATGGCGGCGCCTTTCGAGGCGTTGTACCAGGTAAGCCCCGGCCGGGGCCGGATGCCCGCCGTCGATGCGATCTGGATGAAGCAGCCGGGCCGCTTCTCGCGCAGCAAATACTCAACGATGACCGAGGACGATAGGTAGATGGACTTGACGTTGACATTCATGACCAGGTCAAAGTCGACGTCCGTCACCTGCTCGGCGGGCTTGTTGGTGTAGGTCGCGCCTGCGTTGTTGATGACAATATCGAGCTGGCCGTAGGTGGCGAGCGCGGCGGCCAGCACGGCCTCCCAGTCTGCGCGGCGCGTCACGTCCGTCTTGACGAAGGTGCAGCCGAGCTCGGCGGCGACGGGGTGGCCGTTGGTCTGGGAGAGGTCCGCGATGATGACCTTGGCGCCCTCACGAACGAACTTTTCGGCAATGCCTTTGCCGAAGCCAGAGGCGCCGCCGGTGACGATGGCGACCTTGCCGTCTAGTCGTGCAGATGCCATGATGGAAACGAATCTAGGGGCGCAAAGTACGAATCAACCGAAGTTATCCTGTACTGCGGAACAAGAAAGTGTATAGAAGGCTGTGGCCTATGTTCCCCGCGCCTGGTCTGGAGAGGAGGGGCTATCACGGTAGGATCGCGGGGTTATGGTAAGATCCCGGCCCACCGCACGGCTTCCTGGCCGATATTGCTTCGTCGTTAAGTGCCACACCCACCGCTCGCCCGTTGCATAAATACTACATCCTGCATAGTGATCCTTTTATTTGCTTATTAGTGCTACACAACTCGCGCTATGGCAGCGACTGGTACTTTCAAAATCTTGGTGCTACCTGGCGACCATGTCGGGCCCGAAGTCGTCCGCGAGGCCCTGCGCGTGCTGGACGTCGTACAAGCTTGCCGGCCGGGCCTCACCTTCTCCCTGACCACTGGCATTGCGGGCGGCTGTAGCCTCGACCGGCACGGCGTGGCCATCACTGCCGAAGTCCTGGACCAGGCGGCTTGCAGCGACGCGGTGCTTTTCGGCAGCGTCGGCGGGCCGGAGTGGGCGACGACGGTGCCGAACCCCGAGTCCGGGCTGCTGCTGCTGCGCAAGCGGCTCGACGCGTTCGCCAACCTGCGCCCGTGCCGCATCATCGTGCCCGCGCTGGTCGACGCCTCGCCCCTCAAGGCGGACGTGGTCAGGGGCACTGACTTCGTCGTCGTCCGCGAGAACTGCGGCGGCGCGTACTTTGGCGCCAAAGTGGAGGAGGACGGCGTGGCCTCGGACCTGTGGGCTTACACGCCGGGGGAGGTTGAGCGGTGCGGGCGCGTCGCGGCGGCGGTCGCCCGCATGATGGGGCGACCGGGGGAGGGGGCCGGCAACGAGGACAAGGCCGCGGTGGTTTGGAGCGCGGACAAGGCCAACGTGCTGGCCAGCGGCCGGCTGTGGCGACGCGCGACCACGGACCTGTTCGCGCGCGAGTTCCCCGACATAGAGCTGCGCCACCAGCTCGCCGACAGCATGGCGATGCTCATGGTGCGCAACCCGCGTGGCTTCAACGGTGTGATCCACACCGACAACACCTTTGGCGACATCCTATCAGACATTTCCGGTGCCATCGTCGGCACGCTGGGCACGCTGCCGAGCGCGAGCCTCTCCGGCATTCCGGGAGGACAACAGCGGTGCAACGGCATCTACGAGCCCGTGCACGGCAGCGCACCGGACATTGCGGGCATGGGCATCGTCAACCCGGTCGCGCAGATCCTCAGTCTCGCGATGCTGCTACGATACTCGTGTCTACTCGTGGACGAGGCCGCGGCTGTGGAGGCGGCCGTTGCAAAGGTGCTGGACGATAAGAGCCAGGGCGGGCTGGCGATCCGCACCAGGGACATGGGTGGTACGGCAAGCACGTCTGAACTAGGCTCGGCTGTGTGCGAGGTGCTGTGTAGGTTGTTACAGGAGGGCGCATAACCATGACAATAATTGTGGCTTGTTCCGGATATTCCGAGATGCGAAATTAGATAAGCGGGCTATGCAAAGTTCAAATGGCCTCATTCAAACAACTCTTGGGAGGGAGCGCTTCTAACATGACTCAAGCCCCGCAATATTGTTCTGCGGCATGTATCATGATAATAGTCTGTGCGGGGTAGTAAGCCGGGTTTGAATACATAAACAAGCATGACCCCGAAATTCGTAGAAGCATGCTCTTTGTTGGGCAACTTATTCATTCACATCAACGACTCTTGAGATGGCTTCCACCACGGGTGCTGAGACTAGCGAGAAGCGCGTGCGCCTTCGGGAGCTCATCCCGGGCATCAAGCTGGGCAAGTGGGAGCGCACCGGGCCAAAGAACGGCATCACCGACGTCCCGGGAGTGCTCGTCCACACAGAGTCCATCCACGACAAGGAAAAGGGCGTCAACACGGGCGTGACGACCATCCTGCCGCGCAAGGAATGGATCGAAAAGGCCTGCTACGCCGGCATGTTCCGCTACAATGGCGCGGGCGAGCTGACGGGCAGTCACTGGATCGACGACACGGGACTGCTGAGCAGCCCGATCGTCATAACCAACAGCTTCGGGGTGGGTGCCTGCCACACCGGCATCTACCGGTACGGCGCGCAGCACTACCGCGACAAGAACGGCGACGTGGACTGGTTCCTGATGCCCGTCGTGGGCGAGACCTACGATGGCATGCTCAACGACCTGTCGCAATTCGTCGTGACGCCGGAGCACGCCGTGCGCGGCATCGAGCGGGCGTCCGCCGACCCGGTGCCCGAGGGCAACACGGGCGGTGGCACCGCCATGACCTGCCACGGTTTCAAGGCCGGCACCGGCACCTCGAGCCGGCTTGTCGCCGGCCTGGACGCCGACGGCAAGCCGATCGACTACACCGTCGCGGCGCTCGTACAGGCCAACTACGGCCGGCTGTACTCGCTGACCATCGCCGGCGCGCCCGTTGGTCGCATCCTGTGGGCGGACGCGGAGCACGACGCCGTCGCGCGGGGCGCCCGCGACGCCTACGAGCAGGCCAAGAAAGTCAAGGACGGCAGCATCATTGTCGTGATAGCGACCGACGCGCCGCTCAACCCGGTGCAGCTGCAACGGCTCGCGAGGCGGGCGACACGCGGCATCTCGCGCGTGGGCGGCTACGGCAACACCAACAGCGGCGACGTCTTCATCGCCTTCAGCACGGGCACGGTGGCGCCGGGCCAGTTCGACGCCGCGGGGCTCGAGTTCCTGCCGGACAAGGCGGAGATCCTGCGGCACGAGGCCGTGGACGAGCGCAAGATGGACAGCCTCCTGGAGAGCGCGGGCGAGGCCACCGAGGAGGCCATCCTCAACGCGCTGTGCATGGCGGAGACGATGACGGGGTTCAGAGGGCGCACCGTGGAGGCGATGCCGCTGGGCAGGGTAAAGGATATCGTGCAGCGGCACATTGACCTGGAGAAGGCGCTGGTGGCGGGGAAGTAATTGATACAAGGCGGAATGCGGAAGTCGGGGCTGAGACACGGAGACACGGCGCGCGCGGGCAACTAGCTCTGTAGTTGTTGGGAGAGGGCGCAGCTTCTTGTACAAGTTGAAGATAACCCCTGTGCCAAGAATAACTACGAAAATGTACCCCATGAAATTGCACAAACATTCTATGACAATGACAATGTTGCAATACCACCATACTAGTCAGGAGTACTGTTCATGGTCTCCCGACCGGACCAAGACCAGGGACGCGCCAAGACGAGAGCCACCCCAGAACAGACCGGAGGGAATGCGAGATGGGAGATCCTAGCAGATGGCTTCATCCCGCGCCGGCTCTCTTACCTCAAAGCTCAACTGGTTCCAAGTGGTTTGGTCGTGCAGCAACCTTCCGCTGGTGCAAGTGAAACTGAAAGTCCCATGTAAAGTAATTTGCCGAATACTCGTGATTTCGTATCGCAATGATGCTCCAACTTAATATCAGAGAACTAAGTTAATTTAGGGCGCGCCGTACTGTAGGGCGCACCTTATGTACAGTAGCAGCAAAATTGGCTAGGTTTGGAGCCGCCGTGCCATGGCTCTATCTCATCAACCAAGGTTTAATAAGAACCTCGTGATTCGCTGCAAGTCTACACTTCCCAAACTAGATACAGCATCTCCTGCTACCGTGACTCTTCCGATCATCTTTTGCGTGATACCTCCCTTCTGATCTCCAGGAAAGCTGTGAGTTCCTGGTCGAAATGTCTCTGCCGGGTTACCTTCTTCTTTTCCTATCCCTTGTCGCGTACTTGATTTATTCTTACATAATTTTTCCATGCCGAATCTCACACCTGGCAAAAGTCCCCGCACCGCACTGGTCCTGCCACTTTTCAAGCTTCTGGATCCTCCGAGCGCGCAAGAACGGCTCCGAGAATGCATCGCTGCGAGGGGCGCACCGGCGCCTGGGCAACATTGTGCGCGTTGGTCCTGATACAATTAGCGTCGACGGCGTCGATGCCATGAGGACAATTTACCAGGGCGGCTTTCCCAAGGCGCCATGGTATCGCATCTTTGACAATTACGGGTATGTCGCCCCTGCCTGCTAGCTCCGTCGTTGTTGGTTGGCACGCCACTAAGAGTACGGCGATGGTAGCGTCCCGTGCATGTTCTCGACAACCGAGTCCAAGGCACATTCGAAGAGAAAGCGAATGATCTCCAATGTTTACTCAAAATCCTACATTCTGTCCTCGGAAGCTGCCAAGGCTCAAAGTCACGCCATCATGTTCAACCGCCTCCTACCACTCTTGAACAAGGAAGCTGCCGACAACCATCTTCGCGGTACGGAAGTACAGTCTCTTTTCATGGCCACCACCATGGACATGATATCTGCGTACATTTTCGGACTGGAGCACGGTACCAACTTTCTGCAGGACAAGACCTATCGGGACCACTGGCTAGGGTTGTATCTGTCGCGGCACCATCATCATTTCTGGCCACAGGAGCTCCCCTTCATGACAGCGCTCCTCAAAAACATTGGCATTCGCTTGTATCCCTCCTTTGTCGACAGTGCCAATGACGAGTTGCGCGCTTGGAATAAGCTGCAGTGTGAGAAGACGGCGGGTAGCTACTTCGGCGAGAGAGGAGACGCTGATCTAGGCAAGACGCCGGTTGTCTTCAGAGCGATGCACGAGGGCATCGACAAGGAGGAAACGACGGAAGGCGAAGAGTCTATTCTGTATGAAACTACTATTAAACAGCGTGATTCTTCGATCGCCAGCGAGATACTCGATCAAGTCCTCGCCGGTCACGAAACCGCCGGTATTGTCTTGACGTACGCGTCATGGCACCTATCGAACGCGCCCGGCCTGCAGGAGCAACTGCGACAGGAGCTGCTGCCCCTGTTCTCCCTCAACAGCGAAACATTACCCGAGACCAGAAAGCTAGACGGTCTTGCGCTGCTGAATGCGATTGTCATGGAGACACTGCGACTGCACGCGCCCATACCCGGACCGCAGCCGCGCCGCACGCCGGATCAGGGATGCCACATGGAGGGATACTTCATCCCGGGCGGTGTTCGCATCGCCTCCTTGGCGCATACGCTCCATCTGAACGAGACGGTGTTTAGCAACCCTGCAAGCTGGGACCCGGAGCGGTGGCTACGGAGCGGCAGCGACCTTGATGCGATGAGGCGACACTTCTGGGCCTTTGGCAGCGGCGGAAGGATGTGCATCGGGTCCAACTTTGCGCTTCAAGGTTCGTTGAACTTTCTTTTCAATTTTCATCCATGGCTGACTTGTAGCAGAGATGAAGCTTGTGCTTGCTGTAATTTACGCAAACTTCACGACCGCAGTTGTAGATGACAGTGGCATCGAGCAGACGGACGGCTACTCAGCGCGGCCCAAAGCCGACCAGCTATTTCTCCGATTCAACAAGATATTCGAAACAGCAGAGTAGACATTTCAATATTTGAGTTGTTAATTTTACAGATTTATATTATACGCGCCATTGCCTCGAGCAAGATTCTAGTTGTATCCTGACAGTTGCGACCCTGGATCCCTGGCATAGACCTGAGCATGGCCTTGTCCCTCATCACAGGCAATCATGTTTAGACTCAGCGCATCATGGCTTTCGTCCCAAATATCTTGTAAAGAATCGACATGGTGGAAGTCAACGCCATCGAATGCGCCCGGAGAGGGAAGCTCCTCAAACCGCGCCGAGTGCAGGGCCGTAGAGAATGGAGGCGTCGATACCTGCACGTCCATGCTCCACCCAAGCCTTGCTGCGCCGAGCTTTTCTTGAGAATGCTGAAGCAGCTTCGGTAGCAGATGAGACTCGCGGCCTCGGATGCAGCGAAGCGTGTTCACGATGGCAGCGAACAAGTCCTGCGGCCCCAGGATCATTGCGCTGGCGGTCGCTGAGGGGCTCACGTCGACGAGGCTTGTTCCGATATCGAACAGCTTTTGCTCCTGTGAGTTTATCGGTCAATTAGTGCAAATTCACAGAATAGAAGAACTGGCTTACTTACCAGCGAAATTCCGTGCCTGTTCTTCGACGCGGTGCTCGAAGACGTGAGCGACAGCAAGATGGAGCTACCAGCATCGAAAGGCAGGCGCAGATCAGGCAATGCCACGGACCCATGACAGGACTTTCCGGCAATTCCGCACATCAGCCGCCACATCACCACTCGCAACCAATTTTGAGTAATCAGCGTGTCAAGCTGCTGGCTCTCCAGCACCGAGTTCTGCGGCTGCACGGTGCAGAGCGCCTGGATGACCCGTTGCCCGATGTATGAGAGGTTGCTGCTGTCCGATGGCTCAGGCTGCCACTCGTACAGCTCTAAGGGCAGTGACTCGAATACGTTGATGTGGTTGACAAAGTCGTTCATGATGATGGGGTAGTCAGAGTCGAAGATTTGAGGCTTTGGCACTGTTCGCCGTAGCAGAACTGGCATCCTACGCTGTAGCGCGTATGTCCTGCAGAAGCATCAGTAGGGTGACGGATAGGCAAAGAAATCTTGGAGACTACCTTTCCGATATGAAAAGCAACCAAAATATTCGTCGGCGTCTATCAATGTCTTTGTCGGTCAAGCCGGCAACCGACTCGGCTGTTTCGTTGTCCAGATCAAGCAGAAGAGCCATGGACACGCTCTGGTTCAGGTAGAACCATGCTTTCTTGTGATTCTCCTGATTTCCGTAGCAGACAAATAAGAAAAACGATGTCAATATGGCGTCCTCCGACATTGTGTCCGCCACATTGACCTTTTGGCGAGCAGTCTCGGCCGCCTCGAGAAAACGAGGCCCGGTTGTGCAATCGTCAACGGAGCCATCTTCATGCAGCCTTGTTCCTCCCTGGGCGCCATGCTCCTCGGGATGATCTAGGCGTAGCTGGATGCGCGTGACTGCCGCCAAGGCGAGCAGGAGAGTGTACCGCGGCGGCGGCAGCAGATGGGCCACGGCGCAATCCTCCTCGAGACTCGTCGCATCCACCACGGGCATGACGGGGAACAAGTTTGCCATGAACATTCTCACATGGGCTACAAGAACGGAACAGGCTCCGCTGCTTCCACCCTGTTCCTGGAACGGCGACGGTGACAGCGAGCCGGCATCGGGAACCTGGAGACGGTGCGGGGACACGCCGTCGCTGATGACCGGAACGGCGCGCTGGATATAACAGGCCGCCTGACCGGTGGCATCCTCCTCAGCCTGGGCCCTTTTGATGATAGCCAGCCTTCGGCCCTTGCCGCCCTTCGGTCCTCGTCTCTGTAGGCTGTGTCGATAGCGACATGGTAAATCACAGGCGAGGCAGGTGCTGCAGGGCAACGCACGGTCGCACCGCGTCTTGCGGAGTCGGCAGCTGTCGCAGACGGGATGTGTATTGGGCGGCATCTGGCGGTGATATTTTCAATCGAGAAAGGCTTGATTGTGAGAAATCATGCGAGATGCTTGCAAGCCCTCGCTGTTGATATTTTGCCGTTTATTAATTGGCGCTTTTCTCTGTAGTGTCTTCAGCTCATTTGCCGCACCAATGATGATGGAGTGTGGCGGACAGAACAGCCCAGCACCAACTAACTACAGGGTCTCGTCGCTGAGAACGACTCTACACGGTGCCATAAATATAGCAGAAAATTGCATCAAAATTAATAGATTCATATATACAAAATGTAATTGGTTTATAAATTTTCCCTTGCACCCATTACAACTCCAAGAAGTAGTCCACCCACTTGTCGTAGTTGGGCGTGCCCAGGCCCGAGACAGGGTCCCAGCCCTCGACGGCGCTGAAGCCCTTGTTGCCACATGCACTGAAGCCGCGGTCGCTGAAGATGCCACCCAGGGACTGGTCACCCTCGGTAATGTCGTTGAAGAAACCATCAACGTTCGCGGCGGCGTCGTAGAGGGCAGGGTTGGCGAATCCGATAGGGCCCTTGCCAGCGTTCATGCGGACGTCGTTGATGCGGTTAAAGATGGCCGCGACGATGGGCGAGGACATGGAGGTGCCACCGCTCAGACCCGGCTTGCCGTGAACGACCACGAGGCCGTTGTCGCCAAGAGCAGCGACGTCAGGGTAACCTCTGCCAGCACGGTTGTAGATGCCGCGGTTGTTGGGGTCGCTCGGGATGGTGCCGTTGGTGGTCTCGTAGGAGAAGTAGTTGGGGTTGTGGCGGAGGAGGTAGCTGCAAGCATGTGTTAGCTGTGACCTTGTATTTATTGTTCGCAGCTTTGCGATGGGAAAACGTACTTGGAGACGACGTCTTTCTGGTAGTCGGGGCGAGGGAAGATGTTGGAGAAGCCACCACCGGGAGAGAAGGAGGTGGTGACGACCTCGGCGTCGCCAACCTTTCTGCCCTTGGGAAGGACGGTCGAGCCAACAGCAGTGACGTATGGGCAGACGGCCAAGAAAGAGGGCGTGAAGATGTCATTGTGAGGACCGGCGCACTGGTTCTGACGGCTGGCAACACCAGTGTCGCCGCTGGAGACGACGATGGTGACGCCGACCGTGCCGAGCTTCATGAACTCGTTGCAAACACGCTGCAAGTTGACAGGTTAGCACGGATAAATTCCTTTCGTAGTCTCGTCGCAAAACGTGGGATGAATGGTGCTTACCTGAACAACCTCGACAGGCTCGTCCATCTCAGCATCGCCGTAGGAGACGGACATGACGTTGGACGGCTGGTACTTGCCGCACATGAGTCTGCGGTCGTAGTTGGGGTCCTCCTTGCAGAACTTCTTGTCGACGGCGCTCGCCCAGTCGGCGAAGAACTGGCTAAAGTTGTCCCGCAGCGGCTTGTTCTGGAAGATGACGACGTTCTGGGGCTGGATGATGGGGTAGGCAATGTCCAGATCGAGGAGGGACTCCTCGCCGCCGTCCTGCTGTCGGACGGGGGCGGTGGCGCCGTTGATGAGCGCCAGCGACGGCTTGGTGCCCTTGGGCACGTTGGTCGCGTACTTTGCGATGAAGAGGTCAATGTCCTCCTGGTCAAACGTGTCCTCGGTCTCCCAGATGCCGAGCGAGTTGACGTACTCGGGCTTGTTCTCGAGGGGGATCTTGTACATGTCCCGGATGCACTTGGGGGTGATGACCTCGTCGCAGCCAACCGTCTCTAGATTCGGCTGTGGTAAGCGACCGTTGCAACCCTTTTTTCTGGAGGACGTACTATTGGAGTTGAGTCGGTCAAGGACGCCCTGCTCGAGGGCGCGGACGGGCTCCTTGACGGCGTACTTGTCGGCGGCGCCCTTGACCGGCGCGACGCCGTCGCGGCGCTGCACCTGGCCGAGGCTGACGGCGGGGAAGACAAAGTCCACGAGAGAGGCAATCTCCTTGGGCAGGCTGTACTCGTCGACGCCGACGTGGTCTCTGCCGCTGAGCTTGCTCTGGTACAGGTGGTATCTGGTCTGGAGGACCTTCTCCATCTTGGCGACGGTGGAATCAATGTTGATCCACGTGCGCGTGCTGTCCACGGCAATGTCCTTGGATGGGACGCCAGAGTTGACGAGCCAGTCCGTGACGGTCTTGATGGTCTTGTCATCCGCAGCATAGAAGTCAATGGCCTCCTGGGCGGTCATGTGCTTGCCGTAGTTGGCCGACTTCGGGTCAGCCCTGAGCTGCGTTAGCGAGAACGGTTTACTTGAGCGGGGAGAGTGAGCGTGCAAGACTTACATGTCATAGAGGCGCTTGGCACCTTCGTCCAGGTTGCTCTGCTTCAAGGCAAGCTGAACGGGGAGCTTCATGGCGGCATCGGCCGGCTCGCCACGGACATAGTGCTGGCGAGGAGCGTCACGCTTCTGGTGGACGACGTGTGTGTCGGCAGGGAAGCCGAGCGCGCCAAGCACTAGGCTGGACAGGATAATGCTCTTCATCTTGAAATAGAGTTGATCAACTGCGACACGATCGAGGCTAAGACAGAGAATACTACACAAGGTTTCACCATCCCTCAAGGCAGCGGGAGCCAGCCTTTATACCTGCGCTGATCCCGCTTCCTGACCCGACGGCATCTCTACCCGAACGTCATCATGTGTACTGGTATCCGGATCTTGCGGCGAGACTGACGCTCGGCCTCGTCCCTGTTCCCCTTGTGACGACCCGGACTAGTACCTGACTAGAAGAGTCTGAGGGACGCGGATGGAGACGGCTGTGCAGGTTTGATGTGACTTGCCTATTCGGGGCAGAGGTGTGCCATGGTGTAAAGCACGAGACCGAAGCGAGGTACGAGAGCAACTGCAAAGGCTGCGCAGATGTTTTGGAGGTGCAACAACGCGGAGGGCCCCGGACGGAATAGCTCAGGGGACAGGGCTATAATTGCCTTGGCGACCTTCCTTGTTGGTGCCCCTGCACCCGCACGAATCATCTCCGCCGCCCCACGGGGGAACCTGGGAGGCTCCGGCTTTGGGTTGATCCAACGGTGCAAATACGAGTAAGGCGTGCTCCGCATCATAGCCCTGGCTCGGCTTTTGGGCAAAAGGTCCAGCGGCTGTGGGCTCCTTTGCTTAAGCCATCACTAGCAGACAATCCGGCTGAAGAATTGATTAATCAAGACGGATGCCGCTGGCCGTCAGCGGGGCCGTCCAGCTTCCTCATCGGAGAGCGAGCGAGAGTCTAGAGCAAATGTCAGGCCGTTTCCGTTGAGTAATCGGCAGCTGCTATCCTTTCATCGCCTTCCTATCTGAACATGCTGCAGCAAGGTCCATAAATTGTGCTGATTACCAGGTACTTGTGAGGAGCATACATGGGTCGACGGCGATCAGATGGGAAAAAAACACCAGCTACCACAGGCAGACTCATACAGCGCAAATCTTGACCACATTTCACCGTGCCAACAGAAGCTAGTCAGTTACAGCGTCACCCGTTGATCTTGGCTGTTGATCATGGTCCAACTCAAAAGCAGATCAGGAAATCGCGGGCGGCTTGATCTGGTGGTTGTCTTGGCCATCGCGGGCCAAGCCACAGGGGCGTAACTAGTGGTAGGAACAAGTACCTGTCATCTAGAGGGGGGCTCCACGTTCAGCCCAACGCGGTGGGCTTTATTATTATTCGTAGTGGCCTTTTACTCATGTGGCTGGCTTGGAGGAGCTGAGTATGTATGTATGTACTGTACTCAAATACTGGCATTAGGAACCCTGAGCGCTGCCCGGCCTGTGCTCCGCAAACACTGATAGATAGATGGACACAATGTCTGAGACAAATTCTGCGACCATGTTCCCTCGGACACGTGCTTGTTTGTCCCGCAAATTTAGACTTTTTCTTCGGTGACGCGTAGAATAGCCCAGGTAACAGGCACGGAGTACAGGCACACCTGATTTGTATTAGACAATCGTTTACACCGATGATGCCTGCTAGTACTCATCATTAATCATTTCCTGTACATGGACGTGAAACACCTCGTACTCGCTAGATAGCCTGATACCTGGCGTCATAACCGCAGCAGACTGAGCGTGCATACATGCCTCATCACCAGGCTCATAAGCCATTATCTGAAAATGCAAATCACAGCAGGTAACACGTGTAGCACAGCAAAGCACGATACGAACCTTTCAAATCGCTAGTTTTAATATTTTGTGCCAATTCCAGTTTTTGGTTTTGTACAGCTATCGAATTCGACACATTGCATTCGTCAACTCCTGACATACATTGCTCTAGGGTAACCTGGTGACTTGGGCTCATCAATGCTGGAGTTCCACAGTGGACTTTGGCTTGGTTACTGGGTGACAGTGAGGCGGTAAAGGAAAAGGAAAAAAAAAAAAACTTGCTTTCATCTGAAATCGTACGGCTGTCGTCTGAAGCCGGGAATATATATGTGCAATATTGTGTTTGTACAGGGTCCCTTTGGGGCAAGAAGCATGTTGTTTTTTACAGAAGTCAGACCGTCCCCCCCCCCTAACCCTTTCAATGGGGCATTGGTGGTAGGTTGCTCTGCGGCCTGATCCAAAAAGGGTCCATGACCTGCTCGATGATGGCGTTGTCGAAGAGCTGCCAGGAGTAGTCCAGGGCCTGCGCCATGTCGAGCGGTGCCTGCTGGGCCGCCGCGGCCGCGGAGGAGGGGCTCGGCGTGTGCAGGGAGTCGAGCTGCTGCTCAAGGCGCGCGGCCAGGGTTTCGCGCAAGCTGGGCCTCATCTCCTGGGTGTCGCGTAGCAAGTCCATGTGAATGCGGATATTTTGAAAATCTAGCACCCTGGTTAGCTTTGAAATTGTCATCGGGTCAAGCGTTGAACCGGGGGGGGGGGGGCCTCCACCCCTTGTAGGACGATGAGCGCCGCCCAGGTAATCATGATGAGGTCCCAGTTGGACCAGATGGACTTGTCGTTGACGTGCAGCTTCAGCGTCGCCCGCGCCGAGACGAGCAGCTCGTGCTGCTCGTGCAGCGTGATGCTGTTCGATTGCAGGTTGCACCCGCGCGCCGGGTGGTAGATGGACAGCACCACGAGGCGGTGCAGCACGTACTGCCGAAAGACGAGCGTGCGCTGCTGGTCCGTCTCGTCGCCCGTCCTGGCGAACTCGACCAGCCAGTCGTCCAGGCTCCGCGCCCAGTCCCTGATGACCGCCGCGTCGATCGGCGTAAACGGGATGGAGGAGGAGGAGGAGGAGGAGGAGGGCGGGGCCAGGCCGCCGCCGCCAGCGCCGGCGAAGCAGGACCAGATGGTGGGCAGCCCTCGGCCAGAGAAGCGCGACAGCCCCGTGTGCATCATCCGCGAAAGGCGGTACAGCGGGTCGTGGTGCGGGATCTGCAGCGCCGCGAACGGCGGCTCGACCGGCACGACCGGGCAGGTCAGGTGCAGCGAGGCGTGCTCCAGGTCGACGATCTGCACGCCCTTGAACATGCGCGGCCAGTCAAAGGACCCCTCGTCGACCTGCGGCGGGCAGTGCTCGAGCATCAGGTTGTAGGCGACCGAGATCCACAGCCCGGTCTCGCGCACGCGCGCCTCGCTCAGCAGGCTGGCCAGCACCAGCCCGAGCACCGAGTGGAACGCGACCGGCTCGGAGCGCGCGGCGCTGTCGAACGGCACGGCGAGCTCGCTGCCGGGTATGCTGAGCTGCGAGATGGCGCAGCTGAGCACGCGGAAGTAGCCGGGCGCGAGCGCGGCGTGCGTGGCGGAGGAGCCCCGGATGCTGGAGCAGTACAGCATGGAGGCGAGTAGTAGGGGCTCGGGCGAGGAGAAGATTTGCCTGCCGGGGAGGAAGTGAAGACCGGGCATCTTGTCATGAAACCTACCGATTTGGTTAGCTGCTGCTTGCATCGAATTTCGCGAAGGGGGGGGGGTTCGTACGTCTGCCAGAGGTACTGGATCGTGTTCCTGTCCCAGATCGCGGCGTCGCGGGGCCCTGCTGTGCACCGCTCAAGTTTCGCCACGGCATCCCACAAGTGCTGTAGATGGCTGCCACTGGCCGACATGTCCGGCAGCAGGACCGGCGCATCCTGGGTGGTTGAGGGAGTCGGCGCTGGCTTGACCTCAGCCTCGTCGAGGACCCTGCCAGTGACGGGGAGCCCGAGGTGCTCCTCGATGACCTTGACGCGGCGCAGGATGTCGCGCGTCACGTCGTAGGATGCCATCTCGGCCAGGGGCATCGATGCCGGCACCATGAAGGCCGAGGCGTTAGCCCTGGGCACGAAGATGCAGGGTAGGCCGGCGCGCTCGCAGCGGCGACAGGTACTGCCCGAGTCGATCCTGCACTTCATCTTTTGCCGGCGACAATTGACTACGATGAACATGTTTCGTTAGAAAGCCTGGGTGGTTGACCTTTATATCTGGCGCTGACCGATCTCTGGGGTGGTTGCTCACTGCAGGCCTTGCGCGCCTTGGGCTCGCCGGATTCGTCCTCCATGGCTCGGCGCACGATGCTTCCAAGCTGGCGGGCCTCCTGAAGGCTTGTGGAGGATGTGTATATCTAATGAGATCGCAAGTAGTCGAGGCTCGACCGCGGTCAAGATGTCGAGCGGCCGTTATTCATGTTCACTCGGGTCGCGACGATGAAAAAAAAAAGCGGCCGATGTTGTGTGTTTCTGGGGAGTTGGGGGGATTGCGGGGGAAGACTCCACCGCCATCTACAGTATGTATCTATCTCAGGGCTGATGGGCTGGGAGGCATGATGATTCACAGCAGCACGTGCGCCACGCTTACTGTACTCTGACTGCCGGATATCATCAAGAGCTCAGGGTGGCCTACACTAGTAGTCCGTGGTATGTGCTGGGCTGGAGGGAGAAGGGCATCGAATGAGGTATGGAGGCGTATGTGGCTGTTGTAACTTGTCGGGACTAATAGCTTGGGCGAGGACTTGTCGTGAAGAATAGATTACCCCATGCGCAACTATAACTGACTATTGCCGATGAAGAGGAGAATTTGTCTTTTTTTCTTTTCTCCAGTCTGAACTCGTCCCGACTTTGCCGACCCCCACGCCGCACCCAAGAAGTTCCCCTCTAATTAATACCAGTAACTCGGGGTTACAGAAGTCCAACTACGGATAGTGGCACACACTGTAACTGCACCCGGCAATGTCCGGCAGGGTCCGCCGGTCACTGCCGGGTCTGTTGCCTATCATTAGTTGGCAGTTGGGCATTTTGCTAGCGAGCTTGCGGCGCTATCTCCAGTGGATAGCATACGCCCGCGACATTTACCCATCGCCGCTATGTATATTGCCGGCGTGTCACTTCTCAAGTCCTTTTCTTTTAGTTATAATAGTTTCCCTTCTTTGTGGAAAATGACCTCTGTGTGTCAAGAAAGTCGTCCCTCATTCTGGTGCAATGGCGCGAAGAAAAGCCACTGCCGCCAGTGCCAGAGTAAGGGGTGTCGTCGCTGGGTTTTCGCTCAGCACGGCTGAGTTGTGTGGTGTTACGAACCACTGCGTACAATATATGAGTCAGTGCTCCCAAACCCGCCTCCGTCAGCTGCCTTCTAATTATCTATATCTACTGATGAACAAATCTGCAGGCCAAGGGCTGAGGGATGATGGCGGCACGCAGATCCCATCCTTCGTCACCAGTATACCCAACGGGTCTGAGACTGGAGTATTCCTCGTCGTCGATCTCGGGGGCACCAACTGTCGAATATCCGCTGTCCAGCTTCACGGCAATTCGACCTACACCATGAAGCAATCCAAGAATGCGGTTCCGCGGCATTGCATGGTTAATCCCAGACATGAGCCTCTGTTCGACTTCATCGCACAACAACTCGCCTCCTTTCTCCATGACAATCCCGAGATGGCCGCAATGGATCATGTCGACTCATCCTCCCCGGTCTCCGCGGGCTTTCGTAAGCTCGGGTTCACCTTTAGCTTCACGTACGACAGCCACTCCGTTAGTCGCGGCACGATGCTTCAATGGGACAAGGGCTGGGACATTCTCGACGCGATAGGAAGAGATCCTTGCCGCATGCTCCAGGACGCTATCGACCGGCAGAAGCTGCGAGTCCGCGTAACCGCGCTCACAAACGACAGCGTAGGCACGTTGATGGCCAAGGCATACACATCAGCCCAGGCATCGACCCCCTTGATCGGTGCCATCTTCGGCACCGGGACGAATGCCGCGTACGTCGAGCAGCTCGCGAGGATCGAGAAGCTGCCGCGGCGGAGCGAATCGCTCAAGGGTGACGATTCCGTCATGGTCATCAACACCGAGTGGGGAGCTTGGTTTGACACGACACCTGCGGCGTTGCCGGGGTGCATGTACGATGACATCCTGGATCGGGAGAGCCCGACTCCGGGAGAGCAGCTGTTCGAGAAGAGAACGTCCGGGCTGTATCTCGGCGAGCTGATGCGGCTTGCCACCCTGGACCTGGTGGCCGCGAAGCGGCTGCGGATGACCGTCAGGGCCGACTCCCCCCTGCACACGCCATATCGCGTCAACGCGTCGTTTCTGTCTGCTCTCGCCTCGGGTCCGGACAGCGCCCATTCGACGGAATGGCCGAATATTAAGGCTGAAATCTCCGAGATCTTGGACGTCGTCAACCTGAGCAGAAAGGATGCCCAGATCCTCCTACGCCTGAGCTTCACCATCGTTCGGCGGGCTGCCCAGCTTGCGGGGGCCAGCATGGCGGCAATCATCATCCACTCCGGGAGGCTCACCACGGTCCTACCAGCGTCTGAACCAAGATCCAAGTGTTTCTTGAGGTGGAAGCTGTGGCGTAGTTGGCTCACGCAGGTGCGCACTGCGTGCTTGTCGGGCCGGCACGAGGATGATGAAGCGGCCACACTTTTCTCCAACACAACGCTGGGCCCGCCCACGGACTGCATCGACATCGGCATTGATGGATCCTTGTTTGAGCATTATCCGGGATTTGAAGAAAATATCCGAAGCGCGCTCCGGGCCCTGCCGCAGATTGGCTCGGAAGGCGAGGCGAGGGTTAGGATAGGACTGGCTAAGGAGGGGTCCAGCCTGGGAGCGGCGCTCATCGCGCAGTCGGTACAATGATGCATGCCGCATGAATTAGAGCGCTAAAAATATTGATGCATTTATTGGAAAACAAATAGAGTAGATTTGCATTAGAATAATGCGTTTGTTTCTCCTCCGTCATGCGACAGCCTCCGAGTCGTTGCCTGGGTAATAGTGCCCTGTCCTTTACATTCTTTTCTTGTGCATGTAACTACTATACTAATGACAATGCTCCTCGCGTGCGACTTGGGATAGAATAGCCTAATTATATATGTCGTCTACCTTATTAGTGCTTGACCTATATCCGCGCCGGCACGGCAAAAGCGCCGACCATCACCGGTCAGATAGCAGTTTTGTTGCATCGTACCTATCCTAGCCCCCCGCATGTAAGCGCATCCGGGATGATCGTCCTGTATTAGGGTTAATAGCAAGATAGCCAGGTTTCGCATGAAGCCGGTGATCAAAGTTGCGAGCATAAGCGCTGCAAATGCCGATGGGTAGGTACTGGAATCTCGCTAGGCAAGGCTTCCGCCCCGAACTATAACTTGGTCGTCATCCGCACTTCCAGATCTGCCAGTGGAAAGGGAATAAGCAAGCTAACCAACGACTCAATCTCGAACCATGAAGACCTTTAGCTCCATCCTTCTCATGACCGTCCTGGCCAGTCCAGTTCTCGGCCGACAGGTGCCTCAGAACGTCCGCGACCTGTATAACTCGGTTCGCGCGCAGGGATCTTGCAACAACGAGCTCAAGGGTGGCTTTTATAGCCAGGAAAATGACTCCAAAAGTCTGCCCCTTGTACCATACACGTAGCTGCTACAGTGTTCTGACTTTGGCAAGCAGATTTCGGATACTGCGGAGACCACCTCTCGGACTATAACATCCTGTATCTCCAGGGGAGGAACGGCGAGCTCGTCAACATGGACATTGACTGCGACGGAGCTCTGGGCGACGGGGACGGAAGCTGCGACAGCTCCGGGGACACTCAAGGCCAGACGACCTTCCAGGAACAGGTCGAAGGCTATGGGAAGGGCGTCAAAGACCTGAACGCCTACGTGCACTCATACGTCGTGCTAGGCAACGATGGCAGCAAGGATGGCTACATCACGTTCAAGCCGGAGCAGTACGGCGTGGATCCCTTGTCAATCGTCGCCGTCGTCTGCGGCGACAATATGGTACGCTTGGTTCAGACCCTCCTCAACTGAGACTCGGGCAGCTAACGAAATCGGTGCAGTTCTACGCTGTATGGGGCGACACCAACGGTGACGACGGCCCTCCCCTCGTCGGCGAGGTATCCGACTCGCTCGGCAGGGCCTGCTACGGCGACGCGGTCAACGGAAACGAGGCGCACGACCAAAACGACATTCTGTACATCGCGTTCACCGGCGGTGACGCCGTGCCGGGTGCGGACGGCGCGCAGTGGGATGCGGACAGCTTCGACTCTTTCGAGGCGTCGCTGGGCTCGCTCGGCGACCGCCTCGTGCAGCGCATCATCGGCGGCGGCGGCGGCGGCGGCAACAACCCTGGAAATCCGCCCAGCTGCTCCTGGGAGGGACACTGCCAGGGTGCGCGCTGCTCGTCTGATGATGACTGCGATGGTGAGTTGCAGTGCCAGTCCGGCAAGTGTTCACAGTAGAGCATATGAGCACGTTGTACATACATACAGGCAATGGAGAGTTGGCCCGCTTATTAGCATATCGTCTTCAATTTAAATTATAATTTTTCCCTACCTCATGGATGAGACTCTCCTAGTCGCTGTCTCCTAAGAAGGTTACGAGTGAAGCCAAAGTCTTCCTGGCCTCGCGCCGCGTCTCGACAACGATGGACGCCGCGGGCTTCACATCACGAACCAAGCCGACGGCAGCGCCCACGTACGTCGCCAGCCGCCCTTCCGGACCCCAGCCCTCGTCCCCGGCCTTAGCGGCCTCGTCGTGCCGCGCCTTCAGTTCCTCGAACGTGACCCCGGCCTGGTGCTCCGTCCAGCTGCGGTTGATCACCGTGCGCGGCGCGAACTGCTCCGGCCAGCCGTACGTGCCGCGCAGGTGGTTGTACAGCTGCGTGCGCACCGTGGACGCCGCGCCGTCGCTCGCCCGGACCACCTCGGCCTGGTATCCGCCGGCGATGCGCGTCTCCGTGGCGGCCAGGAGACGAGTCCCCATGGCGCCGCCCACAGCGCCCAGGGAGAGCGCAGCGGCGAGGCCCCGGCCATCCACAATACCGCCCGCGGCGACGAGCGGGATGCCGGTCCCGCGCACGGCGTCAGATGCCTCCGGGAGGAGTGCCTGCAGGCCGATGCCGTCGTGCGCCCGGCCGTGGCCGCCGGCCTCGGAGCCTTGAATGACGAGCACGTCCGGCGGCGTTGGGCTGCTGGCCGCCGCCACGGCCTCTCGCAATGTGCCGACTTGGATCCAGACCTGCACCGCGGGCTGGGCCTTGCGCAAGGCGACGGTCCACTCGTCGAGCTCCTCCTGGCCGCGTCGGGGCGCGAAGAGCCAGACCGCGCAGGGCCGGTTCTTCTGCAAAGCGTCCAGCGCCTCATTCAAGGAGGTGGTCCACGTTTGGAAGCCGATGCCGACCGGCAGGGTCTCGGCGCTGCTGATGTGGCGTTGCAGGGCGGGCGAGGGCGACGCTCGAACGAGCTTGGCCGCCGTTGCCAGATCGACGGCCGCGTCCGCGATCTTGGCGGGCGGTCCGATGAAGCCGAGACCACCGGCGGCGGACATCTCGACGGCGAGCTCGGGCCCGGCAAGGACGCGCATCGGGGCGCCGATGATGTACGGGGCCTTGAGCCAGGCGTACCGCTGGGCCAGTGCGGCGAGGTGCTGGCGCTGCTGGGCTGCCCACATCTTGCTCTAGATATTCGAGATCCTGGGAGGTGAGCTAAAGGTGTGCGTCGAACGATAGGTTAGGCTTTAAATTTTTAGAGAATGGTAAAGTTGAATGCAAGGTAAATGTCAAGAGACAGGTTGACAGTGGTCAGTTATACCCGTTGATGGCGCCAATGGCAGCCGTAATCCCGCGTTACCCGTCCCAGCCGCTTTAATAATGCAGAGCCGCGGCTTGGACACCAGGGTAATTGCGAGGCTGCATTTCCTATCTTCTTTTTTTTTCTATACACGTGAAGTCACTGCAACCGATATTCTCAGACCCCGTCTCCGCTGAGTAATGCACAGCGACATATAGCGATCGCATCACGGACAAAAATAGCGAGAGGTCTCAACCCATACCAGGCGTAGGGGGTAAACATTATTATTTCATCTAGTTCATAGGGGGTTATTGACACAAGGATGATTATTAAGAGTGAGTGTAATCAGGCTTACTCAAGTCCGCTGCGCATCACAACTAATCACTCCCGGCTTCACTGGAGGGCCTCAGACCGACAAAGACATTCTTAATCGCGCGCCACCCGTCGATTAACGGGTAAAAGCCAGCAATGAGCATCGTACCCCAGACCCAAATAATGGACACAATTACCCAGGCTTCAAAGAACGACTTGCCAAAAATATAGTGCGACGCATACATGGGAAGTGGCCTGTGTTGCTGTTAGCTATTGATGCAGTCATCACGCATAGGTCAAGCTTACCACAGGACCCAGTGCCCTAGAAAAGTCGCCAGGGCCCAGAGTGAAGATATCCGAAGCCAGCGCTTGAGGCGGAGCTTGTCGGTGGCATACTGCGAGACGATTTGCTCGTGCGTCTTCAGCTCCTCGTCCGAGTCGCCAGCGGTCGACTTGGAAAACGCCAGTCGCTCCTTGCGGAAGTCCTCCCATTTGAAGTTGGCCGGCCTCACCAGCGTGATCAAGATGGAAAAGACGCAAGGGCTTAGTGCTGAGGCTACCGTGCCGTACACGCAGGGCAGCGTCTGGCCGGTGGAGGCGACCGTGACCTCGCCGTACAGTGCCGCGGCCGTCCCGAGCCAGACCCCGATGCCGGTCGCCATGCCGAGTAGCGGCGACAGCACCGCGGCCGCCTTGGACTGCCTCTTCCACAAGATGGTAAACACGGTGGGGAAGATGCCCGGGCACGTCAAGACGCCGAGCATGTACAGCGTCCAGCCCAGGTCAACCTTGCCGTAGTGCAGCGCCGTCGAGAAGGCCGCTGCGAAGAGCCCGAAGCCGACCACGCCAATATGGCTCCAGCGGATCGCGTCCCCATCCTTGGCGTCCCGGTTGACGTACTGCCGATAAATGTCAAAGCTGAGGATGGACGAGACGGAGATGACCTGCGCGCTGATGGTCGACGTCACCGCCATGAAGACCACCAGCAGCACGGCCACCGCGCCGCCCTTGCCGGCGACGGCGACGGCGGCGTACGGGAGGACCAGCCCGCTAGAGACTTCCGCGGTGTTCATCAGCCGCGGGTAGGTGGGGAAGGAAGGCTGTTTTTCCAGTGCCAGCGCGCTGAAGCTCATGATGGTGCCGAGGCTCCACGGGATGGCGAAGTAGGCGATGCCGCCGACGATGTAGCCCGGCACGACGGCGTGCGGCGCGGCGCTGAAGGCTTTGGCGAAGAAGCCCGTGTCCATGATGACGAGGCCGAAGTTTGCGAGGGTGTGGATGATGCCGAAGAATATAGCCTGTCAAGACTGGTCAGAAACGATGGGGTCTGGGGCAGATGGGTGAAGGCGATCTCACGTCGCGGCTAGTCATTGTCAGGTATGAGCCGCCGTGGTTTCCTGGTACGGGCCTGTCCACGGCTAACTGCGTGATGATGTCGAAAAGGGCACCCGGAGAGCTGATTTCGGGGGTAAGCCAGACTTTGATGGTGAAGAAGCACACGATTATGGTGATGACAACGGTGTGGAAGTAGTCGGTCAGGAAGGTGGCCTTGATGCCGCCCACAAAGGTGTACATGATGACTCCGACAGGCAGGAGGAAGGTGGCAGCTATTATGTGCATCCCGGTACTAACCAGGTGTGTTAGATCTCCAGCATTGCTCAAGGGGTTGTCGTGTTGGCGATGCCGGCGTTACTTACAGAGCCGAGATGGCGGCGCTGGCGCCTAGGAGCATGTTGGCGATGGCGATGATGTTGTTGATTAGGCAGAGCACAATCCACACAATGTGGCCGGCCGTACCATATCGAATCCGCACAATCTCCAACAGAGTATGGGCTTCGGGCACGCGCAGCTTGCAGGCGATGCCCAAGACGGCGAAGAAGACGATCATCGGGGAGCACCTAAGAAACGCATCAGCATGGTTGGTGATGTTAACACGCCGCGGCCAACAAGGTGCTCAGCGTACCCTGCAGCGAACCAGAAAGGACCTGCAACACCAAAGTTGTAACCGACGAGGCTGCTGGCCAGGATCGCGGTGCTCCATAGCCACGAGGAGATGACGGCCGACGCTGTCAGTCCGGTCCCGACGGTGCGGTTCGCGGTCATGAACATTTCCGTCGTCTTGTTGTCTTCTCCGGCCGTTCGCTTGAGCGTGCGGGTGATGAACATCATGACAATGGCAATGAGAAAGCCCATGACTATGATGACTACATAGCCGGCCACCTGCGGGAGGGGTGGCTCGACCGCGCTGTCCGGCTCTGAAGCCCGAGAGAGTACTGTCGCGGACATGTTGTGAGAGCTCTTTACTGAGCAATCTCTTTCAAATTTCGTCTTGTACTCTATAGAGCTGGAGACGACGCCGGTTTATGTATCATGGTATCTTAGCTACCACCACTGTCCCAAGCCCGTGGTTCAACGGTGATTGGCCGTGGCTGTCATTGCGCGACCGTTGAAAGCAGACGCGCCATATTTTATTTCCACCCTCAATCTTGACCGAGATAATTCGGAAGCTTAGCTGTTTCACCAAAGCTCAGGTTCCGCGTCATTGGGTCGGCTTAGGTTCCGCACGTCGCCGGCAATGCAACATGACGGTGATTGCATGAACCAGAAGCAGGATTGCGCCATCCACGTTGAGATGGGGGGGATAGTGGCCGCTATCGGAATGCAGTGGATGAAACAGGCTTCTATAACATTGTACGATAAATACAATTTGAGAGTATTTCGAATCTATTCTTTTTTTTTTACTTGCGCACCCTGGCATTTTGAATCAATATGGCAGCTCAGAAGAAGCTCATCCTCAACGCCTTCGTGGAGTCGTGCAGCGGACACCAGTCCCCGGGACTATGGCAGCATCCCCGCGACGAGTCTTGGCGATTCAACGAAGTATCCCACTGGGTCAACCTAGCCAAGAAGCTTGAAGATGGGAAATTCCACGGCGTCTTCATCGCCGACGTCTTGGTGAGTCACGTCCTGTCCAGGGTAGGTAGTACCAGCGATGGCAACGACTAACACGCAACAACAGGGCGCCTACGACGTCTACAAGGGCCCGCGAAACCCCGATCCTGCTATTGTCTCCGGCGCACAGTGGCCGGTGAACGAGCCTCTGTCCGTCATCTCTGCCATGGCGGCGGCGACGAAGAACCTCGGCTTCGGCGTGACCGTGGCGACCACATACGAGCAGCCGTACCATCTCGCGAGGCGCCTCAGCACCCTCGACCACCTGACGGGGGGACGACTCGGCTGGAACGTCGTGACGGGATACCTGGACTCGGCGGCGCGGAACCTGGGCTTCGCGGAGCAACCAAAGCACGACGACCGCTATGCCGTGGCCGAAGAGTACGTCGAGGTGACGTACAAGCTCTGGTAGGACCGCCGCCCATTCTCCATAACATGAGCTCCCCTCTAACACTACCTAGGCAGAAGTCCTGGCGAGACGATGCAGTCAAGCTCGATCGCAAGACAGGAGTCTACACGGATCCGGCGCTCGTCCGCACCATCGACCACGTCGGCAAGTACTTCAACGTGCCCGGCCCGCACATCTGCCAGCCCTCCCCGCAGCGCACCCCCGTCATCATGCAGGCCGGCACCTCCAGCGCCGGCAAGGCCTTTGCCGCCAAGAACGCCGAGGCCATCTTCGTCGCCGGCCACAGCCCCTCCACCGTGGCCAAGAACGTCGCCGAGATCCGCGCCAAGGCCCGGGACGAGTTCGGGCGGGACCCCAACGGCATCAAGTTCCTCGCGCTGTTCTGCCCGATCCTCGGCAAGACGCAGGAGGAGGCGGAGGCAAAGTATAAAGACCTGATACAATACGGCTCGGAGGACGGTGCGCTGGCGCTGTTTGGCGGCTGGACGGGCATCGACCTGTCCACGTACGGCGACGACGAGGAGTTGCGGCACGTCGAGTCCAACGCGATACGATCGGCGGTGGAAGCTTGGTCAAAGTCGACGCCCGAGGTGCCCAAGTGGACGAAGCACACGGTCGCCAACCACATCAAGATCGGCGGCTTAGGGGCGACCACGGTCGGTACGCCGGACAAGGTCGCGGATGAGATGGAGAGGTGGGTTCGCGAGGCCGACGTGGACGGCTTCAACCTGGCGTACGCACTCTTCCCAGAGTCGTTCGAGGATATTACAAATCTTCTGTTTCCAGTTCTGAGAGAGCGAGGTCTGTTTTGGGACGACTACGCCGTGGATGGTGGGACGTATAGGGAGAATCTGTTCAGTAACAAGGGTGGTGCGTTTCCGCCTCCTGATCATCCGGCTGCTAAGTATCATTGGAAGGCCGATTCGTAAATGTTAATTTGTACTCACCTTTATCTTGCTCGAATGAAAGTCCATTCGGTGTGCATTTGTGAAGGCGCAGCAACTGCCACAGCACCATGCCGCTGCCAAGGACCACGCAGCCATCACCGCCCGCCGTGCGTCGTTTCCCTGCATACAACACGAACTACCACATATATTCTCCGATATCGCTGCATATCCGATGTCGCTGCATCGGGACAATACGCCTTGCACCTAGCTGGACATGTCAAGTGCTGAGTACTGTAACCTCACATGCCGAACTCCGGCGCTTGGCGGGGTACTGGTTTCCACGCGAAAGAGCCAAGCAGTCAAATAACCAGATAAAGGAGCAAGAACTTGCTCTTGACCATTCACATCGTAGGGAGAGGACCCTATGCACATCATGATCTGCCGACCAAGTAAATAATGTTGCATTGAAACTGCTTGGCAGCTTCGATGGCGCAATCGAGCCGGAATACACGCAACCGTTGATGTGCGCGGAATGATACCCGAAAATTGTCAACCAAAAGCATCCCATTTCAATAACACGTGAGGGCTCATTCAGCCATTGCCTAGTTACCTAGTGATGAAGGAGAACCTGAATCGGCCTGCACATGCCTTTCGAGAATTGTTGCTCACGTCTAGCCAACATGACTCCCACGGCCCCCGACTTAGACGCCAACTACTCGATACCGCACGAGAGAAAAGCCCAGTCTGCGCTTTTACTCAAGGCGCCTCGAGAAAAATACACCTTGGTCAATGATTTTCCAATTCCCACATTGCAGGACGCCGAGGAGATCCTCGTACAGACGGAGGTGATTGGACTGAACCCGATTGACTGGAAATCACCGTACGTCGCGCCCGGCCGATAAAAAGCTTCAAATGTTAACCGATACGGTATTGTAGAGACTTTAACTTTGGGATACCGCATTTGCCGTTCCTGCCCGGCCGGGAACTGGTCGGCATCGTGACTCAAAGCCATGCCGCGGCACGCTTCCGGCGCGGCGACAGAGTACGCACGCACCAGATTGACTTGGCATATTCGGGGACGTCTTGCTGACCTTTTTTTTTTCTTTCTCACAAGATCATCGCCATCTCCACAGACTACCGAGACGGCAGGAAAGCCGCGTACCAAGAATTCGTCGTCGCGCTGAGCTACAACGCGGTGCGCCTCCCGCCGCAGATGTCGTCGGCCGACGGCGCCGCGCTCGGCGTCGCCTTCGTGACCGCCGCGCTGGCACTTGGGAGCTGCTTCGGGCTGAGCTTCAGCGACTCTCACGGCGGGCCAGATTTACGGTCGGTGATCCGTCGAGTAGGCGGCGACCGGATACCGGAGGATGTCCGCCACGAGGCGCTGCACTCGATCGAGGACCACGAGCGGGCGCTGGACGGCGACTGGATCGCGATCTGGGGAGGTATGCCTAACCCGTCTTTCTTTCACCCTTTTTCTCACGCCAAAACTCCCAAGCTGACTGACCGGCTTGCAGGATCGGCCACGTCGGCGTGCTTGCTGATTCAGCTGGCCCGGCTTGCTGGGCTCAAGGTCGCCGTGGTCGTGGACCAGGCGCGCCATGGGTTCTGGCTCTCCACGGACGGCCACGTGCGGCCCGACCTGCTAATAGACAACAGCGACCCGAAACGAGCAGTTGAAGTACTCTCCGCCACGATTGGCGAGAGGCTCTATTTCGGCATTGACACCAGCGGAAAGGACAGCGCCGCGTTCCTCCTCCGAGCCTTGCAAAAACCGCCATCGGGAGAATCGCAGCAATCGCCGTCGCCACCGCCGACTCCGCCAACACGAACGCCGAGACGGAGACACCTGATCGGGCTGGCGGGTCTGCCAGTGAACGAGTACCCGAAGGAGCTTCAAATGCATTCCGTGCCGCTCAAGCTGTTCCACGAGGTTCCCGAGGTCGGCCGGGCGCTGAGCGAGTGGATGGAGGTGCTGCTGCATAGCGGACGGCTGCATGCGCCGAGGATACTGGGGATTCACTCGGGTCTTGCGGATGTAAATAAAGCGCTCGACCGCATGAGGAACGGCGAGATACGGGGTGGGAAACTAGTCGTCACAGTTTAATAAGAAAGGTCACGTCTGCGATGACGCGCCGTTGAACACACCGCAGTTGAATTGTCAAGGGAAGTAGTCCAAGGTTGTTTTGTACTTGGTCTATGAGCTCTCTTCTACCTAGCTCATGAGTCCATGTGCACTATATACAGGTATTCCACGATATGTCGTGTACAAGAAATTAAAAACTAGGGCATATCCGCGGTCCGATCCGCATCTTGAATGTACTCTCACTTCAGCGCCTCAGCTGAATCCACCACCGTTGACCAGGCAGTCCCTGCTTGAGCTGCTTACCCGTCTTCATGTGCGCACCGAGACCACCTTCCTCTGGCAACTCCATCTTGACGTACGCGACACGGTGATCCATGCAAAAGAAGACGTCGGGCACGCACTCGCAGGATGCCGACCTGTCCGCCGCAAGGGCTTCCTCTTCCATCAGCATCTTTGCCTCGACCAACTTCCACGAGATTTCGTTATCCCACAGTCCATCACAGTGTCGCCACTGCTGCAAGAGCTTGATGATGCGTCGCCGAATGGCGCCGCTGCGACAGATGAAGCCTGTCAAGCGCAGGACCTCCTGGACGGAAAGCGAGTAGTAAAAGACGCCCCTAGTGGAGAAGGTAGCATCCCCACTACTTCTTTGCTTTTCGAGCAGGCGCTCCGCTGCCTTGACGATGCGCTCCCACCGATGCGAGTTCTTGATCCAGACTTCCGGGGTTCGGTGTATCATGATGGTGTCAAACGTCTCTTCAAAGAGACAAAAAAGTCGTAGCAGCTCAATGGTATCCAGGTCCTCCTTTGTGTAAGTACCCAGTTGCAAGTAGGCTTCAAATCTAATCGTCCAAAGGCCAAGCGCGTGCTGTCGCACTTGCATCTGGCCGGGTGACGGAGAGGCGCCGCGGCAAGGACGGTTGTCGGGCTCCCAGCTCTTGATTCGCGCCCAGCCGGAGTGAATGTTCAAGTAGGCATAGTACGCCTCATCAACAGAAGCAAACGGCTCCGTTACGTGCCAGACTGGGGCCTCGAAGTGGGCGGCAATGTCTTCAGAAAAGCTTGCGATGGAGTGAAAAGAATGGTACACGTCTCGAATGAGCTGTCTAGTATTCGCCCGCCCAATGACACCGTCTGCCACTTGCTGCTCCGTCTCATCGTCCAGAAACCTCCACTGTTTGGAGAGTTTCGCGGCACCAGCCGCATGCGCGCGGGCTTGGTTCAGATCAGCGCGCAACAGACATATTCCGGCGTACAGCGCACTTGCGGTCAGCAACATTTCCTGCTCGGCACCCGACACGCGACTGTGGTTCATGGCGATGATGAAGCGAAAGGATATGATATGCTGCTGGAGGGCAAATGTGTTGTACTGTTCGGCGACGCTCGCGTCGCCGAAGTCGCGGAGGATATTGGCTCGCTGATACATGGCGGCGAGAGCGAGGGCGGCGTGCCAGATGGCGGGATAGACATAGGTGGCCTGCAGCAGGTTCTTGCTCCAAAAGTCGGGTTTGATGCCGCCATTGACTTGGCGCACGGTGAGGGTCCGTAGAAGGTGGAAGATTTGTCTCTCCTGCTCAGTGGGAGTATGACCATGCGGAGCGGACGACAAGGTTGGCTGTTCGGATATGGAGGAGGCCGGCGAGGCCTGCTGCGGCGCTGGCGTGTACACGAAGTAGCCACCACATTTGCGTTTGGCCGATAGACATCGTGCACAAGCTGGTTTCGTCTCATCGCACTTGACGTGGCGAGTTCTGGGGGGTTGATCATGACCAGGTCAGTTCCCAATTAACATTTCGCACGGATCCCGAGCTAGCAACTAGCGGCGCAAGCCACACGAGCGAGGAGAAACAGGCCACCACTACTAACCTGCACGTTATGCATCCGGTTTTGGTTTTGGGGGCCCATCTTTTAATTCGCGGGACTGCCTCATCGGGTTTGTGGTAGGCTCGCCGCTGAGGAGGGCCGTGAGAATCGTCTGCGCCACCAAATGCTAGGGACCGAGATCGAGGGCTCATGGCGCGATCCCAGGCCCAATGCCAAACGGGTTGCGGCTCTGTGAGGTATGACAGCGGTCAGCTGCAGATGTGACATCAACCATGGTGGCAGCTGATTTCTCGGAGCATGTTTCTGCGCGAGACAGAGGGTTGACAGTGGCGAACGATCGCGGGGCAACCCATCGGAAGTCGCAAAATTGAACATTGTGTTGCAAATCGATAACGGCACGTGACTGACGCGAAATGCAGCGGTCCTCGACACTGCGCAAGCGACTTCTTGGCTGCAAGCACAGCAAGCAACCAGGCTCTCGGCGCCCGTGGTTTATTGGCGGTTGAGTGCAGATTACAGATTTCGGGACGCAAGATTGGTTCGCCAGATTCACCCGCCAGATTGGTCCCCAAGATTGGGGGCGGCGCCCTAGACGCGAGTCAGCAGACAGAACAAGGCCTGGCTTCGGCCCAGGAGAAGTTGCTCCGGGCATCTCACCTCAGTCAGCACCCTGCATCCACACAACTGCACAGATCTAACAGGTGAAAAGGGCGGGTAAGTTTTCTTTCGGTGTTATTGTTTACATTTTGAGTAGTGCTATTTTTATATACGAATTAGCGGATATCATTACCGAGACAGGCTCATTTCAGGCATGTTTCGCCGGCCCTCTGCTGCTGCTCCGCCGTGACATTCCCGACCTGCAACACCACACCCATGCCGACCGCCTGGTGCCACAGGACGTGACAGTGCATCAACCAAACGCCGACATTGTCCAGCGGGAACCGCAGCACCACGTAGCCGTGCGACTGGACGTACACCGTGTCCTTGAGCAGCGGCGTCTCCGTATCGAAGAAGGCCGCTTCGCGCTCCGTCGCCCCCGGCTCGTAGGGGTTGTACGAGCGGCCGAGATCAAGCTGGCGGGCGCCGATGACGTGAAATGCATATCCGTGCTGCGCCAAGAAAAAAAAAAGAAAAATATTAGCCTCGCAAATTTCACCACGACGCGATCACGCGACGCGACGGGAGAGTGTCTCACCAAGTGGAATGGGTGCCCCTTGTCGTCCACGTTGTTCACCACCAGGTCGATCCACCGGCCCTGCCCGTCTCGGAACCACGGCGCGTGGAAGGTCCGCAGATTGTTGGCCTGCTCGGTGCCGTCCGCCCAGCGGTCCCTCTCCAGCGCGAGCAGCGGCTTGGCCGTGGGATCGCGCCACACCCACGAGGTGTGGTTGACCTCGCCCCAGGGCTCGTCGTGCTTGAAGTTGTTGATGGCCAGGCTGGTGTACAGCAGCGCCGTCTCCGCCGGCTCTTGGCGGACGCCCGAGTCTCGGGGCACTGCGACGCCGCGCGCGTCCTTGACGTTGAAGACGTCGACGCTCTCTGGAATGTGCTGCCGCTCATGAGTGGTGGTGGAGGACCGACGCCGCCACTTGAGAGGAAAGTCTTGTATGCGCGTCAAGGCCCAATTCTTCATCGGCATGAGCCTAGGACCCGGAACATTAGCTCTTGTCGAATAATGCCTCTGCATCCGGCACCACTTACTCGGCATCCAGCACCATCTTAATCTCGGTGTCGAGCAGGTGCCCCTCGTCTGCAGGCACGTCGCTCGGCAGCAGCAGCACATCCATGCGCTCTCCCGGGTACAGCACACCGATGGTGGGCGTCCGCGGCGTGTCGCCGGACGCGTAACCGCCACCGTCGACGGTCAGCAGCTGCACGGTGCCGTTCTGGAGCTGGAACGAGAGGCCCGCCGCGGCACCGGTATTGACGATGCGCAGCCGGACAGCCTTGTCGGCAGCCACAGAGAGTGTCGGCGGACTCGTCTCCACGCAGTCGATCGGCCGCGCCGGGCGCGCGTTCGAGCAGTTGTACGAGCCCACGCCGTTGATGAGCAGCGAGTCCGGCACAGGCTAGCACGCCAATTCATCAGCTTCTCTCTCAAGGCCGCCCATGGCCGATTCGGGACGGCAACTCACCTCGTATGCGAAATTCCGGTAGTTTTTGTACTCGCCCAGGACGGTATCCGCGCCGCGATGGTACCAGTCGCCGACCAGCAGGAGCTTCTCGGCATCGTAGTCGTGCCGCGACAGGTCGCTGTGCCCCGTCCGCTCGTCCGCGGGCCTGTGTACGACCAACCCGCCGTAGAGGCCGTCGGCGCGCTTGACGGCCGAGTGCGCGTGGTACCAGTAGGTGCCGTGCTGCTCCGGGTCGATGCGGAACTTGTACGTGAAGGAGCGGCCCTCTGGAATGACGCACTGCGTAACTCCCGTCGCGCCGTCCATCTCGTTGGCACCTGTCAGGGGCGGCGTTAATTGAAGTTGGGCACAGATCACAGCAGTGTTCTACTTGCCCTTCATGCGAAGGCCGTGCCAGTGCATGGCGATGCCTGCGTCGGTGTCGTTAAAGATGTTGTTCGTGACGGTGATTTGCAGCTCATCCCCGGAGCGCGCCTCAATCGTCGGGCCGGGGAATTGGCCTGAAGGAGGTCAGTATACATCTTGGGGGATGCAATGGTTCAGGCGGGGAAGCAATACCGTTGATGAAGTAGACGTCTCTCAGCACGCCGTCAGGGCGGTGCTGCTGTCGCGTGATGCTCCAATCGAGCTTCAAGGTGCGGGGAGGACGCGAGACATGCAGTTCCGGGTGCAGCGCAAAGCGATCATGCTTGTCGGAAGGCGTCGCGTCAATCGAATCGACGATTTCGTGTGGTGGCAGCAGCCATGAGAGCGGCCGAACCGTGGCTTGCGAGTATCGCAGCACGACGACGAGATACAGCGTCGCCGTGGCCAGCAACAGCGCCAACCCGCCGCAGAGAGGCAGCCGCCGCCGCGGCTTGGATTGGCGCAGCCGACCGGTGTTCAGCGGCGTGTCCATTGTGCCGCGTCGTGTGAAGGCCGAGAGGTTCTCATCGAGGCGCGTACGCCGTTCGCGATAACAAGATGCGCAAAGGTGAACTCTCCGCGGCTGGTTCTGGTCGCCGGCATAGGCAAAAAGTTGGTGGGGGTTACGCGCAGTGCCTCGGAGATAATGAAGATGGACGAGCGTGACCAACCCGGGAAAAAAAAACAAATCGGCAGAGTCCGGGATTGAGAGACAAACAGGGACGACGAATCAAAGACAAAGCAAAATCATCTCGGATAGGCGGGAAGCGGTCGGGGCGTCTCTTGGGCTCTGCACTTACAAGGACAATGGCAGTTGCGGGTTGGCAAGCCGACAATGTACCACCTGGGCGGCCGAGGTCACACAGTAGTTAGTAGTTGGATTACTTGCTGGAAGAGGAGAGGAGAAGAGCACGCCGTGTTTGCAGGTGATGGCAGGAAGAGGACTGGTGACGACGAATAACTAATACAGGGCTCAGTCGAAGCAACGTGGGCTGAGAGCTTGGCTGCGAATGATCGGTGATCAGCAGCGCTAATAAGTGGGAGGGAGGCCACGGAGGGGGGGAGGGGGGCGATGAAAGGAAGATGGGGTCCTTTCAAAGGGAAGTCCTGATAGGAACAATGGCGGGGTTCCTGCGATTGTGTTAGTGCAGTCAGTGGATGAAGTGCCTCCTCACTGACGGCCGTGGTTGATCGGTGAAAGAAACAAGCACGGAATACCATACGGCTACAAGAGATGAACCCATGGGGTGGACAGACGCCAGCCGGCCCTGCCCTGTAATGGCTAGCCTTGATGCGCGATTTTGACAGGAGTCTGCCCACTCTTTGTCTTTCATTTTTCCTTTTTTTCCTTTTGTTTTACTCTGATCTTGAGATTCTTGCCTCGTAACATGCGACAAACCCCGGGCCATTGCCAAGCATGCCAGAGATATAGTACATTAAACATGTGCCCTTGGCCATGGCTCTGAGTCATGGGGCAAATCTGGCATCTGGCCAGGCCAAGCATGGACCTGGTGATCTTCCCGGCAACCGGGGGGGAAGGAAATCAACGCCAACCCAATCATCGCTGGTACCCGAGCCGAGCAAGCAGTTCGGCCCAACGTCCCAACGTTGTCGTCTGTAGTCTCTTTGTATTTGGTGAATTAGTGTGAGCGAGGCAACTACCACACGTGTCTTGCAACGGCCTCGGGTGCCGTACAAGTCGCACATCCCATCCGGCCCCCGCTATAGCCCACTACATCTATATTAGGGCACGGAGAGGTTAACGGATGTTCGGCTATGAATTACACCAGCAGCAGCCGCCGTCCTACCGTTCCGTAGTACATGCGTATGGCTGTCAAAGAGAACGACATGGACAAGTCGGACTTGGCAGTGTTTTTCTCTTGCTTTGCATGAATAAAGAAGTATCAAGTACAATGAATAAGATGAATAAAATAAAATAACGCCAATAACAGTTGACAAACACCAAGCAGCCCGCATCTTCAGCACTCCCGTCTTGTTCCCCAAGGTTGGAGGAGGCAGAAGCCACCAACAGCAGTTCGGGTAACTGTAAAGGTAAACCCGCGTGGCTTCAGTGGCTTTCAGTGACTTCAGTGGCTTTCAGTGGCTTTCAGTGGCTTTCAGTGGCTTTCAGTGGCTTCAATGCCGTGTCCGGCACGGCAGGGCTACAACGCCACTTACATATGACTGGCATCTCTGGTCCCTCCAGTCCAGCATGAATCGCATAATGTCCACCATAATAAATGGAGGCAAATGTCTTGTAGCCTGGCCTGCTTATTGTAATTACTAGTCATCGTCTTCTTATTAGGAACATTCCAAGCTTCCCATGTCTTGAATCCAGACAGAGGACATTTCGCCGATTTACCCGCCAAGACTCGCTCCTTGTTTACCAGTCATCGTTTTGGTACTTGCAGGTCACAGATGGCATCTTCTCGACTGCCGCTGCTATCCAGCTTGTCTAATTCGTGTAAACTGTCCTACGCTTTCCTCCTTCCAATATCCATCTAGCTTCTTTGTCAATCGGCACCTTGGCGTCCCTGACCCCGGTCACCGCCTCCTTCTCTCTCTCAAGGTCCAAGTCCAAACTCAAGTCCAAACTCGCTCACCGGGGCCGCCAACAAGAAAAAGACACCATCACACATTCCCCAATAGAGCCTTCACTGTAACCTCATCTCTCACCATCACCGCCGCACGTGCCCACGGCCACAGGCTCTTCCTCTTTCATTCTCTTCAACCTTGTGGCTCCGCGTCTTCCTAGCTCCGAACCAATCCAAGGCGACTTGAACCCGCGCCGGGTCTCATGCGCCCGCAAAAAAGAAGGTACCTTCATTCCCAATGTCATGCGTGACAGGACATGCTGTGCCTTTTCTCCCTTTTCATTCTCCACACAGCCAACTTTCTAGTCGCTCCCTCTTGCTTTGTTGTCGGCTAACACGTTGTTGACATGCTGCTGCTGCTTGTCTTCTCAGACTGCAGGAGAACTCTTTCAGCTTATTATTTACTCTCACCCACCATTCATTCGCCGGCTCCCACCCCGACCCTCCCCCCCTCACTCCTTCTCCCGCACCCGTGCCCTCACCATCGTGTCACAGCCCCGGCCCGTTATTGGCCCATGACCTTTTCGCCGCTTGGGCATTGCCATGCCTCCCATTGGCTTAACCTTTCTCAAAGTTGCCTTTTCTGGGGGACACGGCGCCCGTCGCTGTTTGCTTCTCCCTTGTGGCTCCTGCCTCTATCCTCGACCGAATAGTGGCCTTGTCCTCCCAGTATCCGGGCCAAGTAATATTCAAAATAAATAGGAAGAAAAAAAATGGAAATTGTGAGTATCATGCCCCTCTGCACCGCACCCATCTCCATCCCCATGCTTGCGAGCCCCGTCCAGCCGACCACTCCCAAGAGGTCCTTTGCCTATTACATTTAGTTCCTCTTCATACGTCAGGCCCTTCTCGGCTTATCGCCGCCGCTCCTCAACAAAAAAGAGTTAAATATTCTCTCGGCCGCTCGTCGCATTCTGACTGATGCTTCTAGCCTCTTTTCTCTCTACCTCTGGCCTTGCTCTTGCTGCTGTCTAACCAGAGTCGAATCGGGTAAACAGGTCATCTCACAACAACACCCATCATGTTGTACTCTACACTTGCCCTCGCGCTCATGGCTTCGGCCGGCGGCGTGCAAGCCGGCTCCCTCAAGGATATTAAGCATATTATCCTTTTCATGCAGGAGAACAGATCTTTTGACCACGCAAGTATACCGTCTCCGGTAACACCCTACCTACCCATGACTAACCTGCTACACAGTACTTCGGCACCATGGCTGGCGTCCGCAACTTTGCTGACCCTAATGTCCAGAAGAACAATGGTGTGCCAGTCACCAAGCAGTAAGTTGATCACTCTATTCATCATGTCCTCTTCATGTCATCCCCAGCCTGACCTGGGATCAGGGCCATCAAGAGCACCAAGAATGGCGTCAACAGCTTGTCCCCATGGCACATCAACTACCTCGGTGGTGACTGGAAGGACGCCACTCAGTGCATGAACGGCGGCTCCAATGGTTGGGACGCGATGCACGGGGCCTGGAACAACGGCCGCGGCGACGGCTGGGTCACTGCCGACAGTGACTACAACATGGGCTACTTCAAGCGCGAGGATGTCCCTACGCACTGGGACATTGCCGAGGGCTGGACCGTCATGGACAACTCTCACCAGAGCATCCTCGGCGTCACCGACCCCAACCGTATCACCTGGATGAGCGGCACCGTCAACACCAAGGGCTCTCCTACGAACCCCGATGGCAGCGGCGGCAACATCCTGTCCAACCGTGCCAGTCCCGGGTGCGACTCCCCTGGCAACAACTGCTTCCCCTTCACCTGGAAGACGACCCCCGAGTACCTCGAGGAGGCCGGCATCTCGTGGCGCGTCTGGCAGGACTTTGACAACTTCGAGGACAACATGCTCGCCTACTTCAAGCAGTACCAGGATACCCCCTCGGGCGGTGCGCTCCGTGAAAAGGGCATTTCCTTCCCTGGCCTCGATTCCTTCTATGATGCATGCGCCAACGGCACCCTGCCCCAGGTCAGCTGGATCATCGGCCCCTCGGAGCAGAGCGAGCATCCTCCCAACATGCCCATTGACGGTGCGTGGCTCCAGCGCAACATCGTCGAGGCCGTCATCAACAGCCCTGCCTACGCTTCCACCGCCCTCGTCGTCAGCTACGATGAGCAGGGTGGCTGGGCAGACCACGTCATTCCGCCCGTTGCCCCTCGTGATGCTGCGGGTGAATGGATTACCGATCCCTTCGATGCTGGGCGCGGCACCGTCCCTATTGGTCCTGGTAAGCCCATCCATGCATGGCCTCGGCGCCTCCGGCATCTAATCCCAGACTTCTAACCTGCCCGCTAGGACCCCGTATTCCCCGCTACATTGTCTCTCCCTGGACTCGCGGTGGCAACGTCTTCGCCGAGACTGGCGATCACACCTCTGACATCATGTTCATCGAGGCCTGGGCTGAAGCCAACGGCTACGATGTCAAGAACACGGGCATCACCCCGTGGCGCCGCGCCCACATGACTAACATGGTCAACGCCTTCGACTTCAACAACCCGGACTACTCCCTGCCCAGCATCACCTCGGTGCGCACCCCCGAGGCGCTCGACTACGACAACTGGAGCGGCAACCTGACCCTCGGCTCGCTGACCGGGCCCTGGGTCGGCCCCTCCAAGTGCTCCAGCGGCTACAGCCACGGCAACTACCCGGCCGTCCCCTACGGCAAGGAGAACGCCAACGAGGACATGAACAACCTCGTCGAGGACGGGCACAAGGAGATCCGCGGCGCCATCACCGAGGGCCGCTACCTGACCATCGAGACGGACGGCATGGGCCTCGGCCGCACCAAGGACGGCAAGGTGGTCGGCATCGCCGCCGCCGACAAGCACGAGGACCCGGCCCAGCGCTGGTTCATCACCAACTCGGACGGCGATCGCTTCGGCAAGACCTTCTTCATCCAGTCCGCCTCGGATGGCAGCTTCGTCACCGCCAAGGGCGCCCTCTCCAAGAACCAGAACCAGGCCCAGACCTTCATCTTCGAGTACGAGGCCGGCAGCGCGACCTACACGGTGCGCCCGGTCGGGGCGGGCAACGGCGGCTACGTCAGCATCGGCAAGCGGTCCAGCAAGAAGCGCGGCACCAAGAAGTGCCGCGACATCGGCGAGGTCAACTTTGGCGGGCCGAAGACGTCGTTTAAGATTCACGGCGTCAACTACCGCTCATAAAAGCTTGCAGTCTTTTCTTTACAGTTTCTTGGTTATATAAACGTAGGGGGGCTATTGTCTGGGCAGGCTCTGGCCTGGTGTACATAGGCGCGAGCCATATAACAGGCTTGGCCAATCGAGGCGCATCAACTGGCTGCCTTTGTCTAATACGATTATTATGACTAGTATATACAATTTATACACAATCTACTAATTTCAAAAACAAGAGGTGCCTCAAATACGTTATGGCAATTTGTTGCAGATCACCCAAAGTCGCCATGTCCAAGGCTGGCGACGGTGTGAGACGAAGACGGAAAATTCTTGTCTGTATTCCCAGTTAATGAATTGTCGAAAACGCCATCCTAAGCGCCGTCTAGTATACTCTATAAAAATTATGAGATTCTAATATGCAACCGTAACGCCAGATAATATGCTTAAACTTTTGTGCGAAGCTTCCAGCCCGCCTTTGCCACCTTGGTGGCGACAGCAAAGGCCGCGGCCAACAGAATGGACGTCGCGGCAAACATCTGCGCTCCCAGATAGCTGCCATTGGAGCGCTCGATGATGGCGCCTGATATTGCCGGCCCCGTCAAGTTGGCGAAGCTGACGAAGAACAGGATCATGCCCACGCGAGTGCCCGTCTTGCTCGGGTGCGGCGTCATGGTCGTCGCGACGGCCGGGTAAAGCGCCTGCAGTGCCGCGGCGGCCAGGCCGTATATGACGGCGAAGACGTACAGGCCGGCCGAGGAGTCCACGGCCGCCCAGCAGTACACCAGCAGACTCGATACGAGTCCTATCGCGATGACGAGGTTCAGCGGACCGCACCACTTGTCCGCGACGATGGTGGGCGAGATGCGACCGATGACGCCGACGCCGTTGAGTAAGATGAGCAGGTAGATCGGCTGCGCGACGCCGATTCGATCCCTCGCAAACGTGCCGAGGAAGAAGAATGCAAAGTACAGCCCCCAAAAGGCGAAGAACATGCTGATGGTGAAGAGGATGAAGGGCACGTCCTTGAACGCCGTCGTGTCGATCCAGTCGGCCGTCTTCCGCGGCGGCAGCCTCGGCTTGAACAGCACCAGGCAGGGGATGTACGTGACGAGCATGACCAGGCCCATGCAGCGCATGGTCCAGCCGAAGCCAACCTTGTCGTGGAAGATCAGCCTGTTGATGAGAATCGGGTACACCAACCCGCCCACCGCCGCGCCCGCCGCCGCCAACCCGACCGCGAACGCGCGGCGCCGCTTGAAGTATTGCGACAAGATGGCCAGCGCGGGGCAAAACACCAGCCCGTTGCCGACGCCCATGCACACCGCCTGCGACAGGAACAAGTGCCAGTAGCGCGTGCCCAGCGACGTCATGAAGACGCCCAGCAGCTCCAGGAAGACGCCCGCGCGGAAGACGTGGGAGAAGTACCCGGCGTCGGTGGCGCGCCCCGAGGCGACGCCGACGCCGAACAGCAGGAAGGTCCCGACGCTGCCGATCCAGGCAATGTCGCTGGGCGGGCGGGCGAGCGCGGCGGTGTAGTAGTCCTGGAAGACGCCGTAGCCGTTGACGACGCCCCAGGTGTTGAAGAAGACGATGTGCATGAGGAGGGCGTGCGTCCAGGCGAGGCGGCCGCCGTCGGGGGGCTCGTCGGCGGCGACGGTGACGGCCGCTTCGAGCTTCTCGGACTGTCGCTGGGGGCTGTTGTCGACGGAGTCCGCCGGGCCGGAGTACATGGGGGTGGTTGCGCCGGACTCTACGTCTGCGAGGCTGGTTCGCGCCATGATTTCCGCCGGCAGGGTGAATGATGGGTTCATTCGGCGGACAGTGTTGATGAGGCAAACAGGATGCATATGCAGGCAACTTGAACCATCCTTCTACTTATAGTCATGGTTGCCTTCCGACTCACACTTGGGCATCCCGCTCTATGCGCGGCTTCCGACATTCCCGTTATTCCCGAAGCCACTATTCCCGATGCAGGCCATCGGCAAAGTCTCGTCTCCGCTAACCGAGATCAAAGTCTACCTCTTGTCAGGGAAAATTCTTACCGCGTTGCTAATAATCAGAAGCAGATTGACGGACCTCCACTCCAGGCTGATAAATTCAATCTTTTTTTTCATTTCTTTTTGCGAAAATTACTTCACTTCCGTCGTCATCAGACTTGATCACTTCGACTCACAACGACCCAGAACGCCAGACCCTTTGCATCTCCTCCACCACATCTCCACCAGTTTCCCGGTTCCAACTTTCCGCTTTACCCGTCCTCCGCCGTTACGACACACCCTATAAGCCGCCCGGCCTATAAGCCCGCCGAGCCCGGTCTTGCCATCGATCCCGATGGCGTCGGTCCAGGGGCGCAAGCGGTCGCGGCTCGCCTGCCAGACCTGCCGCGAGCTGAAGCGCAAGTGCGACGGCGCCGAGCCCTGCGGCACCTGCGTGCGCTTCGAGTATCCCTGCCGCTACTCGGCCGGGAGCAGGATCCGCAGCCGGACGGATCATCACCACGCACCACAGAGGAGTGTCGGCCTGCCGCAGTGCTCGCCCATCGACAGCGGCGCCACGCCCGCGTCCTCCGCGGTGCAGCACCAGGCAAGGTCGCTCGAGGCCAACTCGGGCCCCGCGTTTGTCCGCCGCCTGGGCTTCAAGTCCGAGTCGGGAAAGGGCAGCCCGCGCGTGCAGACCTTTGCGTGGAACGCGTTCCTCGGCTCGCGCCAGACGGTGCAGAATCCCCTGGCGCGCCCCGTCACCGAGCTCCTGTCCCAGCATCGCATGACCTACCTGGCCGGCGTGTACTTTCAGAAGCTCCATCCCACCTACAGCTTCATCGACGCCGGCCAGCTCGAGGCGCACGTGCGGCTGCGCTGGTCGCGGCCGAGCGCCCCGGAGCCGGGCGACGCGCTGCTGTGCGGCGTGGCCGCCCTGGGGTGCCTCTTCTCGCAGGTGCACGCCGACAGGACCGAGCCGGAGCTGGTCGAGTCGGCGAGGCGCATGCTGGAGGGGTCCTTCTCGGAGCCGCCGTCCGTGGCGGGCATAAGCGCCTGGCTGCTGCGGGTCATCTACCTGCGGCTTGCCGGGACGCACTACCCGGCGTGGATGGCGAGCTGCACGGTGCTGCACATGCTGGAGGCCGCAGGCATGACGGTGGAGGACACCAACCCCGCAGCCCTGCGTCCGGACACGCAGGAGGCGGGCAACGTCGAGGTCAACAGGAGACTGCTCGCCGTCGCCCAGCACCTCAACACGTGGATGTCCTACGACATGGGCCTGAGCCGCGTCGCGCTCTCGAGCGTGACGTGCGTGCTGCCCTCGAAACGACCCGGGGAATTCACGACCGAGCTGATGGAACTCCTCCCCTTCACCATCCAGCTGGACCCGGAGCGCACGCAGCCCGCCTCCGAGCTGGAGTCGGCGCTGCAGACGGTCCTCGACCGCGTGCACACGCGCCCGCCCAGCGTCCTCGGCCAGTGCAACCTCGCCCTCTGTCTCTGCCGCCGCCTGCGCTCCATGGAGTTCTCCCTGCCCGACGCCACCATCCAGCGGATCCTCGTGCTGACGGCCAGCGGCATCCGCGCCGCGCGGGCGATCCTCGAAGACCGCGCGCCGTGGCACCACATGGCCTACGTGCCCTTCCAGGTCGTCTGCGTGCTGCTGGCCATCGACACGGTGGCGTCCATTTCGCAGCTGCGCGACGCGGTGCAGTGCCTGCGGGACGTGGCCGAGGTGTACAACACGCACGCGACGCGCGAGGCGGTGCGCACCGCGCGCTCGCTGGTGATGCTGCACCAGCGCGGCAAGGAGATGCTCGCGGCCGCGCTGGGGGACGTGGTCAAGATGCACGACGTGAATGCCCACGAGGATGTGGCGAGCACGGTGCCGGTTCTGTCGGATGAGTTTGTGTGGCTGAACAACTTGCCCGAGGACATCTCCAACCTCCAGGACCTGGGACTGGAGCAGCTGCTCAGCCCAGAGTTCTTCTGGAATGCTAGTAGTAGTTGACATGCGCGGATGATCCAGCAAATGTAAAGTATAATCGACGTTGATTCATTAATAAGAGTACCAATTACAGTGATGAAAGACAAGACACGCTACCAACAGACTCTGAACCCGGCGCCCGTAAATGCTGATGTGAAGAAAAGGAATATGCCACCGATTTCATGCGGTCAAGTCACTTATTATTGCTTCCGGCCCTGGAAAACATCCTCAAACCAGTCAAAGAGGAGCTGGTTCTGGTAGACCGCCGCGCCGACCGAGCAGTGCTCCCCCGAGCCCTCGGCGGCCTTGAAGTGGTGAACCACCTTGTTCGAGCTCCCCGTCGCCGCCTCCGCCAGCTGCTTCGGCTGTCCCGGGAAGAACATATCCAACTCCGCGTCGCCGATGAAAAGCGGCTGCTTGATCTTGTCCGCCACGCCCTCCAGCGTGTACCTTTGCACCTCGGTCGCAAAGTCGAAGAAGTCGGCCGCCTTGAACGACCACCGTCCCTGCTGCACCGCCCACCGGATGCCCGTCGGCGTGCTCGGGTCGCCCATCGCCTGCGCGAACAGGTCGTTGAACTCTTGCCGCTTCCCAGCCTTCAGCCACTGCTTGGCGATGGGCGGCAGCTGGTCCGTGAAGGTGGCGCCAAAGTCGAAGATGCCGTCGATGGCGCCGACGGCGGCGATGCGCGGCTCAAAGGCGGCGGCGCGCGAAGCCAGGTACCCGCCGAGCGAGTAGCCGACGAGCCCGATGGCCTCGGGGTCGACTTCCTCGAGGGTCAGCGCGTGGTCGACGACGGGCGAGGTGGCGCGCTCCCAGTCCGGGATGAAGCCGACGCCCTGCTCGCGGCGCACCGTCGGCTGGCCCGGCCCCTCGAAGGTGATGACGTTGTAGCCGCGGTCCAGCGCCGCCTTTCCGAGCACGTGGAACATCTCCTCCTGCGCGCCGTCGAAGCCGTTGCACATGAGGATCGTCGGGCGGCGGCCGGACCCGGCAGCCGCGTAGAAGATGGCCGGGATCTTGAAGGAGCCGTCCGCGGAGTCCAGCGTCGTGCGGCGCCCCGGACGGTCCATCAGCGGCAGGGCGTCGTCGAACGCGGCCGTCTGCTTCGCCCACAGGCTGTCGATGCGCGGATCGGCCCAGTCGCCGTGCAGGAAAAAGTCGGCGGCGCGGAAGTAGCTCGCGGCCTTGAGGCGCGCCGCTCGGGCCGACACCGGGTATTTGGCGGCGTCGATGGCCTTGCCCTGGGCGTCGACGCGCTCGGCGAGGTCGGCAAAGGCGGCGTAGTAGCTCTCAAAGTCGGAGGGGCGGACCTGCGCCGCGGCGACGAGCACTTCGCCGAGGTCGGCGCCCTCGGCGACGGAGAGGGACAGCGTGCGCAGGATCTCGTAGTGGAAGGACGGGTCGGCGCTCAGCTGCAGCATCGGGTTCCGAGGGCCGTCGCCGGGAGGAGGCGCGGTGGAGTTTTGGGCGGCGGCCAGGGCGAGGCCCGCGGCGCCGAGGAGATATCTGGTCAGGCAGACCATGTCGGAGACGGGTTGTGTGAGTTGTTGCGTGTAAGTGGTGTCGAAGAGGGCAGATGTGACAAAGCTGTGATGTGGTGTAGTGATTTGTGGTGGGTGTTGTGTGAGATGCTTCGAGCTCGTTGTAGTTTGGTAATGAAGAGACATGATCGATGAAAGAAGGGGGGGGCCCAGACAATATATACAACAATGCATCGTCACGTTCGTCGCCCGTGATGTCTCCAGGGAACGATCAACCCAAGCTAAAGTTAGCGGGAGCCAACTGGGCTGAGCCACCATCCGTGCTAAGAAAACCGCTGGAGCTTCCGCTGGAGCCACGTCATAGTGCATCGGAATTGGCGTCCGGGATTCAGGACAGGGCAGAACAAGAGGCCAACTGGTGTGGAGGGAGTGCGTACACCTAGCAGAGGACTGGAGCGAGTGTGCGAGTCTACGATGGAGTTTTTTTTTTTTTTTTTTTTTTTTTTTTTTTTTTTTTGCACGGGAATAGCCTTGATGCTCGCGTTGCAACTTGTCCGCGACGAGGACTTGGACGCGAAAGCTGGCAGGATTCCACTGGTCTTTGAAAACTCGGCATGCTTGGCTGCAGGAGATTGCCTATTTGGGCAGTGAATCCCGCACACCATGGATGCGGGAAACCAGTCTAAATTAGGCATGCAGTGGTACAGGTACACGCTAACTAACTAATAACTAATTTACAGCAAGGCTCGTTGAAATAAAACAGTCGGGTCAGTATCGTGATGGTCACACTTGCAAACGCCCAGGCTCTAATTAAAACCACGCGACTTGGTCAGGAAAGAGCGCTTTTGCCAGGCCTCGGCTGTCCCTGGATGCTGTGCTCGTTTGGAAGCGCCATGGCGGGGTACCTATGTATATTTCGGAGCAAGACCGATATAGGGCCATCGCATGCTGTAGCAGCATCTTTGGGGTTGCAATGCAGTAGAGTATAGCTTAGTATTGGCTCTATGACAAGGTCATTCCAGCAGATGATCGAAACGGCGCCATCGCCATGGCACACGGACTCAATGTGAATGCCGGCCAAGTTCACTTGCTGAGACTTTGTTTCCATTCTTCAAAACCGCACTGCCTATTGTCTCCTTTGGCATGGGCGTGCTGGTAAATGCTGTGGTTGGCTGCTGTTGCCCGCTGCTTTGACGTTGGGACTGCAGGGCTGCGCCTCTGGTTGCGTAAGGTTCTCGGCATCAAATCAACTATTGATGACTTTTGTTGGTGGTCCCTTTCAACGCACGGTCCCGAAATTCGCGATTCGCGAATCGCATCTCTCGGCAGCTTGGTCCCGGGTCGGAATGTAAAATACAGTTTGCCCTGCCACTCTTCAACGCCGGCGTTGTGCTTGGAGTGCGCAACTCGCGCAGGTAGCGAACCTCACCTCAACATTCACTGCGCTATACGAGTTTTCATACAATTCTTTTGTGATTTTTTTTCTCTGTCGCTAGACAACACATCCCAGGGCCTTTTGCCCAGTTTATAGGGCGGGTGGTATACAATGAGCCCAGCCTTCATATACACCCTGCAACCACCTCGGAGTTGTACCATTTCAGCGCGGCCGCGTTTTAGCATCGGAAGACGACGGGAGACAGCGACTTGCGTGTATTTTCGTGGCAAATGAATTCATCTTTAACGCATCCCTTTGTATCCTCGCCAAGGAGGCGCAGACGAACAAAGCCACCCCGAGCCAGACTGTGACGGCGAGCCGGATCGGGTTTCGCGACGAGTTTAGTGAATCCCGGTCGCGCGCCCGACATGACGAGTCGCAAGCAAGCTCACCAGGGAATCAATGACGCACATGCGACATGCATGGGAGAGGGCACTATCTTGCCCCTCTTTGTCCTCTTCTCCCAAAAAGTCCCGTCTTGTTACCCTCTCATGTCGTATCTGTCTAAACGGAAGGGAGTGTGGTCGAGAGTGCCTTAGCAAGCGACCAGCAGCCATCCGCGTACTTAGTTGGTGCTGGTGTGTGGCACGCAGACGGGTGTCAGCACCTAATCAGAAAATCTCGATAATAAAGTGCTGACTGCATTCCAAGGGTTGTTCGGGATTCATCCTCGGTCGTCATCGCCGTTACGCCTCTACGGGATCGTGAAGAAGTGGGCGAGGGCATTGGGGTGGAATGCTGACAGCAGTAGCTGGTCGGTAATGGGAATAAGACAGGGTCCCCAAAGGTGATCCGGATACCGGGTGCCCTGCTGTAAGCACTTGCGAACCAAGGTGGAAAACCAAAACGATTTCGTGATTTTGCTCTTGCTCCAAGGGCGATGGCATTCAAAGTCAAGCCTCCTCACAAGTTTCACCACCAGCTGTATAATATTGTGCAAAGGCGACGAAAAACCTCGCCGCATCACTTAGTCAGTAAAACTTGCGAGACTTAAATACCATGGTTAAGTTCACTAATTGCGATTCGGCTCCTTGAACTTAAGCCCAAGCAACAGTTGCTAAAAGTTGCTGGCCAACAACTGACGGTTGGTCAGCTGGGTATAGGGTAGGGTGGGTGCAGCCATGATATCACGCGACAAAAAAGAAGTGGGGTGAGTAAGTAGAAACGGCCAAAAAAGTCAAGTGGGTAAATCCTTCAACAAACTTGGAATATGATATTTTTGTTTCTTTCGGTGAGATAAACACCAAGAAACAATACGTGTCCTAACGAGCAGTCCGCTGCACCAACATCGAGTCCGCAAGTCTGCCTGCGAAACCATACCTTTGTGGCGCCAAGTTGCGCTAACTAATAGCTCTGTACCTTCTAGGCAACTTATCCACTAGTTACCTATTTACCTGGGAACAGGGAGGCCAAAGTCGCGAGTAACCTGCCATCTTCAACCACAATGCACCCCCGCGCTGCACTGACTGCCATGGTATCGCAATGGAACACAATCGCCCGAGCGCCTCGCCCTCATCACCCGCGAAGAGGTATTCAAGGTCCCGCAGCGGTTGTCTGACGTGCAAGTACGTGAGCTCCCTCCCCGTGCCGCGCAAGCCTCAGCTCCGCTAACGGACAGGTGCAGGCGGCGCAAGGTTAAATGCAATGAACAGCATCCGAGATGCTCTCATTGCGAGAGATTGAACATAGAATGCATTTGGAATACAGTGCACCGCGATACCGGTGGCCGAAGAGCGTCTCAAATCGACCCGCCTGCTCGACCAACCCTCCCCAGCGGCAACCATCTCGGAACCCTCACAGACTGGGGTCTTGCTGCGCCGCTCTTTGAGGACTTCCAGTACTTTGACTACGACTACTTGATGCGAGATTCTGGCAGCCAAGGACCGCCCCAGATCCCATCTGATCCTATCCCTGGCATGCTCATCGACACCGTTGAATCAGTATGCGCCTCCCCATGATGCTTCGGAGCTTTGCTAATGCCTACCTGCAAGTCAACTTCAGAAAGTGCGCGCCCGCCGAGCCAAGACGCTCCCGGCTACAACAGCATCGACATAGTCACCGGGTCCCCGCGACGCGACAGTCGAGCGCAGGAGGAAGCCTCCCATTTCCAGAATGACGAGCTTATGCAGTTCTTCATTCTGTCTGCCAGGCCACCGATCTTGGAAGACGTCGAAGCAAGCAAGAAATGGTTAGTCATACGGCATGCCATTATTAGCATGGCTCGGACGTCAGTCATGGTCAGAGACGCAATATGTGCCTTTTCAGCCTTGTTGATCGCAAAAAAGTCCAACGGCATCAGTTTCTACACTGACACGCACTACCAAAACGCCTTAGAAGCTGTTGCTGCCCTTGACGGCGTGGCCATGGCAGACTATAGCCATGACCGGGCGCATGTACTTGTCACCCTGTTCTTTCTGTGCTACATTGACATCTTGGGGGTCAAGATGGAAGCAGCGCACCTGAATCTAAAAAGAGCCTATGTCGTGTTTCAGCGAGGTCAAAAGACGAGCTTTTCCGCCGTCGAAAGGCAGCTGCTACTCTGGATCCGCCTTCTTGATGGGCGCGCGGTTTCTGCCGGGGGCGAGGGCATGTTTCTCGCCGACAACGAGGGAATTCTAACACAGAGCTCACCATCCTGCAACGAATACGCCATGGCCAGCCCCGAGGGCTCTTACGCAAACGACGACGAGAGCGTTGAAGATGCCCTTTTCCAGGCCCTGTACCAGCCGGGACTCGAGTTTTTCCAAAAGGTGCAGGGCTTCAGCGGACAGATATCCAAGATCGACCCCTGGCATCGATCCCGGGGCACCGTGGAAGACGAAATCGAGGTGGTCAACATTGGCGTGACGATTGCGACCGGGCTTCGTACGCTGTACAGCCACCGGCCCGGGCTGATGGACCTGGCAGTGGCCGGCAAGCTCACCGCGGCGCATCTCTCGGAGAACCTGGCGTCGTCCATCACCAGGACGTTTCGGACATACCTGTCCAACTTTTACGCCTGCAGAGTGCATCTGCACCGGGTGGCGTACAAGACGCTGCCGCTCACAGAGGAGGCGGAGGATGCGCTGCGCCAGATCCGGACATTGGCGCACCAGATCGTGGCCGACCTGGGTCACGGCGATAACCTCCCCGTGACGATGCTCTGGCCACTCCTCATGCTAGGGGCGGAAGAGGCGGATCTGGACGAAAGGGTATGGATTAGGGAGCAGCTCTCCCAGATGGAGAAGGTGGCGGGCAACGCGCGCCTCGTGTCCAAGGTGCTTGAAGAGCTGCAGTCGAGACAAGACGCGGCAAAGGCAAGGGTTGACATTCGCTCAGTTCAGCAGTCTGTTTTTAACGCCTCTTTCGCAATTGTGTAGGGAAATTAGGAACGCGAGACTTGCCAGCCAGCGTTGCCATGATGTGGCGAAGTGCCCACGCTGATGGCGTCCGTTTCGTCAAGTTGACGAGCATGAATGGGATGTATAATGACAATTCCAAGCGAAGAAGCCACTATAATAATTACCGGAACTTTTGCCGAAAAGTCCCGAATTTTAATGCAACATAAAAATCAAACCATTGTTGTCAGGTTCGCGGCGCCGCCTCGTCTACAGCCGAAGTGCCGTTATCGGTCGCTTCGATCGGCTGTCGCGTCGACACGACGACTTTCCAACAGATGCATAATAAAAGAGGGACAGACAGGTCGCATTGATCGGAACTACCCCGCAATCTCACTCTGATTTAATTACCACGCTTCTGCCCCAGGACTTACGAGATCCGTGAGGACTATTGTCGACACTAGTTTATCCCCTCCTACAAACACGCAAACCACGACAACATGGGCGCCGCACGCAGCACGAGGAGCATCAATGCCCTGACAGGGATTCACGTTCCAAGCCTAACGTGGTTTCTTGAAGGAGCCGAGCAAGAGATTGATTGGAATCTTCAGAAGATGCACCTTCAATTCTTGGTCGAGTCGGGCGTCGATGGAGGTTAGTGACACCCCGCCAACATCAAAACGCAGAACACCACCGTCCACTGACTCTTCCGTCAAAGTTGTCATTGCCGGAACAAATGGCGAAGCAGTCACGCTGAGCCGCGACGAAAAAGCGAAGCTCGTGCAGATGACGCGCCAAGTCGCCATCGACGCGGGCAGGGCAGCGCTGCCCATCGGCGTCGGCACCTCGGGCCAGTGCACGCGCGACGTCATGGCCGAGACGCGTCTCGCCGCCTCTGCCGGTGGCGATTATGCTCTCGTTCTGACCCCAAGCTACTTTCACTTTGCCATGGATACTGATGCCATCGCCGCCTTCTTTGAAGAAGTGGCGGAGGCGAGCCCGCTCCCGCTCGTCATCTACAACTTCCCGGGGGTCGCGGCCGGCATCGACCTAGACTCGGATCTGCTCATCCGTCTGGGCAAGTGCCCCAACATTGCCGGCGTCAAGCTGACGTGTGGCGGGATCGCCAAGGTGGCGCGCATCGCCGCGACGTATGAGCCGGATCAGTTCTTCGCGCTGGCCGGGCAGAGCGACTGGCTGGTGCCGGCGCTGTCAGTCGGGGGGACCGGCTGCATCACGGGGGTTGCAAACCTGTTTCCCAAGGTACGTTACTAGCACCATGACCGCATCTCACAGCTTTGAGCGTGTTGTTTCTGACTGGATACGGCGCTCAGGTGTGCTTGTCGATCTACAACCTGTACGGGAGCGGCGAGGTGGGCAGGGCGCGGGAGCTGCAGCTGCAGCTCGCGAAGATGGAGACGGGATTCGGAAAGGGAGGTATCAACGGGACGAAATGGGTCGTCGCCGGGCTCAGGGGATACGCGGAGGGAAGCTGGCATTGCAGAAGGCCGTATCCCCAGTTCACGAGCGCAGAGCTGCAGAGGTGGGTGCTGGAGACGGTGCAGCCGTTGGTGGAGGTGGAGGCGAAGCTGGTTAAGAGGGCGGTGCAGAATTGATAGACGGTTACGATAGATCTGGATTGTGTGATGGTATGCCACGGGAATTTAAAAAGACGTCTCTTGACAACATGTGCTCTGTCTTGGTGTAATCGCGTGGTGTTGGTGGTGTTGGTAGTGTTGGTAGTGTTGGTACTGTAGCTCTACGAATTATGCGAGCCGATGCATTGATTTCTGAGGAATGCGCCATGGTAAAGTGAAGACCTAGGCCGCGCAGAATCAAAACAAATGCCCTGCATTACTGACCGATGATCGGTGCTCTAACTCTGTATCGTAACCGTATACATCAACCGTAGGAATAGAATACAGCCATCTCGGGTCGGCTACAACAGTGCACAACTCCCCCCACACACAGCCCTCGCTCGCATCGATCGGCTCGGGTCGCGTATTTCAACTAACGTTCATTAGTTATTGGGTGTACACTCCGCTACGCTAGAAGAAACGCCCTCATCCCCCCCCCCCCCCCTCATGGTATTGCCGAGTTCATGAGTTCATCCCAACCAACCAAGGGTGGTGGCGTCTCGACCTTTGGCCATCTCATAAACTTTCCCACCTTATTTCCCCGGCTCAAAAGCCGCCCCGTTTCCCCAGCATTTCCCCTCCTTTCTAAAATAACCGAAGCCTGGGGTAACGCAAGCGACAACCAACGCCTCCCCTCGCCAAGCTACGCGACATGGGATTTATATATATCAAGGGCGGCAAGGCGCTCTGATGCGATGCAACCTTCACCAACAGTCGCCGAGTCCATCACGTACGCTGCAAGATGACCTGGTTCCACGCAAAGGAGGATCGGCCAACCCCCAAGGAGGTCTACAACTGGCGCTTGTATACCGAGACGGCCATCATCGCCACCGGCTCGATCCTGTACGTCGCTTCGTCTCATATGCACAGCGCATCTGCTTACACTTTTTAGATTCGGCTATGACTCTGCCTTCATCGGCACGACCATTGCCCGCGCGAGCTTCAAGACGTCCTTCAACATCAGCAAGCAAGAAGCCGCCAACATCTCCAGCAACATCACCTCCGGCTTCCAGGCCGGCGCCTTCTTCGGCGCCATAATCTGCTTTCTATGTACGAACATACCACCGTGCTCACATCATACCCAGAGCCAGGCTGATTAACACCCGTCCAGTGACCGAGCGGCTCGGCCGCAAGTGGGCGCTGCAGGCCAACATGGTCGTCTTCCTCATCGGCGCCATCCTCATGGTCGTAGCCACCGACCAGCTCTCCTACATTTGTCAGTCCTGCCCAGGCATCGCCGCCCACCCTCCACCCACTCACAGACCCCCCCCCACAGATGCCGGCCGGGTCCTCACCGGCCTCGCCTGCGGCGCCGTCACCGCCACCGTCCCCAGCTACATCGCCGAGCTGTCCGTCGTCTCCATCCGCGGCGTCCTCACCGGCCTCTTCGAGGTCGCCTACCAGCTCGGCAGCCTCGTCGGCTTCTGGATCAACTACGGCATCAACCAGCACATGGACGTCACCTCGCCCGCCTCCTGGCGCGTGCCCATGGCCGTGCAGCTGATCCCCGCGGGCGCGCTCCTCGTCGGCGGCCTCTTCCTGCACGAGAGCCCGCTGTGGCTGATGCGCAAGGGGCGCGAGCGGGACGCCGCCGAGGTCCTCGAGGCCGTCCGGAACCTGCCGCGGTCGCATGAATGTGAGCCGATGCGCAACTTGGTCATGATTCTTGCAACCCTTTGCTGACGCCTTCAATCCCCCCCCCCCCCCGC